AATTAAGGTAAAAGATTAAGGCCAAGGTTAATGAGGAAATGAAAGAGTAGGAGGTAAAGGTTTATAATAGTTATAAAAAGGGTTATTTTTAACGTTTTAAAATAAAGCAGGCTAATTAATATATATTTCTTATATTTAAATTAAATAATTAAAATAGGAGCAATAATACTTTTATTTTAATAGTAATCTTTATATAAAGTATAATATATATACTTAAATAAGTTAAAAAAAATTTAAAGGGTAAAAATCTATATAGTGGTTAATCTTTTTAAAAGTTTAATATTAATAACCTTTATATTATAGCATTAAGGTATAAATAGCTATTATATAAGAAAATATAATCTAGTATGTTTTTAATATATTTATTATAAAATAAGTATTATATAAATATTAAATAGCTTTTATTATTATTTTATAATATATAACTATTAAAAATAATACTTTTATATTTATCTTTATAAAATTAACTTTAATTTTTTTTATATTTATATAATAAGGTAAAAGTAGAATCTATTTTTAAAGATGCTATTTTAATATATTTTATATATGATCTATATCTTTTAACTATTTAATTAGTTTTGCCTTTATTTTACTACTAGGTAAGCTTTAAGAATAGTATTTTTCCTTTAATTCTGCTACCTTAAGTTACCTATAACTATTTTTTAATTAGGTTATCTTTTTTTCTTTAATACTTATATATTTATAATTTAAATTACTAATTGCTTTATTAATCTTTTTAAGCTTTATTTTAACCTTTTAATTTAGGTATTAATAATAGTTATCGGAAGTTAATTAATTAACATTAATGCTTTTAATATTAATTTTAAAATTATTATAGCTATTTAAATAAATTAAAATATTAATACTTATAAAAAGTTCTATTACTATTTTATAATTAAGTGGGGTAAAGGTTTATTTTTATATATTTATAATAATATAAATAGTTATTATTCATTTTTAATTAATCGTTTATTTTTTAAGTAACTTCCTTTCTTTTTTTAATTTATCTATATATAAATCTATTTCCTTTCGAAGCTAAATTTTAAAGGGACTATTAAAACTAATATTTAAAGGCTATAGGTAGGTTATAAGATTTAGTAGGATTATTATAGTAATAATGTTAGCCCTATAAAGGGTTACTTTAACCTTATCCATTTTATAAAAGGTAGCTATATTAATAATTAATAAACTAGGCTTCCCTTTAATATAAGTAACTAGATTATTATTAATCCAATTTTTAAATAGATTACTATTATTATATACCTTTTTATTAAATAATATATTAATACCCTTATAATATAATAGCTTTTCCTTATCTATTTTAAGGCCCTTATTATAAAAGATAATGATTAGTTTTAATTCTTTAATATATTTCCCATTTATAGTAATTATTAATATTAGTGTTACCTGCTATTTTCCTTAATTATTTTTATTTAACTTTTTATTAATGGATATATTACCTTTATAATTATATATATAATCTATTAAAAATTTAAATAGTATTGGAGTTTTATTTAGGTTAATAATCTAATAGTAGGGAAATTTATTAAAAGAAAGCCCTTTAATAGGATTCTTTATTAATATTATACTTTTTTAGGTTTAATTATTTTATGAGACCTTTTTAATGAATTATAGGAAGTTATTTATATATTTAACTATTTTTGTAGGTATTTAAGTTAAAGTATGAGTTACCTATTAATAGTTAATCTGATGGTGTTAAAGGAAGTTAAAAAACTACCTGTTTAAGAAGGTGAAGATTATGGGGTAAGTAGGGTGATGGCTATTAAAGATTGTAATAGCCTTTTATTTAAATTAGTGAATATTAATTAATTTCTTTACTTTTTTAGTTATATAAAATGTTTCCTATAATTTTAACTTTAATATTGGTTAATAAGGTTAAAAGTGCTATTTTTTCCTATTTAAAATTAACTTTTGCTACTTTTATTACTTTAGAACGAATGATCTATTGTTTAATTTAAAGTAACGGATTGTTTCTTTAAGTATAAATTTCTAAAAGCTTTTTTTAACCTTACTATTACTTATAAGGCTATAATAATATTATATTTACTTATTAATTTTATTAGTTTTTAGTAAAATTTAGTAGTTTTTTAAAAATAGTAATATATTAACCTTCCTTTATTATGAGTAATACTTTTAAAACTGTACTATTAGCTTTGGTAGGTGGTAATTAGTCTATATTAAGCTCTTCTATTTAGGGCTACACTATTTAAGTGAAGGGATTAGTGGGGTTATATTAACTAGATTAAAGGCTAAATGGGGTAATCGAAGATTAATTATTATAAAAGTAATTAAAAATAGCATTTTTAACGTTTTCTTAACATTATTAAAGAATTGGTTATAATATAATAAAAATAGCATTTTTTTAATACTATTAAAGAATTAGCTATAATATAGCAAAAATAAAGAAAATAGAAAAAACAGCAAAAATAGCAAAAATAGCAGAAACAGCGTTTTCAGCATTATTTCTACAATTCTACTACTTATCAGCTTTTTTAAGACTTGCAAAAGGGTATAAAGCCTAACTAACATCTGATAGGAGCAACTTTTAGTAGCATTCACTAATAAAGTTGCTTGCCTAATATGGATAACCTAGCAAGAGCATCCCCGCAGTGGCGTTATTAGCGTTATTCGAGTTTTTCGAGTGTATGCGGTACACCACATAAAAAGCACCGATAAATATGCGCTGCATCTCACGCATACTGCAGAAGCAGCAGTAGTATGCAGGCCGTTGAGACATTCCTATCATTCGCCAGGCCTGACACCTCATTCGGTCTGGCTCAACAGTGGCATTCCCCGGTGGATGCTCTGGAGTCTGGGGGGGGGGGGCGCCCACGTATCCTGTTCTAGATCTCACACCCTCCTTGCACGCCCGCCCACCACCCGGACGCCTCCAAGACGTGCATGTGTAGGAGTGGAGCCGCCCGATGCTGCCTGGCTGCATGCTGATGATGTGTGGGCGTGGGCGTGGGCGTCCATCGAGGGGCTCGGTTGGTCCATGGGAGGGCGGATCGTAGGCAGGCTTGTCATTCGGCCATGAGTCCATGACAGACAGTACTGTTGTACGTGCGTCGTTAGCAAGCTGTGTCACGCATCGACGACTGTTGGTAAGAATGCCTCAGGGATATTCAAGCGATATCCATCACACGTACTACCTAGAACACATCCGCGCCTCCGCATTGCAGCATGCAACAGCAGGTGGTAAGTAGGTAGGTCGCTTTGCAGCATCTAGGTGTTTGGCGTGCCGGTAGTTCACCAAGCGATCTATTATGTAGGTATGTTGAACCTAGGGTATCTATCTATCTATATACCTACCGGGAATCCATATTAGCTTTGGATGCTATGTGCATTGTCTCGTTTGGAGACCTGCCAATTGGAGGTAGTACCTACTCTACGTCTCAAAAGGTTGTCTGTGCATCCGCCACCGCTTACCTGCCACATCCTCCATCAAACTCTCGCCATCTTGTGCAAGTGGCAAGCAGCCTTAAGGCAGACGATGCCAACAACCCCCGAACGGCTATTACACAACAGTTTCGCACCCGGGGCCAACCGCAGCATGCAGCCACAAACTATACTAAAACTGTGACAATCCTTAGCCTTCTGCATCAATATCATCCCACTGGAACAGGTAAATGCAGTAGGTAGGTAGGCAGAGACGAGATGATAGGATGGCTAAGTTTGGCCTTCAGCCCCCCCTCCTGCTGCACCTTGTTGGGCAAACTTATAATTCGAGGGACGTCATGCGCAGCTTGCAAACATGAAAACCCTATATGTCGTTTCTTTTCGTCATCCAATGTATCGATTCAGAAGAAACTTAGGTGCACATGTGCCTAGGCGTTGGATACACCAAAGAACTTCGAAAGAATGCCATGTTGTTCCACCGGGGGGTGTGAGTTTGTTGGTTGATATTAATATTGGAAGCCATGAAATCACCGCACTCCTTCAAATATGGAGGTTAATTGCTTAGCTATACTTCTCGCCACTGCCACCACTCTCTTGCTTCCCACCGATCAGCTACCATAGAAATTTGGTTCTAATTCGCATGCAACCCAGGCGTCATTGCTTATGAGAGAAATGGGTGAGGGGAGGGAAAAATAAGACAACGCCTGCGCCCGCGCTGCCTTCCACTGATTGCTTTATCTTTCTTCCTATTGCTTATTTTATTTGTCCGAACCGCCACTCAGGTAGTTAGGCAGATGGCCAAATACCCGGGCATCTCTGGGAGAGCACGTCGCACAACTGGATGGAGCGTCGCAACTTGAGCGCTTCCTGTACGCCTGCGCCCAGCCGTCCCGGTTGTACTTGTTCACATAATGCAGTGAGACGGCGCCAATATGAGACAACATCTGTTGCCCGCGGATTAGGGAAAGGTACTACCGCGCCTGAAAACACTTCTCAAATCTGACACCTGCCAGCGTTGCACGCCGATGCTTAAGACCACTTTAAAACCAGTTGGGTTGCGTTTCGGGTTGGCTATCTAGTAATGTAATGTGACAAAAATGCAATATACAAATCTAACTTATAGAATACCAACGTGCAATCCAGGAAGTGGTGGTAAGATACTGACATCGCGTCTGCTTTCACTACAAGCATCTCTAATGTAAATATCTGCAGTACCTTGTATAGGTCCAGCCTGAGCCTCTTCCAATTTCTCTGCTTTGAGTAAAGGAGTATTCCCCCATGCCTACCTCTCTCGACTGAAGAGGCCAACGTATCTATACGTCGTCGACAGACTACAGAAGCTAGCCGAGCGAGATCACTCTCAAAATATCAGCCTGTCATTACCGTAGCCCTGTTTAGTTTTATGCGCCGCGCCCAAACGCGCACTCTCCCTGGCTCAAAAAATACCCAGCTGTTGAATACAAGTCCAGTTCCGGATAGAAACGTGCTCTTACAGCAATACAGGAACAGCAATCTAGACACCATGTCCATAGGACAAGGTTTCGGCAGCGCAGTTCATTATACAATATATCGAGATTGCCTCATGAATTATCCTTTTCGCCACTATCATGGTCGGGGTTGTAATGTGTCTCCCCCAGCATAGTCGCAGGCTCAGATGTCATTGCCGCCTGGACATTGGCCGCGGGTTGTGTTTGCACAGTTGGGCCGCTCGGCTGCACAGGCGGTATCGATTGGCTCCGGCTAGCCGAATTACTAGTAGCAGCATGTAGTCGTTGATCGAGCACTTTCAGGGCAAGAGCTCTCCGCCTTTCGGCTTCGGCCCTCACACCACCCGGTGCAGATCGTTGGTGGAAGTTATTGCCCTGGGCCGCAGATATATCGGACTGAGAGAATGGGGTGCATACTCGCGCAGCTACAAGTATAGCAAAAATTTGGTCCGCTAGCGCTGCGACGAACGGTTTGGCGGGAGCGGGGAAGAACTCGGAGAAGGCAAAGGTTTCGCTTGCGTCGCCTCGCATCGAGGTCGGCTGTGATGAGTCAAGGTCTGGGAAGACGGCTTTGTAAAATCGTAGATATGTCCAGCTTGTGAGGAACCCAAGAATCGCTAATGGTAGACTTGCGTCCGAAATCCAAGGCGTCAGATTAGCAACGGCAATCAGGCCAATATAAATCAAAGGAAACCGAGGCACGCGCAGTGACAATACGCCTCGGAATAGCGTCACCGTATGAGCAGGTACAAGCTGGCTGAAAGCAACGAGAAAAGATATCTGAAGTGAGGTAGTGCCGTTGATGACGGTTAGTCTGCAAGTGACTAATAGTTAGCGACCTTGGCCCTGGCTCGCGTAATCGAGTAACAGAGCAAACTTACGTCCAATACTCGCTCCGAGTGAGAGTGAATATTATAATCAAAAGTAAGAAGCATAAGAAGTTTGGGATCAGCGACACAACGAGAAGAAACTTGGCAAATTCCTTGGAGGACCATGCTCTCTCGAGGTACCGGCCCCCGTGGAATAGCGTGAGGCCGGCGATGACAAGGCTGATAATATCATGTTCGGTAAGAGTTGTCGTGAGAAATGTCCATGGATAGAAGATGGATAGCTGAGGCACCAAGTTGAGCCATTCGATGATTAGGTTAGGACGGGTTCGCTGGACGAGGAGGCTCGCTAGTGATTGCAGACCAAGTACAGCAAGGGCTATGCGAGTGACCGGTGGTATGTTGAGTCGCGGCGGCATCTTGGACAAGGCAATGGATGCATGTAGCGACTGTAGAGTTGATAGAGAAAGATATCGAATTGGGTATTAGATGGTCGATCAGCGAAAGCAAGCTGATACGCGATATGAGGCATGGGTCTACCTAGGTTGTCTCTTCTGCTTCAGCCCCGTGGGCAAGCCACAACGGGCCAGTCGCACTCCATGCATATCGTGGCTTGTGTGCTACCTAGGTACCAGATGGCGACGATATCTACGCATGCCTAGATACCTAGGTACCAAATCGGATTTTGTAGGAAGACAGCTGTTTAGAGTTTACAAATCATCAACCATCTTGCCGTTGTTTTGTTGATTAAAATATCTAACCAATACGTTCCCTATTTAACAGAGATCAGACAGATACATTACGTCGTCACATAAAGCTTGCGAAGTGGAACTGCCTACGCTGGTTCATGGGAATCATACCCATCAAACAGTACACATGTAGTTCTCGCAAGTATCGGTAAACTTCTCGGCTAAGGTGTGTGTACTTTGTCAGGATCTCCAACGCACGCACTTGAGAGTCACCGTACCTACCAGTATCCCACACGGTTGATTATGTCCCTCGTGGCCATTCCAACCCCGAAAATTAGCCAGGTCTTAACTTGCATTTCCTGGTCCACGTATGACCAGGGTGTTGATCTATATCTCCTACCTAGATCCTTCAGCACGTTCAGTAAGTACTTAGAGTGAGTGGTTCTGAAACACATCAATTAAGCAGTTAACACTTGTCCAGGCAGGCTTTGCAATCGGTACACCCAATTCATGCGATTACGCTTGTCCGCTAACTAGCCCTTGTCTTAAGGCAGACAAGATTACAGTAGTGTGTCATAAAGGACGGTTGGCTCCATCTTTAAAATTTACCATCCGAAGAGCTTGGCGTAGTGTGCATACATAGGTTGCTGAAGTTAGCCAATCACACCTTGATCACCAAGAGCACCTGGATGAGGTACCCATGTTCCTTGCTCCGGCTTCTAGCGCGCTAATGACCAATGGGGGCGGAGGCGCAGCTGTTAAGAATCTGGTGTTCTGATCCTCCCATCGCATTCCTGGTCAAATACCAGCATGCATCTTGTATTTACCGTTCGATCAGACTACCTATCTCACCTACTCACTACCCACCAGGTAGGTGTCTGCTACATAGGCAAAGTCTCATATAGTTGGATTGTTACCCAGCGTTGTCCACCCTCTGCTCTGTATGTGCGACTTCTTGTTCGAAAGCAGAGCCACTCAGATCTCTGAGGGATGACGGTCATACTACAGTATTTTGACAGCTGGTACCTGAGTAGGTGCTAATAATAAGCTGCTCACCCGCCAGGAGGAGAGTGAATCCTATTCCGGAGATTGTGGAGTTTCCTGGAGTTTGGCCAGTTTCTGTTGCTCAACAAACCAGCAAGCTGATAGGCTCAGCTGTCCTGTCGCCACCCTTGTATCAAGAAGAGGGCTGGGTGCGACGCTCACAGTAATTAGTCGTGCCGATACAACCTACCAACCTACCAGCCGAGCCCAGCTACTTACTATAGTACTTACTTACTTCGTACGTGTAGAAATACCCTGCAGAACAGAAACGCTCTACCGCGTGGGTCGGCAACACCAATCAATGCCTCACGACTGTAACCCTGCTCCACGGGCACTGTTTACGCTTCCCCTCTGGGAAAAAGCACTCAAGATGAGAGTCGTCAGCGGAATATTTCGAACACAAGTAGAGCTGTTAGTCTAATACCTCGATGTCTATTCCATTGGATACCACGAGTCATAGGTCACATCAAATCCTGTGGGCTTCTATTGGACTAGCTAGAAGAAAGAACAGCATTACTAGGTACTGAGTATAGTCGAAGGTGGAGCGTCCGGGGTGCGTACTGGCACTGTACCTACTGAAACGTCACCGGACTTGGACCCTCGTCAAATTCGTTTCTGCTTGGCGATGGGCTGCGAAAATCTGACCAAGTACTTACTTACATTCACTCAATACCATTCAGACCATCCATTCCTAAGCGAAAGACACAATGACGAGTTGATATGAGTGGTGCATTAAATCTCGAAGATCAACCTGGCCTGTCTTCGGTCTACACAGCGCAGACAGCACTACTGATGGTATCTACAAAGTTGGGGAATGATGTGTCAAGAGTGCTACGAAGTAGGTCCTGGCAGAAACATCCCTGCACCATGATGCCAATGTCAGCGCCTTCGGCCAAAGTGCGGCGGCGGTACCTCGCTACTTTCCGTTATACCTACCTAGAGTAAGTATGCTTCGGTATGATAACAGATTTGGCGCGAACCGAACTCCTCCATACTTACGCCCAGACACAAGACATCGAGTGTCACGGGCAAAGAGCACAAGTAGCAACAAAGTGCCTAATCGTTCTATAGGTACCTAGTTAGGTTACAATCACCGAGGGCCCCCGTTTGCGAAGGTTCACCATTCATTCATTCAACCAACCATTCGCTCAGCTGAAGCATGGAAATACCTTGGCAGAATCCAAAAGGTGCGTCTGGAAGGCTATTTCATTTCGATGATGCCATGTCAGTGTTGAAACAGATGGGATGATGGCAGACACTGCGCAGGGTAATGAATGGAATTGCAGATTTGAGGTAGGTGATGTAGTGTAGTGTAGAATAGTGATGTACCTACTGCCTACTCTATGTAGGTATGCATGTTAGATGTGCGTGGCAAATGGAACCGCTGGCCTAGCTACATAGTAGTAGGTACTGGAAAAGAGGGTAAGTATGTATGTAGATGTGAGACACGGTGTTAGAAAGCCACCATCGAGACAATTGACGGGCAGCAGGTACAAGGGTACTTGGAGATCTGCAAATAATCTGAATGTGGATGGCATTGGTGATGCTGGGCGATGAATTGGGCGCAACCTCGAAGCGAGCCCGGTCAGGGCCCAGGTCCAAACAGTTTACCTGCCTTACGAAGGACAGACTGGGACAGACCACGCATGTCGAATGCTGACAATGCCCTGCAATTGTGCGTACTGTCTCCAGGTACTAACTCCAGGTATCGACACCGCGGTACAATGTATCCACATCTGATCCCCGTCTCCCTTGCTCCCCTTCAGTCCAATTTTGATCCCATCTGTCGGCTATGGATGAGATCATGTTTCCGGCTCAAAGGCGTGTGTGTGGTGTGTGCTATTCGAGAGGATGTCTGTCTACCATTCCATTTGCTAAGAAGATACAGGCCACGAGACTGTCTTACAATTAAGATTCCCAAGATGGGTACATCCATCTACACCTGCCTATGCCTGTGGGTAGCACCCGTCGTGAGCTAACCCTCCAGTCAGTGTACCTAGCTGCTCACATTTACCTACTTCCAAGTACTTATAGTAGTCCCTAGCAGGCCCAGCTCGCCAGGTCTATGTCTATGTCTATGTAGGTGGTATCTGGTGGTATACCTAAGTAAGCATCAAAAATAGTGCTGTACCTGCTGGGAGGTACCTACCGGTCTCTCTCTGTAGCCCTGCACGTTGGACTAGGCTATCCCTCTTCGGAAAACAAGAGTGGACCCGCGAGACCTTTAGTTTTGGCCCCGACACAAGACATGGACCTTGGATCATTCAGGGCTCATCAACTCCCGTCTCTCTCATTATTCCTTGTCTTCAACATCTCAAAATCGAATTTCTATCGGCTGGCACGCATTGCCAGTCCTCGCCCTAGGGTCCCCGTCGCTCTTTCGCTCAAAAGTCCAAGGCTTATGTATATTGCGTGCTCCGACCGCGTCTGCTGTTGTTTCCCACTATGAAGGAGTATTTAGACTCGAACCGGGTCAATTTCTTGATTTGGAGGTACGTTGTCACCCATTTCCCTTGCCCCGTCCCGATTCTCACCTTCACTTGACGCCCTTCTCATCGAAGTGGCCTCTCTGCTACGCAGGGTCCTCTGTCACGTCCCTTTGGCTACGGCTCCATTGACTCCGATCACTAGGTATTTATTAGAAGGCAGTATGTGTCTACCTACACCCTGGTGGTCGCCCGGGTGCTTCATTCGACGCCGTAGCTGAATCCGTTGGGTTGGACGACGGTGTTGCCGTCATGCGCAGGCCAGGGAATGAGACGACGAATGAGGTTTTGTGTGTCATGCGAACTAATCTAGAGCTTGTGCAGATTATCGAGAGACAGCCGTGAAATTTCAGAAAGAGTGGCACGTTCAAGAACCCCATCGGCAACTAGAATTTGCGCCGTATGTCAAGAGCCATGCGCTAGTCAATGTTTTAAACAAAGGTCTGCTGTATCACTCGCTAGAGAGGGAGCATGCACAGATAACCAAGGTACGTAAAACCTAGAGCCAGGAAGATTCATCCTCCGTGTCCAATGTCCAATGTCACTTCTGCGAACTATGCAGCGGGTGCATCAGGCAAAAACACACGAAATCTACAACGAGAGGCGCGGTGTCCGTATACGACGGACGCCGAATTGATCTTCTCCAAATTAACGCCCAGGATCCAGCCAAATGGGCATTGGCACTGACGAATTTCTCTGTGCAGGTACCTGGTGATGCAGCAGCGCAGGCGGCAGTGGCCGAGGCGATGCAGCTAGGGGTTTTTGGTCCACTGGATGCGCACCCACCGCCTCATCAGCAGAAACCGGATGAAAGCGATGATGATGCAGACGCCGAGCCTGATCTGGACATACAGCCTACGCCAGCGCCAGTTTCCACGGCACCGCTACCGACGGCTTCATCTGGAGTCGACGTGGAAAATTCCCGGAAACGCCAGGGCGAAAAACAACAGTCTTCTCTCGCAAATGGTTCCCCGGCCAAGCGACCGCGACTGAGTAATGGGTACGAACATGGAGTGGATACAGCCACAACCCCCATGGAATTGGACGGCCAGGACCACCAGGGCGACAACCATGCTTACCCGTCCCCACTCGAGGGTGAACAGGCGCCAACGCCTCTCCCTCGCACCGATGGCCCTGAACAAGGCACTCAGGTCGACAAAGTCGAAGAGCTGGCCTGCGAAACTACGTTCATCCCCCTCGGTTCGGGTCTCGACGATGCACCCGGCGCCCTATCCAGGGTCAACAGTGACGGTGCACCAGTGCTACTGCACTGCCAATGGCACCCGCGAGATCCCTCCCTCTTGGCGGCTGCTGGAACCGATGCGCTAGCCCGCATCTGGAATATCTCGCGTGGGGCAGCAGCCGATCCTGCATCTGAAGATCACGTGAATGGCATCAGAGGTCCAGATTTCCATGATCTGGTCGAGGATGATATACCGCGCAAGTCTACTGCCACTGCTATGGCCTGGAATTGGGATGGAAGTGCCATTGCTATCGCCACCGACTCGGATTCAAAAGCTAGGCTCACACTCTGGACCCCTGATGGCAGCCACATTCATCATCTCGAAGTCTCTGAGCCGCCTATCATCAAGCTTCGTTGGAGTCCTCAAAACACCGCAATTCTGGCAATAGCACCTGATAGAGGAGGGACACTTATTACCGTTTACCATTCGCATACTCTAAACTCATTGACATACTTTCTCCCGAACCACGATTTAACCGCCGAGCCACTTGATGCGGCGTGGACAAGCGACACTGAATTCCTCTTGTGTGGTGGGGATTTACTAGTGCTGTTGAGATACTCAGAAAAGGAAATATCTGATGTGCAAAGATTTGAAACAAGAGAAGGCGATTCACTATCACAGGTTCAATATGATCCGCGTTGTTCCTTAGCTGCTACGTGTGGAGAGAAGGGTGTTGTTGATGTAAGGATACTTCTAGCTTTTACAGATTCCGTTGCTGACGAGTGGTGCAGATCTGGGATAGCTCTGGAAAGCGACGTTCGATACAAGCCCATTGCGATGCCGTAACTGCGCTAGCTTTCCAACCAGAGCAGTCACCCGGCGCTGAAAACGAAAGGCTCCTAGCATCTGGTGGTGAAGATGGAGCTATCTTCATATGGAATGCACTTGCTCCTGAAGGTCCAGCGAAGTTCACCATGACTATGGGCCCTCCTATCGTTGCTCTTGCATTCACCCCGGACGGAGCATTTCTCGCTGGAGCCACGAGTGAACGGATACTCATTTGGAAGGTTGATGATCATAGTATTCCGCGCGCGAGTTGGAGTCGCCTCCCCCATCCCGGCTGGTTGAGTCCGCGGATGAACCCTGAGTCGGATGAAGAGGATGAACATTGCTTGGGGTGGGATTCTACTGGCCACAAATTGGCATTTGGTGTGAATAGTCGAGTAAGTTATTACTGATGACTCTATCTAACTTATCCTAACCGTTTCATAGCTTGCTATCATCAACTTCCGATAATGAAACTTGAGTAGTACGACATTCGATTATTTTCACAACTATCTAGACGTGCATATTCAGTAAGCTCAGCAGGTCGCTTTTGTATGAGCCATGCGGCTTGAAGAAACATGGGTAGGATCGGGGGCTTTAAGTATTAAGCTATTCTTATCCGGCAGCCGGTAAACTCTACACTAGTAGCTCAAACCATCACTACTGGTTTAGACACCCTACCTCACAATACGTTACTTTGGTGGCCCATTGCTTGGAAGGAACAATCTAACAGCTTTTTGCGAGTTGGCGTCTAGAAGAACGCCCAATGAAATCTCAGGTTCTGAGGCCACCACAAATATGAATTCGATGTGGCTTTACTGGAGCCAATGCCACCTCACTCTACCAACTCCTCTGTTGGCTCGTCATGAGAGACGACGGAACGGTATTTCAAATGATAGATCACTCTCAGTCTGGCTTTATCTTGGAGACATAGGCGACGACCGAGATATTTGTACAACAAGCAAAACAAGCATGCAGAGAGCTTGAAGACATGAGAGTCAGACCACCGTGCAGCAGCGATTCATTTGTATACGTATTCGATTACCACGCATATAGCAGAACAATTATAAGAAGATGGGATTTTAAACAAAACGAACCCAAATAAAATAGATGCTCAAATTTGCAGGTCACATATGGCGCATCGACGATGTATACAGAGACGTCCTGTCCGACGGCCCCCTTAATCTCAACATCGAAATCCCTCCGTATCATTGATATTTACGACTGACAGGCTGACAAATCCCTAGTCATCGACCGACACGCTAGCATCTAGCCACGGTGCGCCACCTTGCAGCCGGTTTGGCTGCATCTCGCCATCGTAAGCGCCGGCACGCACATGAGCTGCCACGGTCCAACCGTGCGTGTAACGAGAGTAGTGGCCACCAGGTCGACTGCTTCACGATACCGTCCTTAGTGGTCATAAGGGGCGACATCATGTTGACGGTCTGGGCAATATTAGCCATACCGACGTACTTGCTCTAACGCACGAAGACATTTAGCCAGACGGTGATGCGGATAGCGCGCTCGGCAGCCAGCGGTGCCGTGACATTCTTGAGATGTGGTGATCGCGCGACTGTGTATATAGGCATGCTGTGCATGTCGATGACGGGCATGCAAGCCTGCAGCACGGTGTGGTCCCACGACGCCGTGCCGTCCTGTTCCCAGAGAATGAGTACGATATCCGGGTCCAGGAGACGCAACGCCTTGGCTTCGCCCTCAGGCACCTATAATAGGAGGAAAATGACCCCAGGGGTGGCATACGTGGTACGTCGCGCAGAAGTTGCCGTCGGGATACCGAATCACAGGCACGCCGAGCTCCTTCAGCGCCGAGATGACGTCCTTGCGGAAGCCGTTGGCGTCCGGAGCCGGTTACCTGGGTCATAGATGCCCCCGTAGATGTACCGGCCCATGTGTCTAACAAGGTGCTTCGGTCAGCTTCGCTGTATGTATATGATCACTTTTTCGTCTCTATTGTATTGTATGCTCTTTCTATTCCGGCTTTCGCTTCTTCTTCTCATTCCTCTCCCTTATTTACCCCTCGTCTCTCATATCCTTGATTTAGCACGTACTCTGTGAACTCGTCATATGTCATAGGAACACATCTTAGATAGCCGTTTAGCCGGGTCTACTGTCTACTTCAATAAGCGGAGACTCACCCGCACGAAGCTTAGTAAACGTCGTCATGTTTGGGGTAGCATCGAAAATGAAGATCAGAGTTTCGTATATTCTTTATGTATACCTATATATGAGGCCGAAGCACACCAGATAGTCCTTGTATAGATAGAATAGCATATCTAGTAAGCACAATTTTAGAAGAGAGAACTTGTCTTTCGATTCCCCTTTTATAATACCTTCCCCAAACCGCCAAAAAAGAAAGAGATGAACATAATAAACCCAAAAATCGCGTTATATAAGTAGACCTGTCGTTTTTCGGTATTTAGCTCCCTCCTCTGCATTGGACGGGGTGGGCGTGTTCCCTCGTCGGGGAAATTCCCGTCCGTCCCCCAACGCGGACATTGGTGCACATATAACACATCTGGAGTACCAAGGTGGTTCATCCCATTTGAGCCCACTGAGGGTGAATGCTGCAGGCAGGCAGATAGTATTCACAGCCACTATGGGGTGTGAGTGCATAAGGTTGTTTCGTCTTGTTTCCGTTTTCATTGCACGTTGTTCGGTGTAGTTTTCGTACCGGACGTTAATAGCTAAGGATAATCATACTTTTAGCAGGCATCCGGCTTTGGCTTTTCTCCCCCTTCTTCTCTAGATTCAATTGAACACGCTTTTGCATCGTGAGATGCACTGGGTAGCTCTGTTCCCTGTTTGAGTTCTGGCATTGCAGGCTAGAAATGTTGCTGGCTCTATGGTTGTTTATAAGTGCCTACCTCCTAAAACTGTACCCAGGGGTGTGCATAGGTAGAGTTTGCCTCAGGTTTCAATCATGCACGCAGCTCTTTACTTTGACTATGTGCACATATATGTATGAACTAAGTTAAAACTGTACGGTGCCATGCATGGATGCACTTGAGGATCTTAACATACCCTACCCATGCCTATGTATCTGATATGTAGATCTAGGTTAGGTTATGCTGCACAGATTCACTATCCACGTCAACCACGAAAGTCAAAAATCAAACGCGCGGCAAGTGAATTTCAACATTCCATCAGACATGTGGTAATACACCTTATTTTCTAAAGCGACATTTTCCTGAAATGCCCTCCCGTCCGTGCAGCTGCTGTACATACATTATTAATACAATGTGACCTGTAACTTTGTACCCCACATTTCATATTCACTCGCCAACGTCAGGTACCTGAAGTCAATATTTCAAGTAGGTAGTTATCCCAAACAATCAATTGTTCAATTCTATACTCCAAGGCCAAAGGGAACGATTAAAAACAAGAGAACAAGAAATAAAGAAGTAGAGCAAAAGCTGAAACGAAATAGAACTGCAGTCATAGGTGTAGCCATTAATTACCATGGCATCATCACATACAAGCAGCCCCAAGCCCGAGAGCTCAAGGCACTCGGCGGCGACGAGCACAACCTTCACACCCGAGATGCGCGATCGCCAGGCGCGTGGCAAAGACCCGTACCACTCCGACTCGGAAGACAGTGACTGGGCTCCCGGACAAGGAGATCGCGGCGGTGATGGCAGCAGGACCGGGTCTTCGCGGGGCAACGTTGGGCCTGCACGGACCGGCACGTGAGTCTCCCTCACCGTCCATGCATACATATTTATCACCGCCGAGAGCAAGCTCTATCGTTGCTATGGCCTTTTAGCTATGGCCAGATGCCGGGCTAATCACGATTGCATGGGGGAAACAGTCGTAAGAGGGATGCCGAACCTTTCGCCGCCGTCGATCGTCGGCGCATGGCTGCCCAGATCCTGAATAGTCCAGAGCTCCTCATGATGGCTGCACTACGCGACGATGAGGTGCGCATTTCACGTTTCTTTAACCATTGCCTGCCTCCTTTAGAATTACAAGGAAACATCACCCCTTGCCTTCACCTCACACTGCTCAAAAAAGGAAAGGGGGCCAGAATACCAAGCTTAGACTATTCTTCCTACCGTCTCTGCATTCCTCAACGACAACACCCCTAATTCAGCCTCTCGAGTTCGTTTTTGCTAAAACCAGTCCTTTCCCTAGAGCGTTGCAGCCACACGTCTCAAATACACCCGCATGCTTTGCGGTATGGATGAGCCGACGCGCCCAGGGATACCGCACACCGCACCAACAGAGACACAGCGCAAGCGACCTAACCAGGACCAAGGCCAGGGAACCTTTACGTGGTGATCAGGTAGGATTACGATAGGCATTCCCACTATACTTCTTGGTATCGGATCATTCTCGAGGGCTACGAAGTACGGGTATTATAACTCTTCCGCGGGAGGGGGAGGGGGCAGAGGGGCAGGTTATGAATATACACCTTTCGCGGTATGTTACGAAGAGGACAAGCTGGCGGTTGATGCCTACTACTACCCGCTCTCCAAGGCAGGTCTTTGATGCATATCGGCAAGGAGGGACCGGTGCCCGGTAGGACAAGAAGTATGTATAAGTTAATAAAGATAACAAAATCAATCTGAAGCGGCGCTGCGGCGCGTACATACGCTGTTGGACCAACGCGCGCGGCGCAGGCCAACGGGGGTACTAACATAAAAGGTGCAGTTGCCGCCCACTGAAGAGTTGTTTCAATACAACGAAACGCAAGACCTATTTCCACCATCTAGTTTCACCGCTGCAATTCTTCAACTTTTTTTTGTTTTTGCTAATTTTCTGATCGGCGACCTTGTCTGCGGCAGAGTTTCTTTTACGTTGATTATGCTAAAGTATCACATCCAATCAGAAGAGAGGGGGGGAAAAAAGGCATAACATGTATGTCATAGGGGATAACAACAGTCTGGAAGACATAAGAAAAAGGAAAAGAAAGTACATTAACTAATGCTCCGCGATCCAATGGAATTATAGTTGTCTTACGAGAAGAGAGTCATTCAAATCCCTTGACGAGATCATCACCAGACCCCTTTCTCCCTTAATAAATATCCGCCAGTAGAATCCCTTCTTGAAGTCCACTCAATAAAGTCGACGACAGTAAAAAGGCTTACAGGAGCCATATCAGATCACTAAACAGCGTACTGAGTGATTATGCTTAATCTCCTATATTCGATCCAGCAACAGACATTAGACCGGCTGCCTGATCTCTATATATGTAGCTATGTATACCTTCACTGTATCCTCATTCCAAGGACCGCCAAAAAGCCCCCAAGGCAAAGGTGTGTGTGTCTTGCGAGAATCCGAACAAGCTAAAATGCTGTACAGTTCATAACATGCCAGTGCGTTATATACGGCCTTATAAGTGGAGGCGCAGATCCTAATCCAAAACTAAACCCAAGAAGAAAAATGTCGTAATGCGCCAGATAACATATCGTCCTGAATTCAGGACTGAGACAACATAACCACCAACGCCATGCCATGGAGAATGCTAATTGATTCCTCCAGAATATTCAAAACCATTCCATGCTAGTCCCATATATCCCTCTAAACACTTATATGCCGGTCCCAGACACCTTTTGTGTTTCATGGATTGTGTAATACTATGCATATCGAGCCAGGTTCGATCTCGGCGGTGGCCCCCAAGCTTGCTGTTGCTGTCCACTCCATTGGTTCCCTCGTCGACCGTTCGCACCATAGGCCATAGGAGGAGGAGGAGGCATGCCCCAGCCGTTATTTGCAGGGACGCCACCACCAACCCAACTGCTGCTTGGCTGCCCTTTCCGTGCCAGCTTCCTGACGCGCGATCTGCGCCTTATACGGGAGCAACAACAACCTGCGATTGCGAGTACGATGAGCCCACCGACAACTGCCGCGACTGGAATTATTATATCCTTATTATCACGGAAGAAGCGCGCGACTTTATCGCTGAAGCTGGCTCCTTTGCAAGTGCCGTTATCGCAATGGCCGTCACCTTCGCAGGGTGTGCCGTCTAGAAAGTAATGCTGTATGCCTTCACATACACCCGGTGCCGAGTTTGAGCCCTTGCAGCGCACTAGGCACGTACTTCCGTCACAGGCCTTTAAGTCGTTGCTGTTCGTTAGCCCACCAACTAGGGTCTGGCATTGTAGATCGCGAGATGTGCACTGTCCAGAGGCACACTTTAGGCCTTCCCCGTCCGCGCCACAAGCCTGGCCGTCTGGAGCCTTGACGTCTGACGGGCATGTCGCCGAGGTACCGCTACAGGTTTCCTGTGGATCGCAGGTGCCGCTGCTGTCTCGACAAACTGTCCCGTTGGAAGCAAATTGACATTGTCGAGTGCAACAATCTTCATTTGCAAAGTCACATACAGAGTTGGCGGTGAATTTGCACGTGTCGGGATCGCAGCAAGAGTTCCCTGCACAGCCAGTTGCGCCACCACAATCGCAGTCTTCTCCTTGTTCTACTATACCATTGCCACACTGACTACCAGATATAGTTACCACGTTTTTGTTGTCGCTGAGGCATTGCGAATTTACACTGTTGCGATACATTGCAGAGCAAATATTACCAATGGTGCATGGCGAGAATTGCATAAGACCAGGACCTGTTGATGGATTCATGATGTATGTTCCACCTGCATCACAGGTGGAAGTAGTCAAGGGGCAACACTGGTTATCATCCCGAGTGCCGTCTACACAAGTCGTTTGCGTACAGTCGTGATAAGCGCCGAATGTGTGACCAGTCTCATGAGCGAAGACCTGCCATTCCGTATTGGTGCGTACAACAACATTGGCGCCGGCTGTAGTGTCATTCCCATTGGGTGAAGAGCCCTCGGTGCAGAGCTGGCCTAGCCATGCCAACCCCACGGCAGCGTCGGTAGCACAAGTGCTCAATAAAGTCCAATAGGCATTGCCATCTTGGAATTGGCCTCGCCATTTGGAGAAAAGGTCCAAACGATTGTTGATAGTAACACTCGGACTGCAGTCTTGATTCCACTGTGATCCGTCTGGGGGTGTCCCCGGACATTCCTTCTCACTGATGGTCAAATTTCGAATGCCCAGGCTGATATTGAACGTGGCTTCGTACACTGCTGAAGCCATATTTACCATACTGATAACATTTTGGGTCACGTTGGCCTTAGTTTCGAACTGGGCCGTGTATGTACAGTCGGTTGCGATACCGATCAAAGCGACCTTCCGAGAAGTGGGACAACCTTGAGTCGACCCAATGGTGGTGGCAAGATTGGCACTGGCACCACCACCGCCAATTTGGTCATTCTGCCGGCTAAGGAGTAAGTTCGTGTCTGTCGACATTAGGTCGCGCAGATCTATGCCCAAATTCACTGGATGGTCGAGCTGATTATTGAAATCAAGCAAGTCGGAAGAACAGACAGAGGCATTCTCAGCGAGGTCACGCTTGAGCTCTTGACCAGAGCCAAAATAATCCCCCGTGATATCGGTGTCTCTCCAGACTATCATGTAATCATCATCCGCGTGGTGGGCTTCAGGATCCTCAGCCAGGCGTGTCTGTCTATACGTCGAAGCTCGCTGGATGTGATGATAATTTCCATTGACCCTGAATGTCCCCTCGAACAGAGGATGCGGTCCATCTCGGAGGACTGCTATCCTGGCCCAGCCGGCATTGAGCCATTCCGAGTGGTGAGGGTGTTGGACAAACGCATGTCCTCTATATATCCTGTGATCTTTTCTTTCTATCTTTTCCTCGTGGGTTATCGTGCCATCAGGGCCAAGATAATGTATCGTCGCCTCATCTGACAGAACATCGTGATTTGGTTCCAGCTCAATGCGTATCCTATCTTGCTCGTTGTGCAGAAGAAAGCTTATAGCAAATGAAGAGTGTGCATGGACTCGATTCGACGGCGTGTGAAGGGTTGGCCTGTCCACTACAGAAATGTAGCTCAGAGGATTTCGTTTTACCGAGTGAGCCTCGGAATCGCGTGCTAGGGTGCATAAAAACGCAACGACAGTAGTAAGGGAGAAGTGCATGTTCAAAAAAGGATCCCGTGGCGGGATAAGGCTCGATCCTCACAACCCCATCCGCGTACGTACGCACGCCTGCTCGTTCGTTGTTGCGTTCGGAAGCGGTCGGAAAAGGCTTGCGAGGTTTTGAAGTGGCGAAGATGGCAACGGTGAATGTAAATCTATACAAAGAAAGGAAAGGGGCCAATTTCGAAGAGTCGCAAAACAACGAGCGAGTAAGGGCTTGTTGAGTAGGGAAGAGATTGTGTTCTCCCGGTGGGATTGGACGGGTCAGGAGAAGAAGTCCCAGGACCCAGGCTCACAGGAGCAAGGCCCCGGAGAGGGTGAGACGAAGGCTGTAGGGCAGTTGCCGGGGGCCGAAAGTAGGTTCACAAGTGCCCGTAATGCGCGCCTGTCAAAAGCCGCTAACAGGAGCTTGTAGTAGGTACCTATGTGGGCACAATGGTCGTTAGTGAGGCCGGCTACACGCCTACAGGTTTGCCTACAGGCTGCCTACAGGCGGGAGAGTCTGGGAGAGGTAACACTACAGCAGATGGGGTAGCAGTAGGTAGCAGTAGGCCACCTGCACCTGACCGAGAAGAGGTACCAACCTACCTAGGTAGTTTCGTATATGTGTAGAGGTACCTATATATAGGTAGGTAGCGTATACCTCGTGCCCAGTAGTGCTAAGATATGCGCTATACCGTTAGAAGAGTACGATCGCGACTCAGCAGGCTGTTCTCGATTTAGTATCTACCTAAGTAGCCTACCGACCTACAATACGACGTATTGTTGGTGTGCGACTATGGTTTTCATATGTCCTTCAGCAATCATATATAGTGCTGATCCGAGTTGATTTCCTTGACTGGCTGGCTGGTTGGTTGATGATTTTGCAACAGGCACACACACATATATATTGGGCCAATCCAGGCATAAGAAACAAAAGGCTGGACAAGGTATCCGACCCCTAGAAATTCGGTTTCACTTCAGGTCGTGATACTTACTTTATGAAGCAGCTGTACCATGCCCCGTCTTTTAAGTCTTGTTTCAGCGGTTCGGCACACAGCCACCCCATCCGATGTCCAGTTCAAAAGCCCAGCGAGCCCAGATTGTATCGGGAAGAACGGCTCAGGCGGTCACACACCACATCCACACAGCCTCTCTTGGGGGTTCTTGGCAGGAAAACGATCCATCTGCTGGTACGCAAATTGACTGACTGCGATTCCGACCCTTGCCATCCCATCCATCTGAAGGAAGGGCTGATGGGTTGCTTGCAGATGGGACGAAAAATTGCCCTATAAGAGCAATCGTAGGTATGCCATACCTACATCACCAACATAATCTCCGATTGGGGATGCCTACTTACCTAAACACCGAGAAAGCTGAACGAATACCATGCGCAGTCGGATTACCTAGGCGCTCAATAAGCACACGCAAGCGCGGTCATCATGAGATGCCTACTAACCTTGTTTTTCCTTACTGCTGACGTAGGACTCGAATGTACAAGGGCTACCCTCTGCCCATTATGCTTTTGATAGCTAGCTGTCTTGACGGCATGCGTAGTAACCTATTGCTCAAGTTGCTGCTCGCTGATTGACAAATTATACGTTCGTGTAATTAGGTCGGATTTACCCATCAATACCTAAGCACCAATACGAGATCGGGTAATTACATGCCCCTCACCGTTGTCTACTAAAAAAGGCTCATAGAGTCTTTGAATATCTTCTCGGATTTAACTTGCCGCCATAAAGGAAATACTAACCCGATTCTTCAAATGGAGTTAGTTACTTGTACAGTTTCCTACTGAGATACCCGAGGAGCTTAATAAGGTGGATGGATAGACTTATAAATACCAGGAACCTCGAAAGCTAATTAATTCTCAAAACAGAAAATCCTAAACTTGTATCCATCCAGTAGAAAGTAACAATCATGCAGACTAGGGTTACGGGAGCTACCTATCTTGAATAACACGCGAGTGCCATGTGCCTACTTAATGCATAAGTGTCTACATCCCACCACGATACGTGCGTACCCGAATCAAAATTACATAACGTGGAATAATCGTGAGTCTGCACCAAGAGCCGGAGATAGTAAGCCATGATCTCTCAACATTCCCATCTTGAGCAGTCCATCTAGATCAGATCTTGTAACATATATCCAATAGAACCCAGCCCCGTCCTCCAAGCCCCTTCGCCAAGTTAGAAGACGCGCGTACAAAGAAAGCCTTCGTCTTTTTACCTTTTGTATGTACGGTGGTGTGCTCATGATCTTCTACATTTGGAGAAAGTGGCGGTTAGCCAGCGCAGAGCGGCCGACCCAGCCGATCATATGCACTCCCGGTAGAAAAGACCGAGATCCTTGCCCAGCTGAGTCCAAGAAAGCACATCAACGTCACCATGATTGCCAAGGGAGTAGCGTGAAAACCGTCAGCCATTCCAGAGTCACACTTTCTCAGTAACAAAAGGCTAGAATGCCGGGACACTGGTTTACTTAACGCCGCCAGACCCGGAGCGCGTGCATACAAGGCTTGGTGGTAAAAGTTATACGTATATACTGAAAATGTTTCCCACTATTGTAACAATATGGTATCAAAACGGAACCCCGTCGCAAAATAGCCAACAATGACCCCCTCCTGCCCTTGCATATGTGTTATGGTGTTTTCTAGTTTTACTTCTTTCTCGCCTCGTGGACGATGGCAATGATTTTATCGACAACGGCAGGGTCGGAGAGCTATACAAACATCGGACGTCAGCAAACCATCATTTACATCTGGAATTTTCTTATGAAAACTTACCGTTGTCGTGTCGCCCAATTGATCTTCCTCGCCAGCCAGAATCTTCCTCAAGATACGGCGCATGATCTTTCCACTGCGGGTCTTGGGTAGGTCTGGTACGATGTATACCGCCTTGGGGGCGGCAAATGGTCCAATACTCCTGCGGACCTGTAAGATGAACTCCTTTCGTAACGCGTCTGTTGCCTCGTCGCCCTTGTTGATAGCAACGAAAGCATTGACAGCTTGACCCGTCAGTTCATCGGCGACACCGACGACAGCAGACTCGGCTACCGCGTGATGCTCGATAAGGGCTGCCTCGATCTCGGCCGTTGACAGACGGTGACCGCTAACATTGACGACATCGTCAACTCTTCCCCGGATCCAGTAGAAGCCTTCATGGTCGCGACCGGCTCCGTCGCCGGTGAACTGTCATTATGTCAATGCAAGGTTCCCTCATCTCAGGAGGACATACTCACGTAGTAACCCTTGTAGGGATCCAAATATGTTTCCATGTATCGCTTGTGCGCTCCCCAAACGGTGCGAGCTAGACTGGGCCATGGCTGTTTGAAAGCTAAAACACCTTCGACGTCGTTTCCATGGATCTCCTCGCCTGATACAGGGTCGATGATGGCGGGTTCGATTCCGAAGAAGGGTAACGAAGCGCTTCCGGGCTTTGTCGGTGTCACGCCGGCGAGTGGTGTGATGACGTTGGAACCAGTCTCGGTTTGCCAGTAGGTCTGTTTCGTTAGTAAGCGTTCCTTTGATGGGCGAAGGTATAACTTACGTCAACCACATGAGCCTCCTCCTTACCAACAACTTCAAAGTACCATTTCCAAATTTCGGCTGCAATGGGCTCTCCCACTGATCCCAGAACTCTTAGTTTAGGCATCCGAGCCTTCACGAAGTCATCACCCGCACGCTTTAACAATCTTAATGCGGTAGGGGCAACATAGAATTGGGTAACCTCTTGCTTGTCAATGATCTCCCAGTATCGGGAGAAGTTGGGGTATGCCGGAGTTCCCTCGAACACTACTGTGGAGACACCAAGGAGCAAGGGCGCATACACCACATAGGTGTGTCCGGTAATCCAGCCGACATCACCGCCGCAGAAGTACCGGTCGCCGTCGTGGATATCGAAAACATATTTGCCGGTCATGGCAGCGCCAAGGAGGTAGCCACCAGTGGTATGCATGACGCCCTTGGGCTTACCAGTCGACCCGGAAGTGTACAGCAGGAATAGGGGGTCCTCGGAGTTCATGACTTCAGGGCTGATGTAGGCTGGCCATTTCTGGACTTCCTCGTGCCACCACAAGTCGCGACCGGGAGTGAAGGGAACATCGGCACCGGTGCGCTTGAATACTAGTACACCAGTGACGTCGGGGCACTGCTTGAGCGCATCGTCGACGATCTTCTTGGTGCCTATGAGCTTACCACCTCGCTTACCCTCGTCCGACGTGATGACCACCTTAGACTGACTATCATTGACACGGTCGCGTAATGAGTCGGATGAGAAACCGGCAAATACAACAGAGTGGACTGCGCCAATTCGAGTAATGGCGAGCAAGGCGATTAGAGCCTCGGGTATCATGGGTAAATAGACGGCGACGGTATCTCCTTTCCGGACGCCCATGTGCTTGAGCACATAGGCGACTTTGGAAACTTCCCTGAGTAGCTCCCCGTACGTCAGGTTACGGCCCTCATCGGGCTCATCAGCTTCATAGATGATAGCGACCCTATTGGGGTCTTTGAAGGCATGTCTATCGACGCAGTTGTAGCAGGCATTGAGCTGTCCCTCGGGAAACCAAGCGACGTCACCGTTGGTCAGAGATCCTGAGCGAACAGTTTCAAAGTCACGCTGCCACGTTAAAAGTTCTCTAGCTTTCCGGCCCCAGAACTTATCGGGCTCGGTGATGGATTCCTTGTAAAGTGTTTGGTACTCCTCAAGACCTGCAGGAGGTTAGCAAAGCCGCGATTCGCTCACGTTTCCCATGTGTATACAGTAATGACTTACTAGCTATGTGTGGCTTGCTAGGATGCTCTATGCAATGTTAGATACCCTGCAGCGCATTGACGTGAATGGAGACGCGAAAGAACAAGTTGGAGCTTACTGTCGAGCATCTTCTGCGGGGGATCTATAAAATTGTGTGAGCAATAGGTCTTCTCTGTACGCGCAACAGCGCACCGAATCATGCGCGCGGTCAATGGAAGGCTGTCTTACGAAAAGTGTCGACGAGATGGGCCTCGGCGACCACAGGCGCCTTGCCTTCTTCACCCATGTTTGCGACGCTGGGGACTGATTTGAGGGTAAATTGAGAGAGCGGTTGGTTGTGAGGTGGTGGGGTCCTTTTGAGTTTCTCGGCGGGGTAGTAGGGGTCGAGGCGAAGACAGACAAACCAAATGTGTATAGTACCTAAGGTATACACGCGAGCGCTCTTACTTATATAAATAGACGAAGAGGAAATCGCAGGGCAGTCTCCGGCGATTGATTCTCTGGTGTAACGGAGGACAGGAGGGGGACAGGTCCGGTAAGGGGGAGAGCAGAGGAGAGCGACCCGGATGAGAGCGTCGCTAGCGAGGGAACTGGTCGGTTTTGTATGTTGATGGACATGCGGCAGAATTGGCATCCCTACCTACCACCTACTGAACATTACACGATGCGATACCTGACGCTACCTACTGCCTGCCTACCTCGCTACTCGCTACATCGCTCGCTACATTGCTCGCTACAGTATCGACACTACCACGGCACCACGGTGCAGCCAGATCCGTCATGGCGTCCATGTACTATGTAGGCATGTAGGCATGTAGGTACTTGCTCCGATGGACATGTACATGTAGTAGCAACAGTAGCCAACAGTCAGGGTCTCGTCCTCAGTAGGCATTTTTGTGGATGTTGTACCCTCACCACGTTATTAGCTACACCACTACTGCTACATTACCCCACACGACACCAGAGCAAGCAGCGCCGCCGTTGGGCCTAAAGAGGCATCGAGGGGCATCAGAGACATCAGAGACGCGATCGTACTTGGAGACAGGCGAGACAGGCAGGGCGGTGCTACTCTAGCCCCGGTAACCTAAGAGCTTAGCTCTGCCCTCTCCCATCCACTCTTCCATCCACTCTTCCATCCCCCTCTCCGCCGCCGCCGCCGCCGCTTACCTAAAGACCTACCCAACCTACTTACTCTACCTACCTACCTACTGTACCTAGGTAGGCCGATAGGATTGGTAGCGTGGTTACCAAGGTATCACACCGGTAATAGGGCTCGAAGGAAGAGCCCATCCCATCCCGTCCCAGCTAAGAGTCGAACGAAGTCGGGGTATTCTGGTGGGTCTTATCTTCACTTCCGCTCGACCGCGTTCCTATGTAGGTAGGCTCGGTAGCTACTGTCTATGTCATGTTGTGTTAGTCCACGCGCAGCAACACACAGTTGATAGTCTTGGCTTCATGTTGTCAGCAACGCCGGGCGCGACGCCGGCCGTCGTTTGCTGAGCCTTTTTTCCGGGGACCGATGGGTGACAAAACCCCCCATGCCGTTTCTTCCTTCTGATGATATACTTATAGTATTACTATAGGTATTACTGCCACCTCAGCTCAGCAGAAGGTAGTAGTGTTATACAACATCACCAAGATAGGAACTCGCTTACCTATCTACCAATGGGCATCTGAACCTTTGAACGGATCGCGAACCTGGGAATGGAAAGGTATCTACATACTTAGTAGTACCGTGGGAGAACAGCCTTGAATAAGCGAAGCAAATCCCTTGGTCCATTGGCTAAAACTGCACAGTTGCATGGTTGGTGCCAGCACTGTCCAGGGAACGTGGGAAATCACAACGCCTGGGGAAACCCTACCAGGTAGTTGGGTACCACAGCAAGGATAGACATCCAGACAGTTCACAGACCTGCAATAGAGTGTTCTTATAACCAGACCAAGACCTCCATACCGCATTCGAGCAAGGACCCGCGCCAATGGTTCATGCTACAACACACGACAATTCCTTGTGAGTGTGTCCGAAGGAAGCTGGGCGGTTTCGATATGGTCAGACCAATGCAACCCACACCCCGCGTTATAGAATACGATACGTAATAAGCTACAGGACGGCCGAGAGAGCCCAGGCACCGCCATGGAGAATTGTCATCATCGCCATGCCTGGGCAGTACCTGGGGATGCATCATGTGCGAAATAGAGCTGGACTGGCCTCCGACTAGGCAAGGTACTGAAGATAGCGTAGCTTAAATGGGGAGGTTATGGGGAGGTTTACTGTGCTCCCGTTACTCCATCGTGGCGGGCAGACACCAGTACCTTGCGTCGAGAGCCCAAGATCTGACGGACGGTGCGGTAATGCTAAATTAGAACCCGGGCATTGGCCCGGAGACGCGGATGGATTGAAAATGTAGCCAAGTTGGTTGGATAGCGAGTTGCTTGTCCAAGGCGTCAGTCGTCCGTCTGGATACTGTTTTGGATACCCATTCCGACCCCTCACCTGACAAACCCCGCACTTTTGGAGTGTGCCACATCCTGGTCCGGTCACCTCCAGTTCTGGCTTGGCATCCCCAATTATCATCATTGCACCCCGGCTCAGCTCAGCTGTCTGGGATAAAATTAAGCCACTTTGTCTCGTCGGTCTTTGCTTTGATGAAGGCATCATAAGAGAAAGCCTCTTCGCCCGACTCCCGACAGCCTTCTGTACTAGGACCAGGGTCTTAGTCGGCGCTCAGGTGGTACATCATGTATCGCGATCGCCTAGCGCAATGATGCTTTGGAATGTCGCTTGCCGAGAATCACCCCAGACGCGTGGGCAGAAACGCGGGGAATTCCCCTAGGTTAGTCTAATAGGGATGTGCTTAGAGCGTCCAGGTATTCAAGTACCTATCCAATTTCAACCTAGGTAATGATAAGTTGTTGCGCCGGCTACATATCATCTATACTACATAGTAGACTAGACTCGCGGTTGACTGTGTAGTATGTGCTGCTCAGATGCGGCGGAAAGGAGTTTGCGCCGGGGTAGCACACCGGGTCTCGGTTATGCTACAACCAACCTAGGATCTCAACGGCACATTGGTTCTACCGATACCGGATCCACGATTCGTGAAAGGACTTAAGTACTGAATATGATGCAACCAAAACCCATTAGCCATGGCACCCAAACGCCTCCTATGCCCATAGTGCAACAGTCCTTAACTCCGAGCGAGGTCCAGCCCATTTAGGGAAGTCCGAGCAAGTCCCCATCGCCGCTGCCTACATGTCCATGCTCATCAAGTACATCTCAATTATTCGCATGAACTTGGCGACGAAAGCCTCAAGGTGGAAGATAACCTTGGAGCCCGTTCTTATTCGGTGCTCATAGAAGGCTGACCACTTTATCACTTCCCATTTCAAGTCGTCATCGATTTGGGGGATCAGTTTGAACGTCAACGTCTTAAGGATCGTTGTAGGTGGTATGCAATGAGTAAGGAGGTCATAGAGCTTGGATCTGATCACGAGGATCTGTGCCGGTGTATGTTGATCCATCATGTCTTTGGCAATCTGTGCTATCAAAGCCTCCCAATCTGGGGGAGGAATAGGGGTTGTGTCTGTCACTTTCTCACTGCAAGCTTGTCAGTGCTATAAACTAACAATTGGACTGGTTTTGAGAGCATACTTCTGAGCATGAACCGCCTCGTACATCAACAGAGCTCGCCGCAAGTTTCTCCCGCTCTCTTCAGCTATTCTTTTATGTAGACCTTTCACAACTGGCCAACCTTCGCGCTTGGCAGAGTCGGCTAATACGTCTGAAATCTCGTCCACGGTCGGGGCGGCGACTCGGACGAGAAGTGTTCGACTCCGAATTGGGGCAATAATGTTGGCTGTGCTATTGGCGAGCAGAATCAGTCGTAAATTAGGGCTGTATTTCTCCATTGTTCTTCTCAGGGCTGCCTGAGCATCTCGCGTGAGATGATCCGCCTCGTTGATGACGACCACCTTGAATCTTTGCTTGGCTGACTGGTCAACCTGCTGTGTCTGGGCAACTTCCTTAAGCAAATCTTGGATAACGACTCGATCGTAATTGCCCACGTCGGATGGCGTAATTTCAAGATGATATACCGAAGCGACGATATTAAATTCGAGTTTTCGGTTGCTACTCGTTTGGAAGACGCGCGCATCGATCTTAATCTTTTCTACTCCTGGACCGTAAAGCTCTTTCAACGTCGCAACAATACGAGTCTTCTTCCCAGCCCCCGAGGGCCCATAGACGAGGAGATGAGGAAAGTCGCCGCTTTGTGCCTAAGACGATGAGATGTGTGAGTCCTATACCTGCAGGCTTGTCTTGGGTGTTCTTCAAGGTCATGGAGCATATACCAATGATCGCAGCCTGTCAGAGAGCTCTGAGTGGTAGGTCAGAGCATCGAGAGACCGTGGCCGATGCTTGTCGACTATGAGAGCCATCTTGATCGAATTGAAGTTGGTGCTGACTTCCAGGTGTATAGGAGAGATATTGTGGCAGAGTTGTGCCTAGCTGACTTCGACAGGTGGGTGGATGGTAGAAACCGACGCAAGACCTCTTCCAAGCTCTCTGTTGCTTCGCGACTTTGAACCTGGCAGTCGCGTTAATTGATTTCAGAACGCGCTCTCGGCAGGGCTAACCCATCTACAGAAGTACTTGGTTACATCTTGTGTCACCTTTGACCCCACCCGCAAACCAGCTGATGGACAGCTGGGCTGGGCTGTCATTGACACCCCGCCGCGGTCAGCAAAAACTGGCTTTTCCCGGACGGCATCGCCGACATGTTATATGAGGCATTCCTCATTATTTTCGTCCAGATCATGTTGTACTCGGGGGCACAGGCACCATATCACCTGTTTCAGGCAATCATAATGCTTGTTTTAATGGTTCAATTATTGAGAAAACATAATCTTCGTAATTAGGCCCCGCTTTAATGCTGTTTTCTAGTCTAGATATTGACCCGATGTCGTGGCATAGCAAACAGGAGTAGGTAGATGAATGTAGAAGGTACATGGGCAGCTATCTATCATTTCGTTTCAAGCTGATATTCGGCGTGTACGTGGCGGGTCTGGAAATGCCCATAGACAACCAAGTATTTCAGATAGTAGTGATGACTTATCGGTAACTTGTCATCGATGAAATAGTTTGAGGCGGGCGCCCAACTCGGAACGGGCAGCCCACACCAAACCCGACCCAGTCTCGCCAGTCAAAGCAATTCGCAACTCTGCACCGAAACAGCACCGACGATCCACAGCCATGACAGCGCTCCGGCGCTCTGATTTGTGCTGGCCACGGCATCCCCCACTTTATTATTCATGGGGGCATCACTGGGTAGAGCTGGTCTGAACTGGGGAGCCTCGACCACACGCTGCCCATGGGAGCGGGATGCATAATTGGGCTGCGCCTGGCGGTCGGTGGGACACGGGGGTTTGGTGATGTCTGGTTGCTCGCCGGTTGCTTTTTTCCCCTTCCCTTTGCCTCCCGCCTCGTTTCAGCTCGCAAGTAGAAAAAGCACTTGGATCAGTGCCACCTGCAACTCTGCAGATCACACTCTTCTGTTCTTTTCAGTTTTCTGTTCCCAGCGTGACCCGGTTGTTCTGCCGTCCCGTCACTCAACCGCCCAAGATACCCCCCTCGTACACCGCACGGCTGAGCTTCAGCTGATTGCCCTTTCTTTCTCCACCTAGAATTACTGCTTGCTTTGCAAACCGTCAAGATGTTCAACAATCGCAAGTTCTCTATGTAAGTCAGGGCCATCTTCACAATATAGAAACAATATCTTTGAATAAATCCATCGCCTTCTGGACAACTGACCAGGGAATTATTGCCGCCGAGGAGCCCGTGACACTAACCCCATACTTATCTAGGAACAAGAATACGGGTCTTCCCAGAAGAAGATTCAGTATCGGTGACCCTAGCGCCAATGGTATGTTTTCAAGAGCTTATTGCATGTAATTATTCTACGGCTGCACGTCTCTCCTAGACACACATACATGCCAAGAGTGACAGAGAGCCGTTCCCTTCGTTGGCCACTAAAAGAAGCAATGTTGGCGCGCCCTAAGATGATATACATCTGTGTGAGCCTTGGCTCTTGGCATTCGCCGCCTACCCTCACTTATAACCAAGATATCAAACTGTGTGGCTTTCTCTTCCCCGAGCTTTATGCTGACGACCTTACTTGGCAGAGACGAGCTCCAAAATTCACAGACAGTTCCGTGCTGCGAATCCCGGGCATCTCCCCCATGCCGGTCTCGACGCCTCCCGCGCTTCAACCGGTGTCGTCTGGTGTACCGAGCGCGCTGCCGAGCATGGGTTCATGGACGAACCTGAACTATGGGCCAATCTAGGCCAAGGTGCCCCGGAGGTTGATGATGAGATTGAAGGTTCATTCCCTCGGCCTACTCATATCGACGTCTCCGTTGCGGCTCGTGAGTATGGTCCTACCGCTGGCATCAAGCCTCTTCGGGCTGCCGTCGCTAGAATGTACAATGAGATGCACCGTCAGGGGAAGGATAGTCAATATTCTTGGGAAAATGTGGCTATTGTTCCTGGTGGCCGAGCTGGTTTGATTCGTATTGCCGCCATTCTCAACAACGCCTACGTTGGCTTCTTCATCCCCGACTACACAGCTTACAATGAGATGATGTCTCTTTTCAAGAATGTAATGTTGATCAACCAAGATACTAAAGAATATCGTGCTTACTCAAGGTCTAGTTCGCTGCTGTCCCCACGCCTCTTTCGGAAGAGGATGGTTATCACATCCACCCCGATGTCATTGCTCATGAAATTGCCCGGGGTACTTCGGTCATTCTGACCTCAAACCCTCGCAACCCCACTGGTCGCGTCGTTGCCAACCCTGAACTCGCCGAGATCCAGGACATCTGCCGTGGGCGTGCGACGCTCATTAGCGACGAATTTTACTCGGGCTACAATTACACGAGCGATTGCGATGGCTCTGTCATCTCAGCTGCTGATAATATCGAGGATGTCGATGAGGATGATGTTCTCATTATCGACGGCCTTACCAAGCGATTCCGTCTCCCTGGATGGCGAGTTGCTTGGATTCTTGGCCCCAAGGAATTCATCAAGGCGTAAGGAAAAACTCATATCTCCCATGGGCCGTGTAATTACTTATTTGAGGACTAACGCGTTTAACTATCAGTATTGGCTCTTGCGGCTCCTACCTTGACGGTGGTGCCAATGCTCCTTTCCAGGAGGCCGCCGTCCCCATGCTTGAGCCCTCACTCGTTCGCAAGGAGATGCAAGCTCTCCAGCGCCATTTCCGAGTAAGCCAAGACCCAGAGCCTCCTCAGACCAAAAATCAGCAGTTCACTAACATGGCGGATGTAAACAGGACAAGCGGGATTATGTGGTCAAGCGATTGCGTGACATGGGTTTCGTGATCAAATACGTGCCGGACAGCACATTTTACCTATGGCTCAATCTCGAGGGCCTGCCTGGCCCCATCTCTGACGGTCTCAATTTCTTCCAAGCATGTCTCGAAGAGAAGGTCATTGTCGTCCCTGGTATCTTCTTTGATCTCAATCCTGCGCGCCGTCGTGACCTGTTTGACAGTCCTTGCCATCACTGTAAGTGCTCTCTCGAACTGCCGTCTCTCGTCAACCCATCACTAACACCCACTCCTTGTAGTTGTCCGCTTTTCCTATGGACCTCGTCTGGATGAGCTGAAGCGAGGCTGTGACGGAATCGAGAAGGTTGTTCAGAAGTAAGTCTATCTTTTCTCGCTCTTTCCAGCCTATATATATCACAAAATCCAGTTCCCTGGTGCTCTTATCTGCCTGCTCGCTCAAAGCCAGGATACTGACGCAGTCATACAACAGATTCAAGAACTTCAGGGACTGAAGGCCTCCGTCTGACCTGATAGGAGTGCTTGACGTAGAAGGTGTCTGAGGAGCATATGTCAGGTGACTAATCAAAAAAGATATTACTTTGAAAACGGGCATGGACAGCTTTTAAACGTTATGGATCCAGGTTTTCCGGTTTTTCTCTTCCTAGAACCCAAATACTTTGAGTACATGTTCTAGATTAGATACATGCCAAGACTAATACAACAAATAAATTTCTCTTTACACTTCTACCAGACAGGCACCGTCCTCTATTTTATCACTTACGGTGGGTTGGCAGGTCAACACCCTGGTAGGATTATCCAAGACTATTCAAGATCAGTGTATTACTCAATTTTGTCAAAACATGTTAGTTAACCAGTCGTTCCACCATTATGAAGCAATTGTATCAGGAATATTCGCAACTAATAACCTCTTGTATTGTTACTTGGGAAAAAATACAATCTGAGTTTATGTGTACGCACTATCGATTATCCACGGACCCCAAGGAAAGCAAGAATCAAGGATTCTCGGTCAAAGCCCTTACCCTTCAGCGAAGCAAGGAGAAATAATTATCACGGCTAACTACCGACCGTCCACCTGAACCCCTAAGACCATGAGCGCTCCATCAACTGTTCATGGTTTTATCCGATGCAAACCCGCCTAACGACGTACGAACTCACTACAAATCATTAGTAGGAAGGATATAGGATATGTAATTAGTCATCTCACCGAAATCTCGTCATCCATAGCAGCGTCGCCATTAGCATTAGCGACGGCACCATTGGCGTTTTCGTTCTGGTCTCCTGAGTTGAAGTAATCTGCCATCTCGGAATCCAGTTCCTCGGCCGTCTTCTTGGCTGGGCGGCTGCTACGAGCAGGGCGTCGCTTGCGACCCCGAGCGCCAGGGCCAGCTGCTTTCCCAGCATCCTTCTTCTTGTCGTTCGCAGCAGATTTAGGCTGCGCTTTGGGTTGGGTAACACGTTCAGTAAGTGTCTTAGGCGCAGGAATGATGGATGCAGCCTTATCACCGGTAACTACTATTTCGATCTGCAGCCCCAAGTTGGTTAGTCCCTAGCAGCATATAACAGGTGATGAATAGTAAACTTTACCTTCATTGGGCGATTATCGACTAAAATGCCATTCAACTGGCTGAACGCCTTGCTAGCACCATCAGGCTTGTGGAAAGTAACGGTGGCGATACCACGGCTGACACCACCGGGGCCATATGAGAGCTCCACACGCTTGATGGGTCCAACTGAAGTGGTGAAATACTCCTATGGAGGGCACGAGTGTTAGTCTCAAGTATTCCATTCGCATTTGCGCGCGGTGATCCATTATCGAGCATCCAAGAGACCGGCAAGCGCTTCGTCCCCAAAAGAGTCCATTGGCGTGCATGTAACAACGAGCACGCAGTGAGCGTTAGGACGGACTTTAGTCCGGAGGCCGCAATACGAGAGGAACCAGTTCGTCTCATCCACTATCCGCTAACAATCTGTCATCCGGCTGGCAGAGCAAGAGCATAACCCCCTGGCCCAATTCAGTTGGAGGAACTGCTAACAAAGAGTGGCGATAAAGAAGCACGTTGCCCACACACAAGTCCCATACCCATCTCCTTAAGAAACCATCGCACTACACGCACTGTTGCTCTGCCAAGCTGAAAACATATTGATTCATCGCGTTGCTGTGTTCCCCAGGCTGTCTCTTTACCTGATAATCTGTAGTGGAAATGTCTCCAGACTCGTAGGAACAGACGCGTCTGTTGCTCACTGCAGTGCTCGCGGTTTATTCATGTTCATAACAAAATGAGAGGGTACAGTCAAAGAAAGATACCCCTGCCAGGATCAAGCCTACAAGATTGCTAGTCGGTAATGCCATAGTCTGCTCCGAATTTGCGCATTGAAGTCATTTGCGGGTGGGTGCCAAGCCATCCCGAGGACATTCAATGTATACGCATGGTAGCGAGACCTGCTCGACTTCCGACACAATGCAGCTCATGTGTATGCTTGCAGTGTTAAGGAAGGAGGCTGGGCATGTTGACAGCTCTTTAATGATGATGAAAGGCGATGCGCTGGATAGTATTCATCTCGATCGTTAAGGCTACGCGTGTGCGATTCAAGGAAGATGTCGACGAAATTCCGCGGGCAAGTGCCCTAGGAAACATACCTTAATCTGGGCTTCGTTCACATCCTTCGGCTACAGTTGATGTTAGAAACCGAGTAGATAAATCAGGTTAAGGAGCTTCTTGACTTACGAGGTTGCTAACAACAACCTTGCTTTCTCCATTACCACCGGCGGCCTTAGCGGGGGCTTGCTTCGTCGCCGCGTTGCGCGGCTGTCGAGATGTCTTCTGAACACCTCCGACGGGTGCTGCAGCGGCAGGTCGACCAGATACACGACGCTGGCTTCGGCGGCGGGCACCACCAGCAGCGCGGCGCTGGGTCGAGATGATCTCATCCAGGGGTTGGTCGAGCTTTCCGGATCCAGACATTCTGAGTTATGAGTATTGTGGCGCGAAAAGTAGTTGAAGTGTATTGATCTGAGTCGATATGGATGTGATGTGACCACCGCTAAAGGCAGCAAGAGACACTCAGAAGATATTAAATTTGTATAGATGGCGAGTCAGTTGGTCGATGGCTTGTTGCGAATATGAGCAACGACCTGTATACTTTGTTTGATAGGCGACGCAGTTCGTGATGATGGAAAAGAGAAAGCGTGACCTGCGACTGGCTGCGGAAGCGTTGCAGCTGTTTTCACGTCAAGTAGTGGTGTTGATTAAGTCAGACGGAGATGGCAAGGGAAAAAGAAAGAGAGTGCTCTGTTTGTTGTATAGTATTGACAAACAGATGCCGATGATTACAATGGATTGAAGTCGGGTGGCAAAGTGGTTGTTGTGCACAAAAAACAGTAAGAAATAGAAGGGAGTGGGTGAATGCGTGTGAATGTGAGAGATGGCGACAGTAGATGGGGGAAGTGGAAGAAGGGAACCAGGTGAGGTAAGGTAGGGCGGGTGGCTGCTGCTGGTTTTGCTTGCGCGCCTGCCTGTGGCAGAGATTGGACTGGGCTAGATTGAACTGACCCATCTGTTGATTCTCTAGGTACCTAGATACCTCTCTACAGTGCCAATTTCAGTGCTCATTGACTGCAGGCATATGCTACTTGGCCAATCAGGGAGTCCTACACGCTAATCTCAACCCCTAAGCAAGCTGTTTTCCATTGACGCGTTCAGGCAACGATTCTGCACAGCCACAGATGTGATGGGCGATTAGATGCTTAAGTAGCTATATGTACCTAGGTACAATGCGTGCTCTACTACGTAGGGACAGTGTGGATTTAGAAGTACCCATCTCAGTGAAGTACCTAGTACTCACCTGTCGAATGCACGATCCCGACATAACATGCCGATGTACCTATGTACTTATGTACTACACACTTTTAAGTTGTTGTTCTTTAAGAAAGAGAGAGAAATGTCGGTGCTAATAACGTCAAAACAATTGAACCATCGCATTCGCTCTGTAGCAGTTACTAGTCCTAAGGAGGAGTTGGTAGTATGCTTCTGGAAGGGACTAATCTTAATCGCAGCAATTACATGTCAGCCTTGCGGCATGATCTCCTTTAGCCACAAGCGCATCGAGTCTCTGGCTGTGATTAGGCCAGCGACCACTCGTTTGTCCTGTGGAACCAGCTGAGGGACGGAAACGCTGGTAATTAGGATCGTTTCAAGATTCCCTATCCACCACATCAAAACAATGCAAGCCCATATGCGCCCTTAAACTCCAGTACAGCCTTTATATGTCATCGTCATGGCTTATTTGGTAGTTGGCGCCTGTTTGGCTGCCGCTGCCGCGGGTTGCGATGGTATAACTCTGGAAGCTTTTTGGGCGAGCGCGCTATCCTCTTGTGAATTAACCTCGAAAAAATGGTACAGCACTATCAATAACATGGCTACCGAGCCAAGAAAGATAGCAAGTCTGTACAGATCGTCGTCGGAAATCATCGTGTCTCGGTCGGTGTACTGAGCTTGAATATATATAAAAGAGGTGGAGTGTGACTCGTAGAATTATCTGTATCGCTTGCAATCGTTAATACTTTAAGTGGATGTAACACTGAATCCCATCCATATAAGACTTACGAGTTGCAATTACTCGAATTGCGGTAGCATTTGCCAGACTGGTTGTTGAAGAAAAGTGCGTGGAGCAGACTCGAGAGGACAGTTTGAAGCTTTCAGTACACAGGATGGAGGTGTTGTAATCCATGAATGCTTATGGCACCCCTAGAGGTACCTAGGTAGGTAGCAGGTACCTAGCACCTACCTACCTAGCCTAGGTACTCTGGCAGGCTGAACTGCAGGGTGGCTTGTAATTGTTTTGTCGATCAGATGTGGCTGAAAAGTCCTGAGGCGCGGTAAAAAAAAAAAAAATCATGTGACGTAGTGGGATGTTTAAAATACCCCACGCTTATCTCGTCAACCACTAGCATTAACTCAAGTACTGTAGCGCCCACTGCAGGTTAGCGGAGTGCCACCTGCAATTGTCTAAACCAAAAGGCATTTACTATTCGACTTTAAAGACTATAACGACTCGCCTTTAGTCATCTGCGAAGCCGATCGACCGAAATTTTCCTCAAGGCAGGTCAGTCGGATACTTATCAGTAAGCCAATATGCCGCCAAAGAAGAAGGATGATGGGAAGGGCAAGAAGCCAGCCGCTGCCAAGGTGGCAGTAGACAAGACCTTCGGAATGAAAAATAAAAAAGGCTCCGCCGCCCAAAGACAAATTAAACAAATCGAAGCAACGGCTAAATCGGGTGGTAGCGCTGAGGAGAAGCGGAAACAAGCCGAGAAGGAGGCACGTGCCCGAGAGAAGAAGGCCGCTGAGGATGCTAAAAGGGAAACCGATGCTTTACTCGCCAAACCCAGTCAGATACAGAAAGTTCCTTTTGGAGTCGACCCCAAGACGGTTGTTTGTATTTTCTGGAAGAAGGGAAATTGTGAGAAGGGGAAAAAGTGCAAGTTTGCTCATGATCTTGCTGTGGAACGAAAGACCGAGAAGAAGAACCTATACACCGATGCGAGAGCCGAAGAAGAAGAAAAGAAGAAACAAGAGACTTCAGATGATTGGGATGAAGAAAAACTACGCAAGGTTGTTCTTTCAAAGAAGGGCAATCAACAAACCACGACCGACAAGGTCTGCAAATACTTCATCGAGGCGATCGAAGATGGCAAGTATGGTTGGTTCTGGATATGTCCCAATGGCGGTGATAAATGCAAATACAAACATGCTCTACCACCAGGGTAAGTTAAATTGCGCCACAGGGGCTCACTACGTTAGACATGGTATTGACGCTTGAAATAGATTCGTACTTAAGACTAAAGAGCAGCGTGCTGCCGAGAAAGCATTGCTTGACAAGTCTCCGTTGAAAACACTGACTTTAGAAGACTTCTTGGAATCGGAGAGGCACAAACTGACGGGCACTCTTACGCCAGTTACACCAGAATCATTTGCTAAGTGGAAGAAGGAACGTATGGACAAGAAGGCTGCCGAGGAACAGGCAAGGCAAGCCAAGGAATCAACTGGCCGTGCCCTCTTTGAAAGTGGCAACTGGAGGTTCACAGAAGATGATGATGCATCGGATGATGGAAACGATGACGTATGGAACTTAGAGAAGATGAGGGAGGAAACTCAAAAAATTCGAGACAAGAAGGAAGAAGAGCGCATAGCTGCCGGGGGCGAGGCTGATCTAGAGCCTACGGATACCGGTGATGGGTCTTGATCTGAATGTTGGAACATGCATTCAACAAGACAGAGAGATGCTCTACGCTACAGTCACCGAGATAAGTGACAAGTCAAGATTGAGAATTTGGAGATAAGGCGCCCAGAATGCTGTGTCATTCCCGTAGCAGCCGCCTCGGTGGGTTTGATCAGCTGGCCCCTCTTTGTTGAGCTGGGCAACATGGCTGGCAAAACGCCGATGATGCCGCGAGATATAATGACCATCTGGAAGGGGTTTATCTCGTGATATTGTTTCCCGGTTGGGAAACGAACGACTACGTTATTATCATGGCGCGTCTCGTTTTTAACGATACCTAGCTAAACATAGGACAAACACCATCTATTTTGGGCAATCTTCTTTCACCAGACGGCAGCTCAATTTGATGGACCCATGCATTTCACACACAAACGCAGAATTCTTGACTTGCTTTCTAGTGCAAATGATCGCATTGTTACTTGCCCTAGGTGCCGTTAAAACTTTTCCACATAGGGTCGCATATCCAATTCCTGTGTGAAAGCAGTACGAGGTTGGGTATGCAGATGCCAATAGCTCTCGGCAATCTAAGAGCAAGATCAGTAACGTGGTGGAGAGAATAATAAAAAGGATACCCACTGCTTCCGGCTTTAGTTTCCAATCCTCTACGTCCCCTTTGCCGGTGTAACCACTCGTTCGTGGTACGTCAATTATTCCGTCTATAATAGCGTGCGCGATATGAACTCCCTGAGGATGGAATTCGCGTGCTAGAGATTGAGCAAGAGCACGACGTGCAAACATGCCCGCAGCAAGTGTCCCGAATTTCGCAGAGCCACGAATAGACGAAGTGGCGCCCGTGACTAACAGTGTGGGTGAGTAGTCTGACTGAGGTACAGCGTCGAGGAGTAGGGGCATTGTCTTCTGGGCGAAGTTGAAGAGTCCCCGGCTGTATATGGGATAATATCTGTTAACTTTGATGAACGAATCTCCATCACTTACGGATATGACTGTATGGCAAATGTGAAATCGAAACCAAACCCAAGGAGAGAAAGAAAGGAGAGTGGGGATAACACACGCGCTGCCTGATAAACTGTCATCCAGATCCTCGGGCTTGAGTTCAAGGAACGGCTTTATCATATAACCAGACGAAACGTTGTAGACCGCAGCAGCCAACTTGAAGTCTGGAAGCTCTGTCTTAATGGTATGGAAGGCGGATTCCATGGACTTTGTATCCGTCACGTCGGCGCTAACACCCACGGCTTTGCCTCCTGCCTGTGTGATCTCAGATAAGGTATCTTGATACGACTCAGGTCTTCGTGCCATCAGCACAACCGGATATGTCTTTGAAAACCGGAGTGCTACGGCGCGTCCAGTTCCTGTTCACAAGTCCATGTTTAGTTAGGGTGCTTGTATCTGTTCACGTCGAATAGTTGAATTTGTGAGGATAATATGAATAGGGATCCCTAAGTTGAGAGATATACCAATACTTCTGAGGCCAACACATTTTATAGTATTTGATGCTCCGGTGTACTAACCTGTACCAGCGCCGGCGATCACAGCGAATAGTTTGGATGCCATGTTCCACAGCTTAGTGAGCTAGGATCACGAGATGAAAGTATAGGAGATCTATGAGTTTGACGCAACAATAATCAACAATGAATTTATTGAGTACCGAATATCAAACCTTCATACCCTTCATACCCTTCATACTATGTTTAGAAGGTGGCAGGGCAACGGCGTCATGTTGTCGATACTTGCTGTAGATGTATGTATCTATTACCTAGGGCAAACTCTAGCGCTAATGCTTACCTAATATGTAAGGCTTGCTGTGCAACACAGCCTTTGGCATTTAAATTCCGCTTGGTGCTTTCCCAAGTTCTGAGCTTGAACTCTTCAAAAGCAAAATGGACATTGAAATTTATGGGACACGAATGTGCATGTATACATGTTGATACTCACATACATACCTACATAGGCGAGTAGGTTACCTAGGTAGGTTGTTGTACTATTTCGAAAATAGAGGTAGGTACCAAAGCGGAGTACCTACCTAAGGTTACCTAAGGTAGTGTGGCCTAGCCCCTACAGTAACCTGCGAGGCTTAGCTTAAACCTCTCTCCCAATTTCGACTTGCTCTCTCCACTGCAACGCGCCTATCTCGCGCCTTGCAGTTGGACCTGCGATCATCTGTTTAAGCTGCACAGTAAAAGGCATATAGTCTTTTTGAATGACACGCATGCGCCTTCTAGTTTTCTCATTAATGGGAAACGAATATTTTATTGTTCTACATTTACGAGGTTGGGTGTGGATATAGAGAAGAAGATGGACATTCGCACGTTTATGCGCAGTACTAGACCGGCCGATAATCATGGAGGGGCAATTCGAGACGACGAAAATGAGGACGACCAAGAAGATGAGCTGGCCATGCCAATGGTAACCTCAGATGTTTTAAACTCATCTCAACCTAGAATTAAGAAGCCTCTTTCTTCAGTGATAAGCAACCCACAGACGCCCGCCAGCGCAAGAATGAGCCAACAACCCACAGCCCAGTCTTTACAGCCGCCCTCTCACATGCGCCTTGCGGTGCATATCAAGTCGTCTGCAGTCACACCCTTTACTCCTATCAACGCGCCATCTACTCATGAACCGCCTAACCTTCCGTCAGGGCAGGGTCGGGCTCGTGGCCAGGCATCGGTAGCACAGACAGCCAAAAGGCCACCTCCACCTGACGCTCTTGCTCTCTTGGGAACGGATCCCGAGGCGCCTAGCTCTCAGCCCAAGAAAAGAGGCCGTCCGAAAGGATGGAAGCCAGGCACGCCTTACTCGACGGATCCGAATTCTAGATATCGGAAGAGGGAGATGAAAGCAGCTGGACTGCTGACGCATGAGAAGAGCCCGGGGCAAGGCAAAAATCGAGGTCAAACTCAAGAGGTTAAACGTCGAGGCCGCCCTCCACGTCCTCCAGAGCTCTCAGTCCGAGAACAGTATCTGCAATCAAACCCATCTTACGTTTCGTTTAAGTGCGAGTGGGGTTTGTCAGAAGGCTCTCAACAAGAGCAGCCATCATTGTGCCCAGCAGAGCTACAAAACATGGACACACTACGAAGACACGTGTTCCATATCCACGGCGATATGGATCCGCTTGTCTGCCGATTTTCACATTGCAAAGACCACAAACCTCCCTTGGAGTTCAAGACTGAGGACGAATTCGAATCTCACATGGAAAAGAAGCATTTTGCAAGGTATTTGTGGCACTTTGGTGAAGGCTGCCAAAACAAGGGTATTTGGACGGTTAAGAACAAAGCCGACAAATTACCTACGTATCTATTCGATGAGAATGGCAACCAGGTCACACCTTCGGTCGCCGACCAACGGCTAGAAAGCGATCTGCAGCACAAGGAGCGCAGGCGCAAACTCCGGAATTTACTACAGCAACAGAACGAAAATGCGCCAACGGAGGAAGAATGGATGAATCAAATGTTGGGCATACTTGGACAAGGTACCTGATATTCTGACGAAGGCCTGAAGTGCAAATTGCACTAGCCAGAACAACTTCTCTTATCAAATTCAATTAGAGGCATTTGTACCGAGTACCATAGGGGCATTGGCATGCGAGATTAGGTAATCAGAGGCGCATTCCCGAATCCCAGCAGCCTTGTAGCATAGCATTCTGCATAATCAATGCTCACGGTCACCTGACAGGTACAGCAGAGCATTGATGACTACCTAGGTAGGTATACCCGCCTGAAGGCGCGAGCCGACGCGGATGACGAAGAATCAGGAAATGAAAATGCAATTTCGTATCTGGTTTAAGTTCTGAGCGACCTGCTACTACGGTTGACCCTGCGGGATAGGACTCAACCGTATACGAAATCTTGAGCATAAGTGATATATCTCTCTGCACCCTTTATGCTGCCCTGGTATATTGAGCACCGCCTCAGACGGCAGATCTTAAAAACCATCTCGGGATAGTGAACGTCGAGCACATTTTAGGTAGCTGGGTAGTAACCGTAAGACGAAGAGATTATCTTATGATGTTTACAGTTCAGGATTTATACGTCAATGCACCTGGCATCTTGGGCTTAGGCAGGCCAGTAGCATAAAGATACAGGGTACCCAAGCAGAGCATACATGTGTATTTTCGGACACGAAAGACACGATTCAAGCGTGCTGACATTGAACTCGGTACCTACATGTAGGACATGGCAGAGACATGGCTACTTCCATTCGACTGTGCGTATACTTACTTACCTGTAGACAATTTAGGTGGTAGGCTGAGGACCAAGTTACGTAGTAGGATCAAGCACAAGGCATGTATGTACATTGTCTGTAGAAGGCAGGTAGTGCCTACCAATCTATTCGAGTGGCTTATGCTGTCAGATACCAAGTAATGCGGTAGTCTGAGGTAGGTAGGATACTTCGTAGGTACCTAGACAGGCGAGAATCGCAGTAGGTGGCGGATAGTTACAATAGCGACGTTGCACTGTGGTGTAGGTACCTACCGTCAGTCCCGAACCAGCCTTGTTTCTCTCTCTTCTACCTGTTTCTCGTGTAGGTACCTACCTACCTACCTACCTACCTACCTACCTAACCTAGGTACTCGACCTAAAGAACTCGTTGTTTGTTGAATGGATTTACTGCTGTTTGTTTCTTGGTCCGTGACGACGCCGACTTATTTGTTGCTGTCCCCGCAGTGCCGAGCTCTCGCGGCAGCAAGAACCACACCAGAGCAAGAGGAGATATGATGTAGTTTGACTGGGGGGGCCAATTGATGATTATCAAGCAATGAATTCATGCTATGGACACTTCCCGCTAACCTGACGCTCCGCCACCCCATACTTTTTGCCCGTCCCAGACCGTGCCTAGCGCTACGGACTGCCCTGACCAGCATTGTCGGCCACCAATAGGCACAGCCGTTCGCTGTAAGGACTCTGTAAGGACCAACTGTATCGATGCCAAGGATCAGACACAGGACCAGCTCTCTGACCAGCCGAGCCAGCCAATCCAGACCAGCCCAGCTCGACAGGACTGCTCCAAGCCGACCAAAACCGCCCAGGCGCCCCCAGACCAACCACGCCAGGGCCATCGTCTAGCCGTGGCACTGCGTGGAGTCGTCCCGACATAGGTAGCGTCTCCGGAGAGTAGCGTACTGGTCGTGGTAGTAGCGCTGTTCGAAACAGCCGCAAGCTGCCATGATCTCCGACGATCTATCTCGTCCTCGTCCTCGTCCTCATCCCTCCTCTTCCTCATCACCACCATCGCCCCCTGCACCTCCATCGTCATCATCCCACGGCCGCCCACATCGCTTTCGACTCAAGCAGCGGCTCGCAACATGGCATCATTCGCGCCCTGATCTACGACAAGCACCCACTGACGATCAGTTCGACAACAAGTCCTCTGCTTCATCCACGATGCCTTCCCTCAAGTCACCCTCGCACCCCGGTGGTGGTAATAGCCACTTCAATCAAAAACTCAAGAACTTCTTCCGCATAAACAATCATAATGGCATGTCCGATAAAGAAAAGCTGTCCTCGGACAGTTCCTTGAAGGCTGATTCCAAGGTCCGCCAGCCAAAACGCTTTTTCACCACCGTCGGCAGACTTAGGTCCACTACTACGGCGAGCGAAGGAAACCCTCTTGACGATGTCATGAGCCCGACAGCAAGTGCGAATCCTTACTTCGCCCATCAAGGCCAGCCTGGCCTTCGTCATCATGATACAGGTTCGGTACCGCCAAGCCCACCGGATACTCCGATCTTGAGAATTGACGGTCCAGGCGGAACCAAAGAACATGCTACCAACGCGACGAAAGAAGAACTGGCACGGAAGCTTCGACGAGTTGCGAGTGCTCCTAATGCCCAGGGTCTCTTCAGCCAAAGTAAGGCCGACGGCGAGCGACCCGCCACCGCCGAGCTCGGAAAAGAGCCGCTTGTCCAGAGTGGAAATACTTCAACGCTTGGCTTGGTTGATTCTAAGCCCAACTCCCTCAGCGATGCCAGGACTCTCTCGGTTCCCGACAGAGACGGACTAGGAGCTCTCCCCCCGCCCGGTCCCAGTAGCCTGGCCTTCCGTCGAACGTATAGCGCCAACTCGATCAAAGTCCGCACCGTCGAAGTGGGGCCCTCGAGCTTTGACAAGATTAAGTTGATCGGTAAAGGTGACGTAGGGAAGGTCTACCTTGTTAGGGAGAAGAAGAGCACTAGATTATATGCCATGAAAGGTCCGTTATCATGACAACCGGTCTATGCCAAGTGAATACTGACCCAGACAGTTCTAAGCAAGAAGGAAATGATCAAACGTAATAAGATCAAACGAGCATTAGCTGAACAGGAAATCCTAGCTACAAGCAACCATCCCTTCATTGTCACACTATACCACTCTTTCCAGTCCGAGGATCATCTCTATCTATGTATGGAGTATTGTAGCGGCGGTGAGTTCTTTCGAGCATTACAGACGCGCCCCGGAAAGTGTATCCCCGAAGAAGACGCTCGCTTCTATGCCGCCGAAGTAACAGCAGCATTGGAGTATTTACATCTGATGGGCTTCATTTATCGAGACTTGAAGCCAGAGAGTAAGTCGTCGTGAATTGCCAGTCTCCTGCCTGCCACTCTAATTGTGCCATAGACATTCTTCTTCATCAATCTGGTCATATCATGCTTTCCGATTTCGATCTATCAAAACAGTCAGGCCCCGGTGGTAAGCCCACTATGATCATGGGAAAGAACGGAGCTAGTACCTCTTCGCTTCCTACGATCGACACAAAATCCTGCATAGCCAACTTCCGAACAAATTCTTTCGTTGGAACAGAGGAATATATCGCGCCTGAAGTTATCAAGGGGAGCGGCCACACAAGCGCCGTAGATTGGTGGACATTAGGTATTCTCATCTTCGAGATGCTTTATGGCACCACTCCTTTCAAGGGCAAAAATCGAAACGCCACATTTGCGAATATTCTACGTGAGGAGGTCGCTTTTCCTGAGCATTCTGGCGCGCCTCAAATCTCGAAGTAAGCTACTCTTTTGAATTAGAGAATTCGTATCTTGTATAAATACTAACGTACGCCAGTCTATGTAAATCTCTGATACGTAAATTACTTATCAAGGATGAGACCCGACGCCTTGGTGCAAGGGCAGGAGCATCAGACATCAAGACACATGCTTTCTTCCGCACTACCCAATGGGCACTCATCCGGCACATGAAGCCCCCCATTGTTCCCCATGCCGGCCGCGGCATAGATACGGTGAATTTCCGAAATGTCAAAGAGAGTGAGAGTGTTGACATCACCGCCTCGAAATCGCCTGGCTTTGTCAAGGGCGTGCCCTTAGATAGCGGGTTGGCAACTCCAGGTAACGAAGTCTCGGATCCTTTCGAAGAGTTCAACAGCGTGACTTTGCATCATGATGGAGATGAGCACTACAGTGACCACGACTCTATCCGGTAGCTCCCTAGATGATCGAATCAGCGGTATAGCGTCGTTACAACCCAAGATTGCAAGCGACCTGTGGTTATCAGACTCCATAAAATGCTTGTGTCCTCACACAACCCACATGTATGCCATCTGTGCGACTGTGGAATGTATCATAGAATTTGTCGAACAACAAGCGAGACAATTTCGTGGTAAGCTTGGTTGCTCTTTTCCTCGTAGCCAAGTTTTTACGGGCTTTGAAAGAAAGTCATGAAGGCATGTGAAAAAAACACATTGAAACTCGGTCAGATAGGTGTCATTTCTCTCTTCCATTGGCGTCAGGTGTTGGGGAGAGGAACGGAACGGCATAAGAACACCAGCATCTACAGTCGTAGTTGCAAGCCCTCATTCTTAGGTAGCATCATTCAAAACATGTTTACCTAGTCGGGTACCTGTTGAGCTGGCCCTACGCCAATGTATACACAAGAAACGTCGTTACCTGTATATCTGAATAGATTTGCTAATTAGAATGAAGGCGGATGATTTTTTCTTTTCTTTTCTTTATATCGCGCGAAATAGGACTCATAGCACAATTTAGCAAATCTTATATTTTATTTCCAATATCCCATGCGAGACTTTCTCAGCCAGGAGTCCACTAAAACCAGCATTAAGGGAATCTCTTGAGCAAAAAGTGTTCAGCAGTTTTATCTTCAAGTATCAGGTGGCCGAATTTGGGTCTCGCGTGCGACCCTGCGGACATACACTCACATGATACAAGCCGGATTCATAGGCGCCATGTGACTTGAATCACTAAACAGAGCCCTCGCTAGTATTTATTCATTAGACTTTATGTTCGATATATATCTCGCCATATCCTTCGCAAGCTTCTGTGCTATTTGCGCATTCATGCCCATTTAGTATCTAGTCTAGCTTAGCTGGCTTAGTTAGCATCGCATTTCATATTAGGAATCGTCGGCCTCGGTACTCGACTAAGTCAAATACCTACCGACTTCCCTTTTGGATGTGAAGTGGGTGGGTGACATCAGGCTGGCTGGTAGCTTTCTTCAACCAAAAAGCCGAAAATCAATTGTCCTATAAAGCACTAAGGAAGACTCCAGATGGATAGACCCTGAAACAATATTTCTTTGGTAATTTTCTTGTTTCTATTGTTACGAGAGAGTGAATAGTCTTATACTGGATCCAAAATAAAAATCTGGATGAGGAAAAAATCAAGCGACACGATGCATAGATGGAGAATTCAAGTACCACGAGATCAGTGAGGTCGGCGCCGCTCGTACCGGGATTTATGGCAACGTCAACCCCCGGATCGAACCCCGAAAACGGGGCTGGAGTATATTTACTAAAGTGGATGGGAACTAAGATTACCAAAACAAACATCGACAGCGTCGCTCAGCTACGGACATGCATTCAAGAAGACGGCGATGACAGTCGCCAACTGCTAGTCTTCCGAGGGTTGCCTGAGGACTACGAGTTGGTGTTGAGGGAGGCGACGGATATTGAGCCTTCATTTATCGATGCGCATACCGGCAGAAGAAGCTATAGGCAGCGGAAGACGAGGGTCAAAGCCACCTGGGCGCACTATGACTATCCCGAGCTTATTCGTGCCCTCAATGACAGGCGATATACCGTGACCCTTAATGACCTCGTGAGCAACCCCTCTACCTACAAGATGCCTGCCACCAGCGATAGCGTGATGCTCTGCCGGGCGTCCGTTTGGCTCTCTGAGAAAGCACACAGTGAGTTCACTTATCTTCCCCTTCTCACACACTTACTCTGGAGTCCGCATCGTTTAACGAGCATGATGTATAGTCCTCTTCCTAGATCGGGCGCCGTGGGAAGACCCGACCTTAGGAGTATCGCGGGGGCGGTATAAGGCCTACATAGGAAAGACCGTCCCGAACGAGAACGGTATACCGATAACCTGGAATGAAATGGACATTCACGGTAATATGGTACCTCTCGGGGATGAGATTCCGAGTTTCGAGACAATGCTCTGTGAAAACTTGCGGGAGGGCTGCTCAGGTCCTGAAGACCTCCTTGAACTCTTCGAAGACTTGATGTTAGACAAATGGTCCGATTTCCTTGAGGCATCAAGCCTCGATCCATCTGTTTTCTCGACGGAGATCGCGCCCCTGTTCTCGCATGCGTTAGTTTGTTTGGAGCGAAACTTGAACGTTTCGCGGCGATGGCGTGGGGCGAGACAACAAGCAGTCGATACATCTCAAGAAAGCCACTTCCTCCTAGACGCAAGACCTTACCCCGCGAAGACGGAATGGGAAGCGCTGCTCGCTCGGCTCAGCCGGCAGACACAACTCCTCAGCAATCTAACGACTATCGCAGCGAATCCGCCATCACGGAGGCTGAGCGCGATACAGGCAGCTAATGGTTTCGGTATATCGGCGGTGAAAACGAGCGAAAACAAATGCGATTGTAAATCGAAGAACAAAGATGATAATAATAACTGTAGCTACGATAACAACGCCAATGCCAACAGACACCACTCTACATCTGCGGAGAACCAACGCGCCCTGAACCGCGTGGCGTACCTGGGCGGCGTACTGCTCCCCTTTTCCGTGGTATCCGGGATCCTGGCCATCGAGGAGCCGTTCGGGCCAGGGGACGCGCAGTTCTGGATCTTCTGGGCCGTCACCGTGCCTCTGACGCTCCTAACGCTCGGGGTCATCTACGCCGACTCGATCCGCAAGGTGCAAGTGTGGGTAGAGGTCGCGGCGTCTGGAAAAGGTTCTTCGTCTGGCGGTAGTTCGCACTTGGACCTGGGCTTGGGTTCCAGCTACGAACTCCCGCAGCCCGATGTCGAGTATGCTGTGCCTGTGACGGGCAGGATGGCGGTGCCGTATAGTCTCTCGGTGAATTCTGTTCCTGCGGAAGCGGTCTTGGGGGCTGAAGGTAGGGAGGGAGAGGAGAACGACGGACATGCGGGAGGAGATGAAGACGAAGAACCGGATATGATTGTTGAGAAACGCTGGAAGAAGGACTCGCCTGCGCAACAGGTCAATTCCGGCCTAGATGGCGACGATTGGAGGAAGAAGAAGGATATCAAATGGCGCAAGGAAGAACTCGGTTGGCTCGGCGCGTGTGCAACGTTGTTTCAGGTGTATAAGCTCAAGAAAGGGGTGCCGCCTCGACATCTTCGCCATAATGATAGGAGAGATAGACTCAGGCGCGTAAGGACGAATTAATAGCTATTGAGGAGGTTAGACGACAGGGTCTCTGGTTTATTATCAGTAACCATTTATATTAGCCTTTCGTCTTCGATGGGCTTGTTGGGGGGTTCCATGATCCGGCTACTTATCGAGGTGAATAATCCTATCACCTCAGGACATAGACTACTTAATACTATCTGTCAAACAAACTAGGACAGCAGAGGACTAGGGAAAGACCCTGAGTTCTATGTTCAAATTCTGCGCCTCAGGTCGGAATTCGTCATCACGCAAGTCGCTTCAGAGCCCATTAATCGCAAGAATTACCAGGGTGCTTTTGGCTAGAAGACATGTATTGAAACGAGCGTATTCAAATAATTGCCTAAAGAATGACTCGCCTATCCAAGAAGTACTTGCAGTGTGTTTCGTTTCTTATACATTGTGTGTTCATTACCCTCAGAGTCCCGCCGCTTTAGATAGAATTCTGCTTCTGGCGAATCTCAAAGACTCGCATGACCTCCTCGGCAGCCTTGACACCTGATAGCGCCATAGCGCCAAAGGTCGGCCCCATACGGTTTGCTCCGTCAACCTCAGACAGCTCCATTCCGCCACAGATGAGACCAGGGACGACCTCGCGCGTGCCCTTAACAATGGCGTCCTCGGCTGAGTTCATGTCGAGCCCGCGCATGCCGCCGAGCTTATCGAGCGCCTGCATGCTAACCAGGCGCTTGGCACTGAACGCGCCGAACGGGCCATCGTGGCCTGTCGTGCTGATGATGACGGGCGCGTTGATAGTGCTGGGATCCATGCAGGACTGGTCGTCATGATGCATCGCGACGAGCGTCCAGTTGGTCACAACACCCGCGATGCGGATCCCGCCGGACTCATCGCGCCGGGTGATGAGGTCCTCGACAGTCGTGGCGTTGAAGAGCTTCACGTTAGGAAAGGAAAGGACCTTGGAAAGCAGGGTCGAAGTGAACAGCGCAGCATGCTTAACGACGACGTAGGACCCTTCGTCTTCGAAGGGAATGCCTAGCTCCGTCAGGAACTTGTCTGCTGGCTTGCGCATCACCATGGCGCTGAACAGTTGGCCTCCGAGCCAGGCACCACCACCTAGAGTCTATTAGCTAATATCCCGCAATATTCTATATAATATAGTCCATACCGGGCGACACGCTGGCTTCTATAATGGCAATCTTCAAGTCAGGACGGGCTTTGGCAAGAGTATATGCGGAGCTCAAACCGCAAGACCCCGCGCCCACGATGACAACGTCAGACTCGGCGTATGTGTCCAAATCGTTGAAGTATCGGCGGGCCATGGCGCGAGCGACCTGAGATTCTCTGATAGGCTCGAAGGAGAAATCCTTCCATTTCCCATCGGCGGTCTGTACGGCCTCGTTGACGCGTGGCTTGCCATTGCCGACCGGGACACCGCCCTTGTGGGGGAGGGCGGTGGGCTCAACGACGTCCATAGTCACAGCTGGTGCCATATTGAAATCAAGTTGCGTGATATATGTATTCTGATCGCAGTGTCAGCCAATCGCGCACAGTCGAGCTAAAAAGGGGTGAAACATCGAGCGCATGATCCTTTCGCTGGTATTATCCAGATCAAGTTCAACGCCGTATAATCTCAGAACGAGCTCCGTTTGGTTTAGCCCGATACCGACTACACAACCCTACCATGATGTCCCACGCCGCAAAAGGAGTGCTCAATCAATGGCAGGGATAGCGCGGTCAGTATCGGCGCCCGGAGACTCGAACACCGGCTCATGGCTCATCACCGATCTGATGTTACCTGATGACATGTTGATACTCGTTATAGCGGGCCATCGCGAAGATGGCCCCTTCACTGGATAAACCCGTCAAGGGTACATGTCCTCCGAGATGGATCTGGCCATTCGCGGCGCGTACCGATGAAGATACTGTGAGAAATGGAAAAGTCAGTGTGATCTACGTCTCCTCCTCGACCAGAACGGCGAAGGGGTCAGCGCTAGCAGCGAGGCTCACGATGTATTCGTTTTTTTCTGCGGATAACTCTACAAAATATTTTCATACGTAGGATAATCCAGTGAAGTAAAAGGGAAGAGGAGCAAGCTCTGTGAGGAATTTCATATGTTTGATATAACAGCGCTGAGGAGCGGGGTAAGGAAGAAGGTGTCGTCACGACGACCTATATCGGACTACTGTCTCCAATGAAGTGTGATGAGCGGTTTCACGCCGTTGCCCCCTAACTGTATGAGATGATAATGTCCGTGATTGTGACTGGCCCTCTCTATCGACAAGAATCGGGCTGGGTGGAGTGATTTATGGAGACACTGGTTATCTAGAGTGAGACTGAACGATTCTCACCGAGGATCAATCCATACCCGACAGTCTACGTGGACGCTGTTCGTCCGATGTCTTGCATTAGTATTCAATGTGTTTTGTGTTCACGAACAAACCCCACGGTTTCAATTGGTAAATGAGCGAATCATATATGCTAAATATTGGCCCTTTCGATAATATTCGCCGAGAACCGTTTTTCTTTCGACTGCAATGCCCCGACTTCGCCGGACCTGACTCAGGAGATTTCTGTATCATGTAACTTTACTAACAATGAAACTCACGCCCGTAGGGACTTTCGGGGTATAATCAAGATGAGCGCTCGTAATGACTAGTGTGCCTTCACAAACACGATCTCCGTCGTTACACAGGATCAATGTCTTATTGGCGTCATAGTTAGGTATCTTGCCCCCGTCTTGTTTCTTCTGGGTGTCTCCATATGTTACTGCCGCGAAAATACGTGCTCTTGCTGAGGCGGCAAGCTGCTCGACCGCAGCGTGTACCAATGCCGCCCCTTGGCTGTACCCAGAAACGACGAGCTTAGACGATGGGCACTTCTGTGCCGCGCCCGTGAGCAGTGTCGCGAAGGTTTTGGCCTCAGTTGGGTCACAGCCTCCTGGCAATAGATTAAAGAGAATGTTAGCACTGTAGTCGACCCCTTGGATTGCGACCTTGCTGGCTCCTAGAGCTGCTATGAGTCCATCCGCGGTTTGAGGACCCGGCTGGTCTCCCTGAAATTGTCCTTGTTAGCTAAAATCTCGGCAAAGTTTTCCCATGTTCTTACCATATTGCCTGGCTGAGTGCTGCCTCGGGCATAAAAGAGAATGATGTCCTTGCAACCCCCATTGACATAGTCGTTGGCAGTAGTGCCAGTAGCCTGGCTATCTAACACGGTGCCATCGGTGGTATCTAAGCTAATAGGACTCGCCGTTACGACAAAAGTTAATGCTGCGGAAATAAACCATCTTGAAATTTTCATGTCGAAGAAGAAGATCTCAAGGCAATGAAACGAAGAGCTATTGGGTATGACTTTGGAAATCGCACTTGCGCTACATTGACTCGATTGTCGAGATATCTACTACTATGACGAGACATCAGGAATGGCTATGACCATCTATTTAATCAATCTGATATTCCAGCTACACCTAGTTTCCCGCTCCAAGATGATATATGAGTAGGGGGTGTGGTCAGAGCATCAATAAGGTTTCATAGACCCAGGCGGTATTGTCCTCAGCCATTCCTGTAGACCACTCGACTGTTTACGCTAGCCTTCATGCCGAACCATATCGTAGGAAAGGCAATAGAAGCTGAAAACCGGAGTTCCATCGCAGCTCTTTATTGGACTCTTGCGTCCGATATTGCAAGAGATTGGAGTGAACCAACCTACCTTTTCTCCCTGCGATGTCACACCCCGATCTTTTAATCCAGTATGCGCAAAGAGCGGGAGTGCGGACGACTATAGCACATTCCTGTATAGGGAGGCTTTCTCCGGCCTCGACACCTCCCCGAAGTAGATTTGAGCTCTGTGCGTGAACGAAAGGCGCTCGTTGCATCACGGGATGCGGAGATAAAGTGTTTATGGAGCAGTTCCGTCTGCACGTCATGCTTGATCCAGAAACCACCCTGGTCCGGCCATGCAGACGTCTGTCAAACCATGGTGACTAATTCTCCAACCCTTCATCTTGAGTAGGTATAGTAAAGTATTGCGTGATTTCGACGGGGACGAGACTACCAGGGTAGTGTTGGCTTTGAAATGTCAGTCCTCGTGGCTGGAGCACCACTTTTGCAGCGGGTACCTGACGATCCTCGAGTACAACGATATATTCAGACCACAGCTGAAGGATCTGCCTCTCTTGCTTGAAGTCATATTTCGGAGCTTTCCGCTCACGGTGGACGTAGCTGAACCTGTTGGTCACATCGATCTTCGGATTCCGTATCGTGGCTGAAGTCTCTATCCGTCAATTGTGAAGGGGTCACATCTCCCCGCCCTACACGAGCCAACTATCTCAATATGCAGGAGACTGAGCCGCCCAGCATCGGTGAAATATTCGTATTCCGTTGACAAAGAATGCGGTGATGTTTGTGGGCTAGGATTCGCTATGCATCTTGGCCTCCTTCGCCTTACAATACAAGTCTTGAGAGGGATAGGCTGTCTACAACGTACAATCATTTCGTTCATGAATCACGAAGGTGCAAAGAGTAAACTGGGTACGTTGAACGAAAACTGTGCATTCGAGGTATGTTATAATATCCATACCCTAGTCTAATGATTGACCTTTGCCAAACAAGTATGCTCCTGCTTTCGTCGCTGAAGTCCTCTCTTCGTACTATGGAAATAACTCCTATAGTAGAGATACGTAAGGTAGTGTAAGCGATAAATTCGCCCTTCCCATTCGGTGCCCAGATGGTCCCGGTCGACAGTCCCAATGCAAATTGTCCCTATGAGATGCTGCCTGAGTCTATCAGATGTGTAAGAATGAAAACGTGCGTCTAGCCTCCGTCCTGGTATCTATGAAATCTTAATGCAAAAGCCTTCCTCATAACGCTGTATGAACGCCTGAATATTCCCTAGTCCCAAATGATAATGAAGAAAAGCCGGTAACTCGTCCATCCAGATGTGTGATGGGTGGCTGATAGTGCTGGGTATATTTGTATGAATTGTTGGTGTTGGTGACAGTCATGATTGTCATGTTGATGTTGACGCCTCTGCTTGATAGTCTAGCGAGAGTTGTAGAGCTCTCGTGGATACTGGCATTGCCAAGTAGCCCCATCGAAGCAGATTGTTCCATTACCGGATACGAGAGAGCGCTGTAAAGCCGAATCAGTTTCCGCAACAACTTTCTGAAGACTGGTAGAGTGTAACTTACGTGTGTCATTCTTGGGAGACGAAGGGCCCGAGAAGAAGAACATCAAGGCCCAGTGGACAATGGAGGCAAGGAAGAGGACAGCAACTATTCCTAGTTGAGGACCCTCGAAAATGCCCTGACCAACGGCGACGAAAAGGGCGAGCGAGCAAAGGGCCGCGATGGCAACCTCGTAGCTCGAGGAGCCCGAGTAGAGTGAGAGGACATCGATCCATTTGGAGCCGTAGAATTCGGGCGTGGCATCTTCGATCTCGAAGTGCACGCGTGTCCGACGGCCCTTCGATCCCGAGTTTGACCTAGACCGTGTTCGCTCCAGGGGAACCATGGTCTGGGTTTGGGTCATAGTCATTGTGGCAGACATCTTGAATGTTGTTTTTGAGTAACGGCTTGGTATGAAGTTCAAGACGGTAGTTGTATAAGTGTACGCAGTACAGTCCTGGCTATGTATCGTACGATGCGAGGAAAGTCTAGACTGACTGACTGGGGAAGTCGAGATGGACAAGAACAAGAAACCTGGGGTTGGAACGATGGATGGATGCCTTGTAGGACTATATATCTCACGAGAGCCAGAAATTGCCGCTGCTCATATGCCTCGAAACCAATCGGGATGATTCGGCTATCTATATAGACACTTGTTGCTCACTTATCTCTCAACCCAAGACAGTACGCCACACACACACATGGTCTTGGATGCTTGTTGTTCCTCCAAGACGGTGGTGAGACTTGGGCTACCCGGCCTAGTACATGTCGCTAACCAAGTCGAGTGGCTCACGATTTGAAATTTTGGATGGGCTCGATACGCTCACTAGAGTAGATCCATCGACAATGGTACTTCCTACATGTGATGTGCGACATAATGCTCGAAGATTTGCTGCGGCTGTCGGTATACCGCTCGGTATTGTCGACATGGCTGGCTAGTGTAGCGTAGCGATCTGAGTGGCATCGTGGATAGCCTACAGTAGTTGCATGACGAGGACCCAGTTTGCTGACAGGACCCATGCACACGCCGTCTAAAATTGAACTTGTCGGCCTTGCCTATTTGACATCTCGCCGTCGTTGGGCGAAGGAATGGGCCTAAGTCAAGTCTGCCTGTGTCTCACCTCACCCCTCTTCACAGTCTCATAGGCCCTTGGCCCAATACCCTTACCCTTGCCCTTCCGCCCATCCTTATCCTCATTCTCACCTGGGCCCCTTCCTTTACTAGCAAAGCGTAGTGTTGGCTGAGATGAATAAGCTTATTCGTAGCGTACATGTACCGTAGTCTGTCGGTAGTGTACTACCTATTGTACATACATCTCGCTGCCGCGTGATGGGCGCGATAGGCACGCACATTGACAGAACAAGAAACCCTCCGAGGCTGCTTTTGTCGTACGCCCTGTACGTCAGGATAACCATAGAAATGGCGGCAGGACCCTTTGTCTCGGCTGTTACCGAAATAGGTTATTATGTGTTCACTCCCGCCTGCATCGTGGCGTAACATTATATAAATGGCATCTGACGAGTGCGCTACCTATCCTACCTACAGTCTGTACGTCCCTACGCTGCGACAAAGCTTTTGTAAGTAGATACACTCTGCTATCGGTATCATGGAATGCTACCATTGTGAGACTGGGATGCGGTGTTTGGCCAAGCCAAGTAAGCAAGGGAGGGTCAGTAAAGGCGGCCTTGGCTGTCTTGAATCCTACAGGTTACCTACACTAGGAGAATGCCGTTGGTGGCTCCAGGAAGACCGGTCCTGATTGGCCGAGCAGAGACGCTGGCTTGATATAAAGTAGTAATTTGAAATCATGGATGGACACAACTGGGGAGTCTAAAGACTCATATTCATACACACTACTTAATTAGTCGGCGATTGAGTAGTGTTTCTAGAAGAACATGAAGGACCTAGTTAAGAACTTAGTCGGGATTCTTGTCAAGGTTTTTACTCAGTAGGTACTATAGTAGTTACAATCCATGGCTTATTAGTAATAGACTTAGTACAGCGATGGAAATGGTGACGATGATGACGATACTCAAATTATTTCTTCGTTTCAGTGTAGCGTCTGTACTAGTTAGGGAGGTATACGCACCCGGCCAGTACTGCCCGGTATCTGTAAGTGCAAATCATAAAACAATAGTTATTGTTTCTTTCCCTGCATAGGTAGTCTAATTAGATAAGAGAAACCAGAGAACTCCTCCACTATCAGGCATGTGTAGTCTTACACATGGGGTCTACTTACAGTGGTCTAAGTGGTGTATGCGCCGTTATCATCTAAACGATTTGAATTATCCACTGCCCGTGCAACTCCCGTCTGTACGTCTATAGTCTATATCGTAAAATCTCGTCCAGTCAAGAAGGCAGGTGTTGCACATGTGAATGTGTCTGAAGGTTTGCGATTGCCAACTGTATCGCACACAAAGTATTTGATTCGGGGCGCTTCGTCCCATAGGTACTAGATTGCGAATATCTAAATGACACTGTGATAGGTAGTCCTAGTATATTTGGTAAGTGATGTAATGCTATTGCTTGGACAGTCTGGACAGTATTCGCATTTTCTAGACATCATCTCGGTCCTGTCGTTTCTCCTCGATCGATCACCAACGGTCAAAGCGCTGGTTCGTGTTCAAACAATCCTCTGCACAAGACTGGTAGGTAGGTAAGCAGATAAATGGAATGGCCGACACTACAGACTCACGCTACACCTCAAGGGATTTAAAGTCTCTACTAAATAGCGTAGTTGACAGGCAGGGCTGGTAGTGTCTCCACTCTAACACCTTCATCTGAGCTTGGTTCTGAGCTGGGTGCCCTTGACCCTCTTACTCATCTTATCTTGGGCGAATATTGGAGTATTGGGGGCAGCATTGGGGTAGAACTGGGGAAAGAATAGCAAGTCGTGCCAAGCGCATGAGCATGAATCTCGACTACCGACACACATAACACAATGAGGCAGCTGGTCAAATTTGATTTGTTAAGTGTGGAATGTATCCTACCTACCGTAACCTTCGAAGGATAGTATGCAGAGTATTTGACGATGGGATACATCTTGAGTGCTGAAACGATATCATACTTGCAAGCCTACAACATTTGGGATTACCATAAGACAGATAACTAGTGTAGTGTAGCTCATGTTATTTCCACTAGGCCAGGTTATAATTACTCAGACTGGACTCCCACACTGAGCTACGGTGCGTTGCCGCGATGCCAAAGATAGCAACCGTGATTTCACGTGGTGACGATTGTTGACATGTTCGACCAAGATCAGCACGCGTAGTACAAATTCCGTGGATTATAATAATTGATCGTCCATTCCCATGTCTTCGACAGCAATGAAACGTACTGTAGATCATGCATGCATGGAGAATCCCGTTACCATTACAGAATGAGTACACCCAAAATGCGACACTCACACAGTATTCCATACAAACTCTATTATTTCACCTGGCACAGAGTGGTCAGTTAAATAGAAAAGACACATAATCAGCAGAGATATGTCTCCTGAAGCTTCTTCTATAAAAATTTTACATGTATTTAGTCATTTGATTTTGTTTGGCTATTTGGCTGGCTTTGAAGGTAGCAGAGTCGGAATTGACAATGGTATGGGGGCCTTTTTAGTGTACTCACTCTACCGCCAAATGTATCCTTGTCAGAACTTTTGAAATTTAGTGTGGGTAAAGGTGCTGTTTTGGTACACTACTTGACTTCTGGAAACAATCCTTCAACCTAGCGACTAGGTACACTATTTTTATCATCGCTTTGGGTCAGGTTCAATTTTACATATAGGTAACGCAGCTGATGAAATGATCGGCAGGCAAGGCGTGTGGCAGTGTCGCGGAGGTGAACATGATGTCAGCTGGAGCCGTCGGCCAGAAATATACTTACACTGTCGCCAGGAGTCATGGGAGGTGTACCTAAAACCTTCGCTTCAGCCTAACTTGCGAACCTGTGTATTCAACGAGACATGCTGTCATAATTCGTGTCCGAAGAATCTTGCAAACTCCCAGTACTGACACGTGTCGATAGACACCCAAAGGCCCAACATAACCTAACAATGCGAGTATGATCCTCCTCGCTGATCACCAACAACAGCTCTTCACGTGCTTCCGCTCGATCCCCCGTAGTCTGCCTGTAGCAAAAGGCTCTGACGCGCATCCTATTAGTCGACGAAACAGCCTCCGCGTTTCCCATCCACCAAAACCGCGACCGCCGCTGGGAGTCGATAGTCCTAAAACCTATCCTTCAGTCCTGGACGCAGGTAGCGGAGAGGAAGGGGGATAAGCGACAAAGGCAGGCAATATTAGGAAAGAAACTGCGAGTCTTGCTGAGCAACGCCGCAACAGCTGTCAACTGCGTAAGCCCGTACTTCTGACTTACCGACGTTTAGACGATGAAAGGTCCGAGGGGGAAAGCCGTTGCATGCGATCTTAGTTATAAAAAAAACCAATATTAAGTAGGTACTTGGGTTCCGGTCCTCCGTGATTCGTCGCCCCTGAACGTCATGATGAATCGCGCAGTAGCCAATACTATATAAAAAACGCGTATGTTAATGAAACGATGGAATGCACCTTTATTGAGAAAGACTCTGATTGTATTTACAATTCGTAAAAAGCTATATAGACAATGGTACATTAATCGATGTGGTAGTCCTCTACACGCAAGCAGTTTGAGTGTGTGCGGCACATAGCGTCACTTAAGGCGGACATCACTTCGTCCAAAAACGATATGGCATACATACACAAAAGCCCGTCGAAAAGTCGACAACAAGAGTGAAAACAATTAGACAGATTGGTGACAAGCAACCAGGGAAATATTGAATTAACACTTGGAAAGAAAGCGAAGTGGTATCTTGCAGAAAACAAACATGCTAGGCCCGAGCCCCCCTGTGCTACAAGGTTTCCCCAGTCTCGTAGACGAGTCACAAGCAAACAATATCGAACATTGAATATGAAAGGCGAAAGGCCTCTCGAATCAGCCGGATCGGCGTTCATGAAAATATACACGTGCCATCTCTCTTCAAATCATGCCCCATCGAGATCGTGAGCGATTTAGTTACTGTATGCCATTGCAAAAAGAAAGCGAATAATAAGAAAGAGAAGAAAAGTAAGGGTGAATCAGCATACGCACTGTCGTAAGTGTAACTTGTGGATCGAATTGAAACATGTGTACCACAAGTAGCTGGAGAAGACCCGCTGTCGTGACGAAGCATTGGCGGTGCGAAACGTTTGGACCACATCTAGAAGCAGTTGAGGCTGCCCTTCTTCTTTTTCTTCTGGTTGATTGCATTCATGCGTTCCTCCAGATGAGCACGAGCACGTTCAGATTCTTGCCGCTTCTTGCGCTCTTCCTCGATTTGATGAAGACTGTCTCTCCAGCGGGGATCTTGTGGCGGTTTTTCTTTGAGGTCCTTGTTCTCCACCTCTAGTTCTTGAGCCCGTTTCTTCCACGCCTCAGCATCTGCCTTGACTTTCTTGGATTGGTTTTCGAGGTCTGTCAATGCTTCTTCTAGTGTAGCAGTGAGCTGCCTCTCTGCGTTCAAATGTCTTTCAATACTCTTGATCCGGGCCTCCTGGTCCTCTCGAATCTGGGCCATGGCAAGATCGTTGCTTGCTGGTCTACCACCAGTTGGCGTAGGCGGAACCGGAGAAGTCGAACCGCCTGCTGGCAGAGGCGGCAGCGGAATTGCTGGTGGCGGTGAGGGGAGCGACACAACGGATGAAGTTTTGCGCATTTGGGACGTCATCGAATTGGTGCGCTTTGGCGCATCAGTCTCTTCGATACGAGCCTTGTAACCTTGTTAACTTCCATTACACTCGCTCTTGATGGGAAATTTTGTAGTCTTACCTGTAGGACACTCAACTCCTGTCGGATGGCATCTAAATCAGCTTCGGCCTTCATCTTAGCGGCATGCGCTTCCTCTATTTGAGCGTTACGTTCTGTCTGTAGGATCGACAGCCTATTGTTGGTGATTTGAGCCTGGTCAAAGTTGGTTTGAAGCTGGTCCTCAAGCTCTTCCACTATGCGTGACTGTTTCTTGTTCTTATTGTCGAGCTCAGTCATCTTCTTGCGAAGAGCGGCCAATTGCTCAGGAACAGACGGGTAGGGGCTCTTTAAGTCACTGCCATCCACATGTAGCATATCGTTCAGCGTTGATTTAACAGCTTCTAGATCACGCATGATCGTGTTGTTGATTGTTGATAGCTCGTTAACATGATTTTCGATCTCAGCGCTTCGTTCTTGCTCTACCCGCAGTTCGCTCTGGTAAGCAAGTAATTCTTCAATGCGCTCTGAAAGAGTATCGACTGTGACCTCAAGACCAAGGGCCTCGGAGATTTGCTTCGTCACCTTTACAAGCTCGTCGCAAGCTTCGGCAGCATCGCTCTCCAGCAGTTTTATATTTTCCGCATGCTCAGCCATCAGGATATTGAGTTGGGCATCGTAGTCCTGCTTAGAACTGGCATGGATATCCTCGATTTGACGACTATGTTCCGCGTGAAGCTCCTGCAGGTTCTTTTCATGTGACTTCAGCGCACCCTCATGCTCGGCTATTTTGGCTTCAAGCTGGCTGATCAGCTCTTTATGGCTATTCGCCTCAGCTGCTGCTAGCTCTCTTGCTTGCAATTCGCTCGTGAGCTGATCGTTGGTAGCAATATGTGCTTGTTCAAGCTCGGCAACTTTGGTATCGTGTTTCTCCATAATAGTCTTGTACTCGTTGATCTCGGCACGGAGCAGGGCAACCATGCTCTCATGCTGCGCCTCAGCCGCCTTGGCCTCAGTACCAATCTTAGTCTCCATATCTTGGGCCTCGGCGAATTTGACGTTCAAAGTAGACAGCTCAGATTCCAACGTTTGAATCGTCTCCTTCATTCGCTTCTCCGCAAGTTGCATCGCCTCCAAAACACTTTGGTGTTTGCTTTCCCAACCCGAAAGATCAGCCTCAAGTTGGGTAATTTTCCTCTCTTGTGTAGCAGCTAGTGTGTGATCCTCGATATGAGTTTCGCCGTTGATGGTTTCGGGTGGAGAGGCAGTTTTGGCCTCGGTGGCTTCTTGTGCTGCTGCACGCAAGGCTTCGACCTCGGCCTGAAGTTCCTTCTCACGGGTAGCATGGGCCTCCTGCATTATTTTGAATTGCTGTTCGTTATGCTCTAATTGATCTCTCATCGTCGCAACGACACTGATATCCATTGGACTAGATTTCAAACTGGAGCGTTCACGTGTCAGGCCGGAAATGATTGTCATTTTAGTTTCCATCTCTTTCTTGGCATTCGCAACGTCAGCTTCTAGCTCTTGAATACGCTCAGACCTCGCATGAAGTTCGTGCATGGCGGAGTTCAAGTAAACCTCAAAGTTCTGCATAGTATCAGGATCTTGTTCGAAGTTTTCAGCAGCAATGTTTCGAAGTGCAGCGAAAGAACGATGCGCACGATCAATAATCATGACGTTCTGGCTCGATTTTCGCCGAATGACAGGCGTGGCAGCGGTTCTCGGAGACGGCGGATCAGCATATCTGGCTTTCGCAATCTCGGTCTTGAGCTCCTCTACTACATCCAAGGTTTCTTGGTGTTGCTCTTCTAGTTGAGCGTAACGCTCAGCAAGCTCCTTTTCAGTAGCTTCTTTCTCGCTTGCGAGGAGCCTGAGTTTGCTCAGCTCTTCAGCCAAGGCCGCGTTGTCTTTAACTGAAGTGTCGACAGTTAGAGTTTCGCTAGACTCCGATGCTTTTGGACCTTCCGTGACAGTTTCGATAGGGCCTTCAGTATCGGTAGTATCCGTAGTAGCAGGGGATTCCATAGCTGAGGATAGCTCCGAGGAGAGCGATTGCGAAGATAAATGTGTCTCGTCTTTGCCATCGCTGAACTTCGAATCGGATAAAAAAGACGGCGGTCTTGTCTGATCTGGAGAAGTGACTGATAAAACTGAGTCGCGCTGTCTGTTGGGATGACGTGCTTCGTCGATTTGATCTTGTAATTCAGCTAAGGCTCTTAAAGATTCCTCATACTTAGCATGGAGTAAATCATATTCGTTGAGTGTAGATTCGTGCTCAACTCGGAGGTCAACAAGCTCCTGGGTAACTGTCTCAAGCTTATCGTTCACGAACTGGGTTTGAGCTGGGCTTTGAGGTGGATATTCTGAATCTGCATTTTCGGTTGTTTTGCCGGACTCATCTCCGTTTGTTGCCCTAGCTAGTTCCGCTTCAGTCGATTCCTCTTCGATCGCGTCCTTGGTCTCGACTCCCTCGGCTACTTTGGGTAGCGCTTCACGGAGACTCTGACTGGGGCGGCTTGTATGGCTCTTGCTAGAGCGCTCAGAGAAGGTACGGCGGTGCCCCATTCCTTGTGTCTGCTTGGCTTCGGTTTCGGTATTGGGGTGGTTATCATCCTCTTTGATATGATCTAATTCGTATAGTAAATTGTCGAGCTTCCCAAGACTACGTTGACGTTCAATGATTTGTTCAAGCCGGTCCATTTCGCGCTGCATTAGCTCTTGGTCTTGATCAGACTCTGCAAGGCGCTCCTCCAATGTTGATATATAGTCTTCGCAAGCTGTTTCATTCTCTCGAATCCTAGCGATTTCCTTGCGCAGCTCTTGAATGATAGCTACATTCTTCTCCTCGCCAGAAGTTTGCCCGTCGAGCTTAATCTCAAGATCATGCAGGTAGCTTTCAGTGTTAGCTTCTCGATCCATCAATTTCTGCACACGAGCTGTAAGCTGATTGTTGATGGTCTCAACGTAGGCGCACTTCGTTTCTTTCTCTAGTAAAGTAGTTTCCGTATTTGAAAGGGTGGCTCGGGTACTGGAAAGGGACTGCTCAAGCGATTGAATCGTCTTTTCGTATTCTAAGACCACTTGCTCAACAGCCTGTGCGAAGGAGTTTGATCGGTTCAGACGCTCGGTCGCACTGTCACCAAGAGTTTCATCCATATTCCGGTTTTCTGCGGCTTCGTTATCCCGGGCTTTGGCCATCTCCGCAATGAGCTTTGCATGACGCTGGCCTAACGTATTGTAGTTTTCCTGTATATCCAATAATTGGTTCTGCAGCTCGGTTTCCCGTTCGTTTTGTCGCTCGGACCTCTCGCCAACCACCACGTTCCGTCTCTCCCCCCCTCCACGCTCCGAACTCCGGATCTGTTCACGCAAAAAGGCAACCTCTGCCTTAAGACGCTCAATGATCGCTTGCTTATCTCCATCTTCCACTTGTTGAATTCTTGGCTTGCTCTGAATATCTCGGGCTCTTTGAGCATATTGCACTGTATTCAAGGTTTCACTGAGGTGGAATTCTGCTGGGGTCACGCAAGCTATCATATAAGTAATCGCGTTACCACCTAGAGAGTCCTGGAGTAGCCGTGTTAAGCGCGAGTCTCGGTATGAAACATGAGATCCTGACTGGCGGGACGAAAGCTGTGAGATCACCTTGCCTAGTGCAGCAAGACCTGCGTTGATGGAGATTCCTTCCCGAGCTCGTTCGCCCTGCGCGCCGGTATTCTTCAAACGTTCACTGCCGGCTAAATCGACGAAATGCAGCTTACTGTCCGTTGTAACCCAACCGTCGCCACCTGACATCGCCTCCAATGGTACCGAGAATCGTTTCTCCACACCCGGAGTAGCTTTTGGTTTGCGTTGAATCAAGTTCAAGGTAAACACGGCATGAGAACGTGACGATTTCGCATTAACGGCCGTCGCATCAGTCTGCCGAATGGTGGATCCAAAGTTGAGAATATTCATCAAATCATCAGCCGAATGAATATCGACTTGGCGCAGTCCCGTGAGGATAATATGACCCTTGGTATCCTCACGAATAGTAACCGTATTCCTTTCATGTGGCCCGACGGTGTCAGGGAGAAGCAAATCGCGTAACTGTTCATTGTATATTTCTACATATGTGGCCTTGAGCTGCCAGTTCTTGTCAACGGGTTTCGATGCGGGGGCCTGCATAGAGTATCGTGCAGGCGTTCGAAGCTGAGACATGGAGCCCCGGTTGAGATTTCGCGAAGTCGTAGTTGAACCCTCGAGCTTTTCAAACAACTCTGTAGCAGCGCGCGGAATAACACCTATGTACAAATTGATCAGTCATTTTAAACTAAGGATGGGCAGAGTGACCAAGAAGCGTGGAGGCTCAATCAATAAGTGTAGTATGCATGACATACCCATAGAATCAAGGTCGCCTTGTTCGGAAGGGCCCGAGGTACCCATTGTATAAGACTTTCCTGCACCGGACTGGCCATAGGCTAGTAAAGAAACATTATATCCTTGCAAAAAGGCGTTGATACTCTCGTTGAGATAATTCCAGATGCCGTCTTGACCGACCTTAGGGCTAAAGACACGATCAAAGACGAATTCTTTTTTACCCTGTGGTGACTCGATTACTACAGTTGTGTCTGAAGTAGTTTGGACCATAGATCTTTGAAATCGCTGAGGAATGAGGTCGAAACCCGGATCGGTGGGTTTTAATGGTGGTCGCACACGAACAGCTATTCAGGGCAACCGGTCAGCTTGGTGGCCGCTGATAATTTGGATTATAGTATGCATGCGAGTAGCACTTACCAACTTTGACTGCAGTACGGCCGCCATCGTCATCAGAGGCTCTACTCCCACCACCAGCCTTACTTGTCATGCTCAACCGGCTGTTACTCCTGGGTGATGGCTTCACCATAGCGCTCATCGGTCGCGCCGGCACAGGAGATCCAGGAGGCGACGCCGCCATGTTGGCAACAACGATAATCGTTTCGCGCTTCGTCTCAGTTGCGGAGTGAGGATACGATATTTTTGGCGACTACTATAGAATGTTAAGTACCGGCTCGGCAGCGCGATAAGGAAGGGGACGGGAAGGATCTGGACGGTATGTTGCTGGCCAGGGCTGAAACAGATGATTGGAAAGAAAGGATTTAAGGCATAAAACAAGATCTGACTGCGTTACCTACTTCAAGAAAGTCCAATCAAAAAGGCTGAGCATAAACAGCAACCCTGTTCGACCTGGGCAGGGCGGCTTAGAAGACCCGCGTCATGCGTCGCGAATAGTATTGGTGCAGAGGCAGTTGAACAAGTAGTGATACTAGTAATAAAAGAGGTAGTGGTTCGGCAGCGCGATTCACGAGAACATGCCTATACTGGAGGCGCAGTAATGATCGGAAAGTGAGAGACTAGTTTACAATAAAGGGATGCTGGGGAATTATGTCCTGCCCTGTCCTGTGCGTCGAGGCACCAAGGAGGGAGATGGATGGATCGAAAGGGAAAAGAAAGAACAAGATTGTAGAAAGCAGGCTGGAGTCGGAATTAGGGGGAGGAGTGAAATGCGATGAAATCCGGGGTCACGCCAGGAGGAGGGTACCGATCAGAGAGAGAGGGTAGGTAAATTAGACGCGGTTGGGTGGTTTTTTTTTTTTTTTTTTTTTTTTTTTTTTTTTTTTTTTTTTTCTTGTTCACCCTCTATCTTTTTTTTTTCTTCCTTCCTTCTTTCTCTCTTCCTATCTCTTTCCTCGTTCGCTCTTCTTGTCAGTCTTTCCTCTTTTTCTCTCAAACTACTATACTAACCCCAGCACTACCTATTTTAGTCTCACCTTACTTCCCTAGGTTGTGCATGTACAAATTGCAATGCTGTACTATGTATGATTGTCAATTTGCATGTAATTAAGCTACGCATATTAAAGTAACCTTGGAAGTAGTACATAACCTGGGCTAGGCTCCGTAGTGCATCTGGAGGTGTGTAAAGCAGACCAGACCAGACCAGACCGGAGCATCAAATCATCGAATGTGAGGAGATTTGAGGCCCTTACCAGCCCTTACCAGCCATTACTCTACTACGTAGTGTAGTCCTTAGTACCTACCTTAGGTAGTGAGATACCGTAGATGCCCAGGGCTCGCCAGGCTCGATTCGGGTACCTACTTTCCAGCCCCCTGTCACCCTGTCCCGATTCAACGGAGTGATTTAGAGTGGCAGCCAATGATGTTCTAGACTATCCACTGTGGCATGCTCGACAAGTCGTGCGCACTAGCCGAAAATTGGCCAAGTCAGGACAGAAGTCGGGACAATTTCAGCGTTGTCAGGCTCGCAAGGCCAGACTACTCGACTACCTACTTACATGATACAAGGTACGGTACCCAGTTAGGGCAGATTAGGTAGGGCACCCACGCTGCCCATCAAACCTTCAACACGCCTCTAACGCCTCTAACAGAGCTCTAACAGAGCCGCTACAGCCAGATTTGGGATATCTACAGTAGCAGAGAATCTACCTACGTAGTAGCCACAGATGATCCCACGCGTCCTGACATTAGTGTAGCCACTAACCAGCCTTAGTGTGTATCGGGTCTGATCGGGTATGGTGCGGTATCATTGCAAGTACTATGTACTAGTAGCGTGCTAATAACTCAAGTACATACATAGTAGGGGTCTGTGGAGGGGGACCGGCGCATTCCTACTTGCAAGTGCTCACATCATGATACGCAATCCTAAATACCTACATTGGCCATGCCATGATATGTTTGGCATGTGCCTTACTACGAGACCTGGACGAGCTATGTTGTGCGTATATAATCTACTACCTAGATGCAAAGATCTAAGGGAGGTCGTGCCTCGTTAAGTGCTTAGTATGTATGTGATATCTACTTACAGTACAGGCAAGCATCCATTTGCCTCAACTTGGGACTGCAGCTTTACCTAGTAACAGTTCTCGATCTTTCCGTCCAGTACAGTACCGTAGGATAGGTACTCCGCACATGTAATACAGTTTCTACGCGTATCTCGATCCTCAAGGCTGTCTGTCCTGTGGGGATTTCTCAGCCACCCGGGTGCATCTACACATCTTCGTACAGACACTGAGGTAGATATCTAACACTCCTGAAGCTCTCCTACCAGTAGAAAAGGGCTCTTCGCACGAACATCGGCAAGATCTGAGAAGCCCCATTTACGGACGCCAAACATTATGGATTTCCCTGGACCATCAGTTGTGCCACGACATCACAGCACTGCAGTAACAGGTACAGCAGAGTACAGCAGAGCACAGCGGAGCACAGCAGCGTCTGATGCATCAATGCTTTGCCTGCAACTTGTCACGTATCATGTATGCAACAAAGCTGCTGGGCACATACCAGTAGGTAGGTCATCTAATACTATCCAAGGTAGCGAGAGACGCCCTTCGGCGACTACTTACATCTGAGCCAGACCTGTACATACTTGATATGCAAGCAGGCTGTTGGTGACAGACCTGTTGTATGCATGTAGAGGTTTCGAAGTGTCGGTGACGGCCTCAGCATCATGAGCACAAGTAACGCGAGATAAACGCCGCATTAACCCATCTATGAACCTATCTGCATACCAGTAGTATGCACATCTAGACGGGTTTCATCAGTTCCTAAATTGATATCAAAGTATGGGCACTACTCTACTACTACTCTGCCTACCGTTACCTACCGACTCCCTACCTACCTGAGTATTGCTGTTCCGGGAATCAAGTTGGAGCTTCGTTGCAACGGTAAAACCTCATTCCGCCCAGCCACTTCCTGTCCCGGCATCTCAAGGCACCAACCCCCTCTCGGCATTACGCCAACGCCGTTATTTTGTCTCTCGTTTCTTGCATGCTGCAGGAACTAACTATGTGCAGGCCTTTGCAGCCCATCTCCCGAACCTGTGTTACCTAACTTTGCTAACCTCCCAGGTTGTGTGTCCTGGGTGTGACAGGGACTCCGCTGCCTGAGCGTGCATATCCATGCAGGCCTCATCACCTAACTACTGTGACAAACTGAGGAAAAGGGTTGGATCACGAGAGATCCTTCGCTCCCACATGCCGCGGTACCTACACTTTCCCCTCAGACTACGCCTGTATCCTAAGGATGAGGCCGCAATTTGTTAGACATTTGTAAGCACTCTCTTGCGAATTGGGTGATTGACGGATGCACCGGGGCCGAGCTCCTACTACTTGTATCTGCAGACATTACTTACACAACAAGATTAGTAAGAAAGGAATCGCTGATAGCTTTACCAACGATCAAGTAGACGAATACCTACATATATAGAGTATATATGTAGGTAAGAACTGAGGGATTGCTTGATCCTCTACAGCAGATACCTACTGACAGGTCTTGAAGTATCATCATCTGTCATTTTAACACACCGGCACCTGTTGTCACAATTTCAATTTGAAGGTTTATTGTTCCTTCTAACACAACACTTACCTACCTATGTAGATTACCTATACTGTACGCTACCGGTGTGAGGTACTCAGGGTACGGCTTATACAATCTGATATTACGAATCGCTGCGTACATGTAGGTAGCAATTCCCTAGGCACTTAGATGAATTTCTTATTATATGTATTGTGAATATAATATATGCAGATATTGATCGACAATGCGAACAACTTGATGCAACGTATATCACAGGTTCACATGCCTATCTACCTACCTACTACTAGGTAGTATCATCACCATCCACGCGCGTAAAAGATGGAAGTTTGCAATAAGAGGCCAATTGACACATGCATGGGTACATAGTACATGATACATAGTAGTACCTAAGCGGTCACGTGGGTCGCGTTTGTGTTTCCGGGCTTTTTGTCATTTCCACTATCGAATCGAGCCGCGTCGCGTAGCCCACCTTATCTGGAGTGCGTTGCGCTGTTGGGCCCATGAGATAGCGTGTCAAGGTACGCTTTGATTGCCTAAATCAAAGTCGCCGCCACAATGCAATTGTGATACGATACCTGCAATCTTCGACTGTTGTTGGCCTTGGAGACTACTACATTTCCACTTTGGCATTTCAAGTCTTGGTCTCGGTCCTGTCTAAATGTCTCTTTTCATTCACTGCCATCGCGCTGCGTCGTAGAAATTCAATACTACCTCGAATGCCAATATGCCAACTGAGATCATCAGTCTACTATCTTCAAGCCCTGTCAGACCATCGTCGGCATCTGTCGTAGCATCTTTCGAGCAGACGCAACGACCCAGCGTCCGCATGCCACCCAGAGCTCCCAATTACACGCAGCACGGGTTGACAGAAGCTGAATCCACCAAGACTGCGACGACCCCCTCTTTTCATACGCCATCCGAACCTCTTGCTGGAACAACGCACACTTCGAGGCACCAGGTCCGCTCCGATGACCTCGGCGCCGATGGCTTCCTCTTTCTTTCAGACGATTTCGACATAACCGGTGATTTAGAGGGCACCTTCTACAAGAAGTCTCCATCACCACGGGGCGTGTCAAATTCAAGGAAAAGGATCAGCAGCCCTCCCCTACCTCGAAAAGCGAAGGCCCTCAAGACCAAGTCCTCGGATCGAGAATCGGTCCAGCCCATTAGTCGTGAAAGAAGAACTCATCTCATCGAAGATATCGAGTTCAGTAGTTCTCCCGCCAACTTCACCTCAGACACTAGGAGAAAGGCACCCCCGATATCGTCCGATCTTTTCGTAAGCTCCCCAATAGACCAGCAGTCTACTTTTACGGCCAAGTCTCGCAGTCCTCGCCAACATCACAATAAGATTGGAGGCGAAGCAACATGGGATTGGCCAGCCGAGCTTCGTGTGAATCAGTTAGCAAACGTAGATCATGAAGCGCACCAATCTTCAAAGCAAGTCTTTATCGACCTCTCAAGCGACCCCCCGGACTCCCCACCACGCCTTAAACCACAGCCTAGTCACTCGAATTCTCGCTCGAAAGCTACGTGGGATCCTATATCGAGTTCCGCACCTGAGACTCACGATGTTCATCAATTACTCTCGAACCCGTCTTCTACTACTAGGATACCGCGTCCTCAGCCTATAGCCATACCTGAGGACGGTCCCTCTGATTCTGAAGGTCTCACAGACTTAGAAAACATTGACTTCTCCAGGACTCGAGTGAAAACTCATAGTTCCTCATCCCGTCCAACAGCTCCAAGGGCGAAACAGGCCGTCAAGAAAGTTGTTAGAGCCACTGGAGAGGAGAAGGCTCGTGGGAAGAGAGAAAAGGCAGAAGCTAGGGAAGCAGAGAAGGAACAAAAACGTATTGAAAAAGAGCGCATCAGGGAAGAGCGTGCTCTACAAAAAGAGACCGAAAAGGCATTGGCCGAGGTGAACAAACTACGGACCGATAAAAAGGTATCTACGCCAGAGATGATTGTGGATATACCTGCAAACATCAACGCTGGTCTCAAAGTGCAAATACAAACACTCCTAGGCGACTTGGATGTTAAGCACGAGATCTGGAATAGCACAGTTGAGAATGTCGTCAAATGGCGTCGCAAGGTCACAGCTCAATTCAACAAGGAGATGGGATTCTGGGAACCCACTCCAATGCGCATTCAGGAGGAGAACCATGTCTTGGTTATCGTGCAGGCCCCTGAATTTGTCAAGTTCGTTCTTGGGGGGGAGGGCCATGACTTGGAAGCTCATGTCTTACATATGAAGAGCAAGTTTCCAAGTGCTAAGACGATATACCTGATTGAGGGCTTGAACGCCTGGATGCGCAAGAATAGGAACCTCCTGAACCGTCAATTCGCCTCTGCAGTCCGCGAGTTAGGAACAAATAATGAGCCCCGGACCTCTGGCCAACGTCGTCAGCGTAATAATAATCAGACCCAAGAATATATCGATGAAGACAAAATTGAGGACGCTTTACTTTCTCTCCAAGTTTTACATGAAACTCTCGTTCACCATACTGCTCACCAGGTCGAGACGGCACAATGGGTTGCTGTCTTCACACAGCATATCAGCACCATTCCATATCGCAAAGCCCGTGATGACAGTGCGAATGCAGGGTTTTGTATGGAATCTGGCCAAGTCAGTACCGGTGATGGTGGCAAGGATACATACATACTTATGTTACAGCAAATAGCACGCGTTACGCCTGCCATCGCTTATGGTATAGCTACCAAATACGAGTCTGTGACAGATTTGATACGCGGGTTCGAGGAAGAAGGTCCGCTGGCCCTGGCGGCATGTCGGAAAAGCGCAAACAAAGATGGTGCTCTCACTGATCGTCTTGTCGGTCCAGCTGTCAGCAAAAGACTACACAAGATATTTCTAGGTCGGGACCCCACCAGTACAGACATCTAGATCGCTTCATGGTAATATGGTATTCTTCTCTAATAGATCGGTTATGCACCGTGATAGAACCCATTGTTCAATCTGATAATAGTGCAGTGCATCATGGTTGCTTGGCAGTATTTAGTATAGGAAAGGTCTCATAGCCATCAGCTGAATTTGCTTCATTGGGATTTATACACACCCAGCTTCATCTAATTTCGCCTCATTTCCCCATTAGCATATGTTACGCTATGTTAGACAAGACTGTTTGCCCTGGCTTAGCTAGTGTGCTGCGGCTGATCGAAAAAGGCCCCATCCTTTCAGACAGACCGCCAACCTTTCACAATTCAAGGTTGCTTGGCCATGAAAAATGGCTAGGATAAGTAATGCCCTTTATAGTAAACGCATTCTACCTAATTATATCACCCGTTTCTCTATCCTCCAAACGGCCTCGTTTATCGTTGATACTCTCTTCGGGCGAGTGAACAGGCTCATCACTTTCACTCTCCACATCAATCCCGCAGCCGAGAATGGAATCCAAAAGCTCGCGTTTGGAGCTACCTGGCTTCGGAAAACCTCTGACCCTGTTGTCAGAGGACCAGAAGGAAGAATTTTTCCTGCATGCGCTATCGGAGCATCGACGGTTTGCGAGTAAGGGCCTCAAACTTCGGGAGATCCGCATGATGGAATTTACGAACCAAATTACGGACAAGCCCGAATGGGATCGCAAAGTGGTTGACGAGGAAATCGTGAGCAAGTGGTGCAAGGAGGCAATGGGCCCTGAGGCGCAGGCCACACACCTCGATGGCGATGTATATATGTCTCAAAAAATGTTCGATAATGTGAGTAGCTCCGTCTCCAGCCTATGGTGTCACACATTATGCCTTAAGGGCAAGCACTCCGACCCCATGTCCCAAGATTGACGACGCAACAGTGCATTAAAGAGCTCCGCGACAAGGCCATCGAGTATCGGAATACTGGAATAGTCAGTATCCTTGATGCAGAGGTTGCAGTAGCTAAATCAGACTCGGCTATCCCGACTTCTCTGGCCGAGTTGCTGAAAGCTGCTGTGAAGCCCTTAGAGGACGTGCCAGACCATCAGAAAGATTGGCATCCCGGGTCAAACAACAAGGTCCTAGATCTACTACATCCGTCACTTTTCCCAATGGTCTACGGTACGTCGCGGGTTCTGCCATACGGCAAGGTTCCCCTTCGCGGCTGTGCGGAATTCACTGGTAGTGGCGAAACCTATGATTTGCCCTATAAAGAACCACGAAGAGGAGAACCGTGTATGTTTGGCAGCACTCAGTGGCTTCCTAGCGACATCGCTTGGTCTCCTTCAGGCGATGCCAAGATTACTAGTTACATCAACAATCTACATCCAGACGATCATAAGGAGTTATACGCAGTTCTTGAGCAGTTCGTTGCCGCCGCGGTGCCCCTTTGGGAATTATGTCTATATACATACTCATGCCCACGGATCACCCAAGAACCCCTAGGCGATGAGGAAGATTTCTACATCCCTGAAGGCGTGGTCTATGATCGTCCACCGCTTCAGGAAGACGAGGACGAGGAGGACTATTTGTATACAGATGAATACTTCGATTGGAGAAACGAGCACCACATACTTGTTGTATGTTATCCCTACAGTCACATTTCTCTTACTCAAATCGGTCGTGGGAGTAGCATATAGAGCTCCCTTAAACCGTGCTCATTACACATGTGCGTAACTACTGACTCGACCGAACTATAGTGGCCAGAGCCAGATGACTATCGTCATTCTCGCGCATGCTCTTCTCACGCACGCTCTGCAGAGATGCAGCCCAATCTCCGAACCAAGTTCCCTGATGGAATTCAAGTGATCTTCAAGCTCGCCAACATCCATCTATCGCCTTCCGATCCCAAATTCGAAGGCGGCTCTCTACACATCGAAGGCGCGCTCAATGACCGCATTGTAGCAACAGCACTCTTCTACTACGATTGTGAAAACATCACTGAAAGTGCTCTGACTTTTCACCACCCTGTGGACGCTGAGGAATTGCGCATGGTCCCCCCGCAGAACGAATACGAGTCCTTGGAACGCTGGCTGGGAATCTCAACTGATGACGCGGCGCTGCAGCTGCTTGGGAGGGTGATCACGCGGGAGGGGAGGTTCATCGCATTTCCTAATGTGCTGGCTCATCAAGTACAACCGTTCGAACTCGTCGATAAAAACCGGCCAGGCCACAGGAAGATCCTAGCTATGTTCCTTGTCGACCCGCATACGCGTGTCCTGTCGACATCCGTTGTGCCACCTCAGCGTAAAGACTGGTGGGCTCGGGAGGTTAGGAAGGTCAGTCCGCTGCGTGAATTGCCGAGGGAGATATTTGATTTGATCATTGAATTCGTCCATGGCTTCCCCATGAGCTGGGGAGACGCGCTGGCCACTCGGGAAGTCCTGATGCGCGAGCGAACCTCGATACGAGAAGAATTCGACGAAGAGATGAGGATGGTGAGTTTGCAGTTTTCTTTGTGATTCTTACGCTCCCTCCCCATGGCATAAAGATATTGGAAACTAATTTGTTGCTCTGTAGAACGTATATAACTTCTGTGAGCATTGAACAATATTTCGTATAACTAGTGGTTAAAAGAATATCAAGACACGTTATGTTATGAGCTTTTCATGCTTGCGCTTGTTTCGTACGGGGATTTCGCGAAGGTCCATCCAATATAGTGACATAGCTCGACCAATTCAAAGAGATCACAATTTGTTCAATAGAAGACATCGCGCGCCGGATCAATAAAAGATGGTATGATTTTACAAGTGAGGTCAATTAGCTGAAGAGAACATGAGATTGATAAGCCACAGCGCTCAATGTGGCCGAGGAGAATCGACGCCTCTGAAGTCGAAATGGAAATGGATATTCGGAAGCAATGTGATATTCAAGAACAAGTCCTTCTTGACTTGAACAAGGAACAAGAAGACAGCCCAGGCTATACGTATTAAGATGATGGCTGATACGAATTAAAGAGGAGCATCCTCAATTTTGCGCTACAGCCGCGGGGGCCCAGCTGTTTCTGGGAAGAACTCTCTCTAGTTCTTTCCGAGAGCATGACTTTGAATAATATAGAGCCGTGACAAACTCTGAAGAGTCTAGCACATTCATGATGCCTAGCCTCCACCGTTACACTCGTCCGAATTCAACTCGGAGTTGATAGTCCGGGGTGCTGTCCTGCGTCTCGGCACGCGATCACGTATGTAAGAACGGTCCAATAAGGTGATAATTCCAGTCACTAGTTTGAATAGTTGGTTCTCAGTCCACCAATCCACAAATATCTGTCGTGTGTGTTCTAGGTTTCCAAGCCGGATGGCAGTCAAGTATGAGGAATATGTTGCCTACATTTCCCACTAATCAGCAAAAGTCCGGTGTAAGTGACTAAGACTGAAGGATAGCATACAAATTTTATAAATATATGCTCGTCTTTACTTGAACTGTTACACGAGAGTTTCTCTCTAGAGCTGCTTTCGTCACTATATAAGTTGATAACCCCACAAAGCCCATCATGCTGTCGTCTGTTTTTTTCGTGGCCCTAGCCACCTCCATTCCTCAGTTAGCATCCGCCCACGGCTTTGTCAGTGGTGTCAAAGTCAATGGCGCCTGGACGGCAGGAGCAGACCCGGTCTGGTACTACTATCCTGCAGGCACATCTCCTGCTACAGCAGGATGGAATTCTCTGAACCAGGATCTCGGGTTCGTTGAACCAACCAGATTCGGTACCTCTGATATCGCCTGTCACAAATCGGCCACGGTTGGCCAGAATTTCATTAACGCCAAAGCTGGTGATACCATCACGTTCTTCTGGAACACGTGGCCGGATTCCCACAAGGGGCCCATTATCAACTATATTGCACCGTACGGGAGTAAGTCTGGCTGTTCATCTCTCTCCTTCAAACTCGAGTTAGCGACTGGGGCGTGGCGCTAACTATAGCAGCCTCTGCCAACAGCTTGAAGTGGAACAAAATCAGCCAGTCCAGTATCGTCAGCGGCACAACCTGGGTGACCGACTCGCTTATCGCCAACAATTTCACGTCATCCACCACCATTCCTAGGAACTTGAAGGCTGGTGACTACGTAATTCGCCACGAGATTAGTAAGAGACTCTGATTTTATTGAGTTAATATCCCATTGTCCCGTACGGCTGTCGGTTTTGTCATCAAACAAGAGTCGTAGGCTCGCTCAAGATTGCCGCTGCTAACCTACAGTGTCACAGTCGCCCTACATGGGGCCCAGAATGTAAATGGCGCTCAGAACTACCCGCAGTGTCTTAATCTTAGGGTATCCGGTAGTGGCACGGTTTCTCCTAGCGGAGGTACTGTCGGTAGTAGTCTATATAAGAGCACTGATGCGGGTATCATATTCAACTTATATGCTTCTTACAGCGGCTACACTTACCCTGGACCTGCTCTCTGGACTACTGCGAACTAATTATTTCTAGTTACTGCTCTTAATGACCACCTTGGCAACACCTGTTCTTGTGATTGAACAAGCCAAAGAGTGTCGGGCGGAATGTGTCAGAGCCCTGGGACGTGGAGAGTAGCGTGATAGTTTTCGATTTGTTCATAATCGTCTAATTTTCTGCGAAAACTCAATCCACAATATCATCCTGGTAGTGAGCTGGTACGTCTGACATTGACAATATAGCCTCCTTATGGGTGTATTAGCTATTACTTATTGGCCGAAACCAGAGTTGTCGGTGTTTTGACGTACGAAGCTCTTAGTAGTAATCGAATCCTAATTTTATTCGAAGACTTCATCTGTCTTTAGAAATCACCAAATGGTAGTTATTAGTTTGTTCAGTGACAATATTGTGAGAGTATATATACAAATTATAACTTAGATAGAATTGATTCATAACATGATGCCCATCCTGCTAGGACTATCCCAAAAAGATAGGTGTGGTCATCACTCATGAGGTGACATACTTAGCTTATAAAGGCGATCTTCTAATCGTGCTAGCTTAAGCTAACGCCAACGAAGTCTTGATTTGCACTCTTTTCTTAGTCGCTGTATATCTTGTATGCTTTAACATCTCTCCAACTCAGCCAAGGCCAGAGGGTATGGTAAAGCGAACCGCTCAAAATATGACGGCATAGTAGACATTTATAACTTCATAAACGGATATCCTCAGTTGGCTGTATTCAATATTTCCAGAGCGCTTTTTGATCTGAGAATCCGCCTCATATACTAAAAGTTTATAGAAAGAAAATATAGTAGTACCAAAGCCGCATCTTCAGTCTGTTGGCGATGAGTCATAGCTCGTGTAATCAGTATGGATCATCACAACTACAGGCAGTCGCACATTTAAGTGTCTATCGACGCTATAGGGTTTAGATAATTCAAGGCTCCCTTACGAAAAAGTTCCTCACTATCGCATAATACCCACTGCGAAAATTCCGAGTTCGAAGACTATGATAACGGATGTTATAAATTTGGGCCTCGTGGTAAGGGTGCTATATCACCAAACCACGAAGAAGCACTAGTCTTGATTTTAAGGGGTTTAAAGGTTTATTAAACAACCATTACTATATAAATTATTGTGAAATGGACGATAGAAACTACTGATATAACAAGGGCAGAAGATACTAAGCTAGGAACTGAGAATTCAGATTACAATGATCAACTAGGGCTGCATAAGTCCTTGACCAACCAACTCCTTCTAGGCTTGTTGGTGGCTTGACTCGACTCTATATACAACTGGTCTGCCAGCCCAGACCGCCTAGGTCTCTGGGGTTTGTTTCAAGAAGCGAAGTCTGTATGACCTCACTTTCCAATATTGCCCAATATTGCCTGCATGTCTTGAAAGATCATGAACAGCCTGCAATAGCCCTTCGTACGGCCGAATTACAAAGCGAACTGCATATTTAGCTGGTACGGAGGTTGCACGTGTAACAACTGATAGGTGGTTGGGTATGCTGTGATACCGAATTGATAGTTAACGTATCAACACGCCATGCCATATAAGTAGTGACCCTAAAGAACATGCGCTTGATATTGGCAAAATTATATTTGTTTAGGCAGTTTCAAAAAGACTACTACTCCATGAAAGTAAACATTTCACAACCTCATCAGTCTTTTACCTCTGTTGTAATTCAGTAATAACTCTATCAGCGTTTGCCTATAACTTCACTTTGTTGAATAGAATGAGAGCTGTCAAATTGTATCTAAAATTCAACTACGCTGTTAGTGATTCATCCATGTAATTACTTCCTTCATTACGCTTCTCGCGGAGTACGGGCATAATAATGATGGCAAAAGAGTTCCAGGGCCGGGACGAAGGATCGTTAACGAAATAGCAAGTTCCGAGATGACCCATCAACCAGTGCGTTGGGTATCTCGCTCTCTGGCCTGCATCATGAGCAAACCCTTTGGTACCGTAGGCTCTGAGCAAAGTTTCACCAAGGTTTGCGCCTTAATATTAGTAGTACCTGTTTACTTACTTACCGAGCATCTTAGAACATTTGCATCAACGTCCAGGGCATTCTAGACCGTTTGAGAAAAGAGTTTGCCTTACTGACGCGCCTTCACGTTTACACTCTTAATTTGCGATGTATCCCAGATACCCGACGCCCGGAAGCCAGTGTGGGTTGAGGATTACGAAGTAGAGTATATGTGTATTGAAACCGAACGCGACTTCAGCCAAACACTATACCTGCCTCGCCTCAAATACGACAAAACCTATATTGAAGCGCTATTGGTGTACAACTCCCAATGATTGCATGGAAGATTCCAAACCAATCATACGACCGTCGGGTAAGGTCTAGTGATATTCTCGTAGACACCAGTCCATTTTATCCTACTACCTACCCCATTAGCCAACCGACTGTGTCCGCATCATCCTTTTGCACGTCATACGTATCAATTATTCGGAGAGATGCAATTTCAGACCGCAGCATGCTTCATTCGTAGCTACGAGTCTAGTAGTGGCGAATTTCTGCTCGAATAATAGCTAAGTATGCAATTATATTGGACTCCAGAGACTAATGTTGTCAATAAACATTCTCCCCACGCGAAATCGACCCTTACGCGGGGACCTACACGCTAATAACTGCATGACATAACGCAGTGTATTCACAGTACTAGAATGACCTACCTAGATCAATAACAACTGCTAGTATAGGCGGATGTGCTTTTTAGCACCAACGGTACTGCATTGACGTAGAAGGATATCCCTTGAAGAGCGAGCGAACAACAGCCTTGATCCCCCATCTGCAGTACAGTATGAAAAGGTACTTGTGGAAAATGGGGCAGACCGTTCGAAAGAAAATAGCAAACCCCGGACGGAGTGTGGGCAAGCATTCTTTTGTTCTGGCATCCCCGGCCGAAAGCCAGAGCGCATGTCGGACGCAGGGGCAAGCTCGCGCAATTGGCCCAATAGGCTGATCCCTGATCCTCGGCACCAGCAATTGCTCGACAACGTGATGCAGGGGAGGGGTCCAAGAGGGAAGATGGGTGGCGCATAGATGGATGAGTTAGGGGTTTGCTCGTGCGACCGGATCCCAATCGGAAAAGTCAGGGCCAGCCCTGGGTTCAAGGTGAGATTGGCGTCTTCTAGTAACGCGAATCATTCTTCGAAGCCAAATTGCTATCTCATAGAAGGGCCGACGTTGGATAGGCCCGGGGTAGATGTGGGGTGGCATCGCATCCATCCACCTAACGGTTACATGTACACTACACGCTCCTTTAGACGCGTGAATACTCAGTAAATAAACCTCTATGCGAGGCGCATGTGGCACAGACAACGTGGTAGTAGTTCTCAGAGTAGCTTTTTCTACGCGAACTGAGACCGTTTTTGGTCGGCCGCGTTGGTGATAGTAAGTAAGTGGCTCGCTCACCTACTTGAACCCCTCCGTTTCATTGATGCGTGTAAGACCTTCAAGTCACAGCCCGCACTCGTTACTGTTCTTGCGAGGGTATATGCGTTATAGCCACAATAGTATGCACTACATAAGTACACTACACCAACATCTGTCAGCGGCGATCTTACACGGGTAGTGTACCGTGGATGGAGGAAAAACACGCGGAGCAGGGGCCGATGTCGCGGACCGGGGAATGTCCAGTTAGTACTATATGGTGATAATACTTTGCGTGCTTAAGTACTTGTGTGCCTTTGTTCTGGGTCGGGACCACGCATTACCTAGCGTAGACCATCATTTGGAAATGTAGTATACTGCAGTGTATTGGGTAAGTGTAGTGGAGGAATTCCGCGAGAAGCATGAAATAAGCCACCGGGGAACACACGGGTAGAATGTGATATGGAATCTAGTCGTCATCACATTCATGCACCATCATTTAAGATATAGTCTAAGAACTGTATCTTGAATTGTGGGGAAGATAAGGTGTAGACTTACGGTGAACGGCGAGATGTGAGGCATAATACTAGAGTCCTACATAGATATCGATTATCAGTTAGGTTATCCGCAATCGTCATCTCATACCTACTTCGTACTCTTAGGCGGATGATCCATGCCTTTACTACGGATTTTGTGTGCACACTGTATTATACCAGATTTGATATCATATCAGCATTATAACATAGGTAGGGGATTCCCTTTCCTAACGGGAAGGTCATACCAATTTTGTCAGTCATATGGAAACAAAACGTGCGGGGGCTTGGCAGGTAATGTGATGCTTCAAGGGGGTCAAAGCATTCATCTACTTGAGTGGTGTATACGTGCAATTGTAACCCGTCATGTTCATGCTTTGATGGCGATCAGAATCGTACTTAGGAATTCGAAAACCGGAACCATCATCACCTCAAATACCATGTTATCGTCGGAGCGCTGATACATTTAAAAGAGCTTCACTGGCATGCTACCCGACGATGGCATTAGATTAGCCTGCCTAGAGCTTATCCTGTAGAGATGATAGACCTTTTCTCAACAGCGACGTATTTATGGCTCGTAGTGTCTGCTTCCCAACATGATCCAAGCGATGTGGTTTCGGCCGGACGTCGTAAAGCAATAATAATATATTTCACGTTCTGACCCGGCTCCTTTCCTGGACTACCCTGGAGCGGAAGACTATACTGTCTGATTACATAACGCTAGGACACACACTGGATGTGCTCCTCCAGGACAGGTTTTGGAAACAATATCGCAGCTCGATGAATTAGAAGCCGATCTATTCTCATCTGTCTGAATTTTGCACGTGGCCGGACACACTATATTAAGGGATGAGACAATTCGTGTATGATTTTCAGTGCCGCTGGGCTGAGTATATTAATCTATAGCTTAGTAATGATACACAGATCAATGGTGAGGTTCGAAGATAGGATTGTTTAGTCTGGCAGTTCAACCCGCCAATTGACCTATAGCTGTATCGAAAGCAGTCAAAGTTGCGATTGCCTCGGTATTCTATCGAGGCGCAATATGCTGCCCGATATAGAAGGTCTATTGCCAAGAGTTATGTAGGACTTAGGTCAATCATCGAACTTGAAATATTCCGGATCATTCTGCTGTATCGTGATTCTCTCTAAACAAATGCCAAACTAGCTAAATGCTTGCACATGCAAATTAAGGTTATTAAATGCGGAAGATCTAGTCTATAGCTCAGATATGCAAATGGTATTCGTTCTGGGATGATTCTAGATAGTCTACGAATTCAACGCCTAAAGCGACAAGGAACCCCCCATTTGGTCTCCACGTGCCCCTGTTAGTTGGAGGACTTTAACTCTTCGCCCTCTTGTATTTAGACCATTTCAAGGAAACAGGACCGATGCGTGGCAGGTTGCGCGGAGAAAGCATTGCTATGACACTGCTGAGATGGGGTCTCATCTCCGCTGGACGCCATCGATCTATCAATGAAAACAGGATTATAGCCTCGAGCACAATGACATAAACGTACGGCAGCCCTAACCATAGCTGGCTTGACCGGAATCCGATCAGCCAGTCGACATGCACACGTGGTGTTGGTGCGCTCGTACAAATACAGGAGATATCCTCTTCGTAGATATTTGAAGAATAATAGACTGGTAGACGTCAATGAAGACGAGGTCCACCTCTTGCGTCTCCTGTTTATTGATCTCTGCCTGTTGCTATAATGAAGCGTGCCGTGAGTGTGGCTGCAGCTTTGCTGCTAGGCACGCCTGCCCAGGCTGCGACCGGCGGATCCTTCAATGTGTTGAGTATGAACGTGGCAGGGCTACCGGCCATCCTGAACAATAACGACGTCCCGGGAGAAAAGAAGACCAACTCGGGATTAATTGGCACAAAATTCGCGCAGTTGGGATATGATCTAATCCACGCACAAGAGGTTGGTAGACTCGACACACCAGCAACCCGAGTCCACGGGATCATGCAGGCGTGAAACGCAAGTAGTGGCTGATCAGGGTTATATTAGGACTTCAACTATCATGCCTACATCTACGCGGCGGACACGCACCCCTATCGCTCTGCCACATCGGGAGGCGTGCCGTTCGGATCCGGGCTCAACACTCTGTCCAACTTCGACTGGATTGACTATACGCGCGTCAAGTGGGATGAATGCAGCAATGCCTCTGAATTTGACTGCTTGACGCCGAAGGGATTTACGTTCATGCGTGTGAAGCTCTCCGACGGCGTCTACATTGATGCCTACAACCTACACACGGATGCCGGGACAAAAGACGGCGACCTCAAGGCTCGCGCATCGAACCTCCAGCAGGTTGCGGACTACATAAGCACCTGGAGCACCGGCAACGCGGTCGTCGTGTTTGGCGATACGAACAGCCGGTACACACGTGTCGGAGATATAATCCCATCCTTTCTTACGCAGGGAGGGCTCACAGATGCGCAGGTGGAGCTCATCCATGGGGGTGTTGCACCAACCGTAGAAGTGGTCTGCAGCAACCCTAGCACTACCAATGAGTGTGAAACGGTTGATAAGATCTTCTACCGCGGAAGCCCCCTGCTCGACCTCACCGCTACATACTTCTCTTATGAGAGCAACATGTTCCTCCAGCCCGACGGTAACGTCCTGTCCGATCACAACCCGATCACTACCAACTTCACGTGGGCAAGCGGGGCATCCCTGCGCCAGTCCGGCTTCTGGGGTGGCTCTAAAGGCAACTGGTTCAGCGACGTGCCGGCGCTCTCGACGAAGACAGCGCCCAAGGCGAGTGTGGTGACATTCAGGGGCGCCAGCAGACTCGATAGTGTGGCTATCACGCTGAGTGACGGGACGGCATTTTCACACGGCGGGACAGGCGGCACGGCCGGGTCGCTGATGCTGGCCAGCGACGAAACCTGGGTCAGTGCACAGCTCTGCCAAGGCCAGAAATCGGGTAACACGCGCAACTTCTACATCAAGGCCACAACGAGTGCCGGGCGGACGCTGGAGGCGGGAACGGCGACGTCGGACTGCGCGACTTTCGCAGCACCTGAGGGCTGGGCAATCGTCGGGTTCCTGGGCCAGGACGGCGATGAGATGGATCAGCTAGCGTTTGTGTATGGGCGCCAGTAGAGTTAGGGTAGAGCGCGAAGAGGAACAGAATGAGTGAATTATCTGCACATGTTTCCAGTGACTACCAGACTACTAGGTTAGGTAGTTCACAGCTGCTTGTTTGCCGTACTAATCGAGCATGTTCGTCATCATTGCCGGCGGCGAGCACAGTATCTACCACTTACTACTAGTGATCAGAGCGAGGCTACATTTGTCTCTGATCTACAATAAGTGCCGAATCCACAGTCAGTACTGAATTACTTAGTAATACGGATAGGTATGGTACCGTAGTCGAGGTAGGGAGAGCATACGTAAGTAGCTCGAGAAAATCTCGAGTCAGGCACGGATAGTAACAAGACGGATCATGGTTAGAGGAGAGATCTGCCACAGTAGGATGCGCGCGAGGCAGTACCCGACCGAACGGCAGATGGAAACGGCCTAACTAGTGTAAGACACCATCTCCGTCCATCTCAACACCTACTCCAGAGCAGGGCGACCCTTCATTATACCAAACCATCGAGATTTGAGACCGTGATAGAAAAGTGGTGTTCTAGGTTAGTCGACTATCGCTGTACACTGCCTAGGCCATGAGCTAGGGCGCTGCTTCTAGCTACCATCGGCCTAGGGATCGCTCAAGCACCCAGCTGGATCTGGTTGTAATAATAAGAGAGCTCCAATAACATCACTGCAGATCATGGCACCAAGCATGGCTATGCACTCTGAACATGTAAAACGCTCGAGAAAAAGAAGCTAATGTAGGTACGGCCGTCGGTGCGGTCTCGTTTATGTACATGTAAGAAGCATGATACCGCGTCTACTTACCTATTACTATATAGTAGACATTGTTCGCATGATACCATCATTAGGTCTACAGCTAGGCGGGTATGTAGGTACTTCGGTTTAGCAGTCCCCGCATCTTCCATTATCACGCGAGCATGCTGGTGATCGATGCGGTTCGGAGCCGTTTCAACAGCGTTTGTCAGTACGATCAGGAATAGGCAGGTAGGTAGTTGGGTATCTGTATCAGGTGTGAATACTCGGGTTCAATATTCACGGCATACATAGTAAGTATCGGTATCATCATCGTATGAATATGAGACAGAGTTGAAATAGAATGTCACCACGTGTGTTTCGCAGTGTCGATCACTTGTTCTTTCGACCTTCTCCTGTTTCTTTCTAAAACTAGATACCGTATAAAAGGCAGTGTAGTCGTATGACGGGGCCATAGGTACCGCATAATTTCGATATTGGTACTACCCTCGGGTTATCTTTCCATCTAGACTCTTCTTCTTCAGCCTTTTACTTGTCCGAAGCCCACTCGTCGCCCCAGAAACTACGCCGCCGACGCCACGGGAAGGATAGATGTCTCGTAGTCGCGTGTTATTTTGCACAGTGTTTTAGACCATCCGCTGAAGAGAACGAGGTACAATACACAGTTAAGTAGATAAAATCGAAAATTTTATTCTGGAGGTGTCTCGCCACCCCACGCCATTCGTACACCGTCGGCTTCAGTGGCGCGAGCCACGCAAACAGATGCGTTAGCTCGTTGTCGTAGATATTTGGCGATCAGTGGGAGTAGCTTCGTGTGCGGACTTGCGGACTTGCGGCAACGCGATTTCTCGCTCCCCTTTTCTTTTCCCCGTTTACTGAGTCGCAACGTGCGATAAGTAGCGTGAGACAGTCATAGAAGGAGCAGAAGAAGCGGTAAGGAATCTTGTGAAACATAGGAAATGGCATCTTGGTTCTACTAGTATATACGGACGCTACTAAATTGGCGTATGTCCTAGGTAAGATGACCATGGGGCCAAACAGCAAATTAAACCTGTATGGCGTGTATCTACCGGACTTGCAAGATGTGCGGCCAGGAAAACAATTTGTGACATCATGTCTATGACGGCAAGACACTTGCAAAAGAGTGACTTTCTTTCGCTTTACTTGATGTCAAGGGTCTGTCAAGGGTTATTGTTGAAGCGCGATGATGTTTTCTCCGCTACCTACATCGTACCATATGCAAACTTAGGTCAGACTTAGGTATAACTCTTCTCCACTGGATCTCCCTTGCATGTAACGAGGCCCATGTAGTTGGGTCAGGCCACCACCTTACCGAGTCTACCGTAATATGCGTACATGAGCAAACTAGTATGGAGTATGCATGTGCATACTTCGTACTTATCCAAAGATTCACGGGCTGGCCGATGTTTCATATTGAACGAAAAGAATTGCGCCCCTCGTAGGCTGGAACATTGACCAGGTGTTCCTCGTGGCGGTCAGTGTGGAGGCGTTGATATTGGTAGCAACGAGACTCTCTTACCTTAGTATACATAGATAGTCGAATGACCTGTCATTTACTATACAGTAGGTACTGTCCGTGGGTTGTCGTGGGGTGTAGCTCGCAAGAAGCGGTTATTCTGGGACCGTCCCGTAAAAGCGGGAAGCTGGTTTCTAGCTAGGCACTGTATACGACGTAAGACGCTACCGTAGGTAGTCGAGGTAGTCTATTACATAGAGGCTGTTTATACAGTGCACCACAAGGAGAGATCAATCTCCATGTTCAAGGTCAAGAGAGATGACTCCACCTGGGCGCAAATCCAAGAAGAGCTGAGCTGTGGAAGTGTTGGTTTTTGTCTCATCGAGTACCGTTGTGAGCCCAAGTTCGATCTGCTAATCGGTCCAAGGTATTAGATCAGCCATCTCCGACTCAATCGTTAGTAGAAAGTACATTGATCTGGACGGTTGGCAACGATCTTGATTGAGGGTTAGGATGCTTGGCTAAGTGCGCGGACGCAATAGCAAAAGACCCTTGAGATTTACAGCCCTACACGTAACAACATGAACAAGGTTCGAAATTGTTGTTATGTAGGCAGTTAATAAGGATACAAATTGCTTGTCGGGATCGGCAAGGCTCGGCTATATGGAACGGGCATAGACAGCCGGGAGGAGCAAAAGAGTTGAATCCATCGTCTGGCGCAGTGCCGTATAGTAGTTTAGGGATAACATACCCGATAGGCACGGTCCAACTGTTGTAAATCCTTCGCAACGACTACCCGGGTAGCTGTAGTCTAAATGGAAGTGCATCCTTCGGAAGGACATCGCCGTTCGGCCGGCGCACCGCTAGTGTAAGTAGGTACGCGTTACTACTATATGTATGTACTAGATAATATGCAAGCGTTGCGTCTGGATCCCGTCCTTAGAACTCTGCTTACCGTTAAATCTTGCTTACTTACATGTTATGTAAGTAGTTGCATGGTACAATATGGATGGTCTTTTACCAGAGCCTAGTTCCCTAAGTATGTAACCAGCTCATCCTACATGATATCGGTATTCTCGACATGATACGATAACCCGGTGGAGGTCTAGTGGAGGGCCGATGGGGCACGATGGGGATCCGGGTTCTGTCCGGGTCAACTTGATCATGATTAGAGCCAGGAGTGCACGCTACAACGGAGTCGGCTCCAGACTACCTACATGTAGATGGACGGCAATCCCCTTTTGCAAAGTATTTCCTCTGTATTTCCCTGTCCCACCGTCACGAGCTGCACTGGGCCTTTTGTTGCGAAAATCTCGTTACCAAGTCCCAAGCTGTCGGTTTCACTCGGGCTGTGGTTGCGCCGAGCATATGCAGTGCGAGGGGCGGGGGGAGTTTGCAGTTCCGTTCCTACAATACATATGTAGGGTGATAACGTGACATATACGAGGTGATGGTTTCTGCAGTGCCTCACTGGAGGCCTATAAGCGTAAGGGAAACGCCGTCGTCAATTTTCTGTATTGCAGTAGTCAGGGGCATATTCGGCGCCACAATGTCGGCATGACGTTGTGTGGCGGTCGATTTGGATCCGACTGGACAGTCATCCCGACACGTAATACCTCTGCGCAGACTCTGAGCTACCGGTAGGCGCTTGAACTGACAGTCGTTGTAAGCTTCACGCATTCTCCCACCTGATATCTTCTTCAGCTGTACGTTGGTGCTGTAAATCACATTTGCTGGGGACATGCTGCTGGCCGGAACTATTCCGCTAGACACCCATTGTGATGTTGGTGTCATGGGCTACCGGTATAACGCGTCGAGCTGCATACCAACACACAGGTACCGTGGACGCAAGAAGAGGTTATCGCCGACTAAATTGGCTGACCCAAACTCGCGAACTTCGGCAGTTCGTGACCGTTGGAATGTGTCTACCGAGCATCGCGCATGCCAACTGCCATTGTGTTTTAAAACACCAACTACTTCTTACCTACTACATGTGAGTCGATCGCGTGACTGAGGACCACCACAGAGTCAGAGCAGATATACGGTAGACGCGATCGCGGCATTGTCGCGTCGTGTCTGGATTCCTGGTGTGATATTCTACCCAACATAACAGAGTCTAGCCTACTAACAGCTTAGCTTGCGATGTTCCCGCGAGGTGCCATTGCTCGCGTATAAATACTTATCTGCTTACAGATCATGTACATAAAGATAGTATATAGATATACATGTATACATGTGCACTGTTGACGAGAATGCAGAGGTCTGTGTGACGACGTTGAGATTCTGCAGCGTGACCTTCTTGGCATCGCGAGGCGACTCTGAATCTGTACTCTCTCTACCTTACATACCGTAGTAGGTACTCCTAGCAGATCCTAGGAAGAATGTAAGTAGTACCATAGGCGCCGAGGTGCTGTGCGGGTGCGGGTCGGTTTCCCTGTTGCTTGCCACGGAGCGAGCAGCATATGCAGCCTTGACATGTTCCCTTCCCGGATCTGCGCGCATTACTGCCCACTGGTAATCGTCGCCACCAGCCAATACCGGTTTGCAACTCGCTGCGCAACTGGGATGGCCTGGGATGACCTGGGATAAACTGGGTTCTGAATTGGGATTGTTCATGCTGATGCAGTTCCCGAGCTCACCGGGGCTGTCCTTTTGCTTTTCCTTTGCTCCCCGCGTAGAAAACCGGCACTCCGTACCGTCAAGAATTCCGCTTCTGGGCGTCCTGGCCTCAGGTGCTCTGGCTTGGCGACCGCTTTAGGAAAATACTGAGGCCTGCAGCACAGCTGTGTCTCCTGCCCCCTCCCCGCCGTGTCTTGACTCGTAGGGCACGGCAAGCTCAGCGGGTGAAAGTGCAGGTGGCTTGCAGGAGGTCTTGATCGGGGCCCAATCCCTGCGAGGGGAACGCTCCTCTACCATCTACATGTGCAGTCTACACTACGGCTGTACGATTCCATGCGAGCTGAACACTGTAGGTAGTGTATTCCGGCTTTTCTCTACGACTCTGTACCTGATCAGCAATGCCGGGTCAATACCGGACATATCCTCCAACACATATCGCCATTGGCCAATCGCTTGCGAAGAACATGTGTGAGTGGAACTTTGTCTTCGCTCATAATTAGTCTGCATTATCCTCAAGTACTAATAGTAGGTATGTATGTGCAGTAGTAACGGTAAAAGTTAGTATGGGCATAGTATTCAGTAAGTAGATGCTAGATCTCTGCAACATAGCAACTTGCATGACTTCTTCCTGCGTGGGATAAAAGCTAAGTGGATGCAGACGACAATGCGGCTACTGTGGTTTCTCGTATTGCTGTTCACATACGTCTACATGGTATTGAACGACCCGCGGAGCGGGAGTCCGCTTGCTAATATGTGATGATGGGAAGGGTATTGACCAGGGCCGAAGAGAACCCGAATCTCAGTGATTTGTATAGTAGGTAGGTCTGCTCTGGTCTGCCCTCATGACTGAGTAAATATGTTTGTATATTGTACCTATCACCGTTTCTTGGGCCCAAGCAATCGTCGAATAAAAAGCAACGTCAGGGACAGGCATTGGCCAATGCCTGAACAACTGGGCAGGAAATATTGAATTGCTCGCCTCACTCATCGCACAGTCACAATCATCCGTGGACTATCGTAGACGAGTGGCTCCAATGATCAACGAGGAGAGCTGTCCGAAAAATTCCAAAAGCCTTGTAAGTCGTTTGACAATTATGTATTCTTTGGGGGGGCAGCGATACAACCTTGGGATAATGTTAGCCATTAGCGGCGCAACACAGAGTCCCTGTTGTTGGAGGCATCGTGAGAAAAGGTGCGTTGCATTGCATGGGCTGTTCCATCGAGGAATGTGATAAACGTGCAGGCAGTAATGAGCGAAAAAAGACAGATCTAGAGTGCAACACGCGTGGCTCAGTAGATGTAGAAGAATTTCAGAGTTGCATCCAGCAACACCCCACCCGCGATCGCTATTTCGTGACTTTCGTCGACTCGCATTTGGCACTACAGAGCGACAGTAGATAGACGTTAATCCAATTGCCGAAGGCTATTACGGGGCGGGACACCGGGTTATTGAGAAGCTGTACTTGATTGAACGGATTGGCTAGATCTAGATATGGTACGAATCGGGCGAAGATAACCTGGGGTGTCAATGTGATGGATGGGTAACAACCGGGATGTGCCTTTCAGCCTGTCTAGAGCAGAGGTTTCAACCATATGAAATTTGGGAAATCTGGGGTCTCTTCATCAGCACAACCTGGTTGGTCAATTGCATTTGAACACCTTGTACTGAAGCGAACTCGATTTGTGAGCGACCACGGCCATGGCAACCGCAATGCTAATCACACCTTGCGCCGAACATATCAACAAAGCTGGAGGCACTCTCGACACTCTGCTACCGGTGTACACGTGCAGGTCGATTGCAGCTGATAGTGACATAATTAACATCTCACTTATGTCGAGCAATCACTGATTCTAAGGCAACGGTGAAATCTAGACTTCTCTGTCGCAAAGATTATTGAATGACGGCATCTACTTTGCAGCTGCGATCTTCGAGCTAGAACATGTTGCCATTACAGAGTAGGTGACTGACTGCATTCGACGGCACCATTGGGTATCCCCTCAGCAAATACGTCGTCGTAGTAAGCTCACGCAGCTGATCCAAGTGATTGGGCCATATCAACAACTCGCTCGACGGAGGAGGGCCTTGATGTCACGATAGTTCATGGAACGTTGACAAGGTCGCCGAACGGGGCGATGTTCGCAGCAGATGATTTGTTAACCAAACCAGTAACCTTGTGTATAGAGGAATCCAACGAGGCGAGTGCATTTGAGAGCGAAGCACCTGTCAACAGAGGTCGACGTGGGAGCCAGACTGAATAGGGAGATGGGGTGCCGATCGTGTTGATTCTAGCCATTAGCGAGCTTGGTACTATTGACCGGGAAAGTCCCCCGTCGCACGACGAAGACAGGGTTGCTTCTGAGTAAGTGTGCACCCTGATCCCGATTCCCTGATCCCTGAACGGTTTCCCTCCCCGCCTTGTTGAAACCCTGGGCAGAGTTTCTGCAGGTTGCTCGCTCTGTTGGCTTGTTCGGTATTTTATCTATTTTACTGGTATGGCGTTGTTAGCTACCAACCATCTGTCGCGTCTTACTGCTAGATAGATCCAACGATCCAACAAGCAGAAACAAGGCATCTGTGCCACATGCTTGTGGACAGCAGTGGGCACTCAAAAGCTCGTTATACCTAGCATACCGAAGCTCCTAAGTCCTAAAGCAGCACATCAGACGAAGTGGGCTGCCGGAGCATTCATCACACTGGATTTCTTACATGTTTTGCTGCAGCCCAGCGGAACCGCCGCAGGCAACCCTGAAAGCCGGACCTGCCAACAGTGTGCGTTTCCAGACTATGTAGCAGCGATATCAATCACCTGTCTAGACTTGATACTATTTCCAGCGTACATATGTACGTGTACACCATTAGTCTAGCAGTCAGGCACCGGTGCATAGGAATTGTGTGTAGACTGGGTGAATTCGAAGGTCTATGGCATGTTTGTTATCGAGTCCATCTGCCTAGGTATTTGGGCAGTGATCTCAGTACAGCGTTTCCAGTCAGTACCAAGCAAAGAGTAAGTATCCATAACCGACCAGCATGTGGTCAACAGCGTGGCGTAGTCGTCGCGGAATGCGGTTGGAGACGAAAAACAGGACAGAAAAAAAAGAAGGGTACGTCATTCATCTGTTGTCAAGACAGGCTGGGAGCTCACCACAATACCTGAGCAGCAACCTGGATATGGCAGTCATCCCTCCTCCGTAGGCTACAAATGTAGCCATAAGGTTGGAAGGGATGGTCAGCGTGCCTGAGGAGTACTGTGAAGGGGGTTTGTATTGGAAATGCTGTTCCCATTATTGCACAGCATACCAGTCATCGATGCCCTGTGTTGTACACTGCAAACGATGTGCTGGCAACCACGGCATCATGGTCTGATTGTGGCCGTCAAAGGTAACACCAGATAGAAAAGTAATGACACATTGGACAAAATCCTACCGTTCTCTGATTGCTATCCATTCACTGCACTTCTCTGCGATCCTAGACACTTGGGGCAAACCACAAACCTCAGACCAGTGCGGCACAGTGTCATTCAACCCGAGATACTGTACATGTAAGCATCTATTTTAATTCTTAAAGTTGATGGCTCTCTACGGTACCTACCTAGACTTTACAGACAGGTCCATGGTGGCCTTTTCCCCATGGTTGCTGCAATACACTACTGCCTCGGTAGGTACTTAACTACTATGTATTAGTCAGTATTTAGTGCACAGCTGAGAGCTATCTTGTCATCAGCGTGAGGAGCAATTGAAGCTCGTAAAAGAAAGCTCATAGCTCGCCACAAGAGCTTGCGTGTTAGGTTTTAGTGCTCTCCATAGCTAAGTACCTACTACCCTGCCCAGTTTGGAGCTTCCATTTGCCACTTCGTTAGCAAATTGACAAATTCGTTATCGTTCCCCAAAGAAGCTAGCGCATGATGATCCACTCGCTACCTAATTAGTAGTAGCGTGAGACAGGGGACTGGACATCAACGTGTGGGACAAAATGCTAGTACGGCGCCGAGGCACCAGTAAGGTACAGAACACGCTACCTCACGACCGTTCTTTTTGCTTCTCTTCTCGGAGACATGAGCCGACAGGACTAGACCAGGGCAAAGGAGCCAGGGGGGCGGGCAACAATCTGCAAGTAGGTAGACGGGCATGGGTGTATGTACTAGGGCTACTACGTACCTAAGGTACTGTACTTAGTGTAGGCAGTCGAGGCAGTGTACATAGGTAGCGTACTGTACAGTACAGTACCTAGTACCTTAACACGCCTTGGTCATTCTTATTAGGTATTCGTTCCTACCTCCGTCTTGTTCTCCCTCATACGTACCTAACATCTAAGACACTTACACACTACATCACTTCTCGGCTTGCAGTGCTTCCCAACCGGAAAGCCCTTGTCAAGTCGGAGCTTTCACAGCACACGCAAAGAGCATACGAGGTCGATTGCGAGAAAGAAAGAGAAAGTCTGGAGGAAGAAATACACAACTACGAGGGTGAGAAAGGACGAGAGCGAGAAGACGAGAGAAAGAGAGAGAGAGAGAGCACGCCGGATAGAAGAAGACCGCACGAGAAAGAGAGGAAACAGCCCAGAGCCGCTTGATTCACTCGACGGGTAGCTACACAAGACGCACGAGGTATGCTTTTACATAGTTTTCCGGCTTTGCTGCTTTTCTGCGAACCACCTCTTCTTCAAAAAGGGTATGGGGACACAGATCATGGATCACCCCTACTGTGTCATGCGACGAGTTCTCTGCGACGGGGCTCGTCACTACGCCCGCTTCGAATCTGCAGTCTGCTCTCTTTCATATTGCATCTAATCTAGGCGACGTGGAGAGCGTTCTATCTAGGGGCATTCCCAACGTCACTAGCTGGCTTTCTTCCGTCTCAGTCCCGGATCACCACTTTGTACCTCCCTTCATTCCATCATACCTCGCTCTCTAGTCTAGTTCGCGACCATACCAGACAACGAACTAGCCCAAGCTTCCCCAAAGACTCAGTAAACTGACTATTATTCCATCTGTAGAAGTCTCCTACTATACCAACTTGGATTCGCGTTTTGTAACTGCTTTTTCTCTACTATAATAGTCTAAAGGACTGGATTATTCACGAAAATAGTAGACGAAACGATCGGACTGCCGTGCACGCGACGAACTAAAGCAAGCCGAGCTCAACTAAATTGGTTAATCGTGTCAATTGATCCCTGGGGAGGGGCTGCGTCTCGTTGCCGACACAGCTGCTACGCTGGTGTGAGCAAGTAGAACCAAGCCCCATGGTGCATCAAAATTAATTTATTCAGCAATCATGATGCTGGAAATGCAGCCTGTGCGGGCGAGCTTGCAGGTCGCACCTCTTGCAATCACGAAGAGTCGCTCTGGGTCCGTGAGCGAGGATGATGCAGCTGTCAATGCTTCTGCAAGCATCTACTCTCAATCGCAGATAACGCCACCTTCAACGCCAAATGAGTCACAAGAAGATCTCGTTTCGCAGTCGCCGCAGCCACCACACACAATATTCCATAACTATCTTCGAGCATTCTATCCATTTCAGCCTGCCTGTACGGTAACCGACTCGACCATCACTTTACCGCTCAACGAAGGCGATGTAGTGCTAGTGCACTCGATCCATACCAATGGCTGGGCTGACGGAACTCTACTGGCAACGGGTGCGAGGGGCTGGTTACCTACGAACTACTGTGAGGGTTACGATCCTGAAGAAATGAGGAATCTATTGAAAGCGCTGTTGAATTTCTGGGACCTTCTTAGGAGCACGGTCACGGACGATCAAGATATCTTTGAGAACCAAGAGTTCATGAAAGGCATCATCGCCGGAGTGCGGTATCTACTTGTAAGCTTCGCTGATGTATCGGATTGCATGGTGGCCGATTACTGAACCCCTCTAGGAACGCACGCACTGCTTGACTCGTGAAACGCCGACCATCCAGAGGAGTGAAAGTCTCAGACGGGGGCGAAAGAGTTTACTCTCCGAATTGTCTCTGCTGGTAAAAACTGCAAAGCGCTTACAAGGGATGCTTAGGTTCTCAGCGCAGTTTTCCGACCAAGCCAATGATGTTATCGATGAGATGATATTAAGAGCATTCAAGGTGGTTGTCAGGGGCGTGCGGTTTCTCGATCTTTTGGAAGAGGATCGACGTACCCGAGCGCCAGCAGTGACAGTCATGGCCACTGTTATGGAGGAGTCATTCGTTCCACCAACACCGCCCGCGGAAACAACAAGCTTTGGACAAGAAGCAGAGGAGAATAGTAACCCCGACTGTCGAATGACTGCAATCGACACGCCAACCGAGTCATCAGCTGAAGCAATGCAGGCTAGCGAACTAACACCACAGCGTTTGTCGTGCATCCAATCTCCGACAAACTTACCAGGCAACCGGGTCTCTCAAAGAACCATGCAGGCTCCTAATCGACTGTCTGCTAGCATAACACATCGGATATCCTTTGCTGGCCGCTCACCATCGACACAATCACATAATTTGGTTTCAGAACAACTCAACTCATGTCATGACGCCTTTTTATCACATCTCAGCTCCTTGATTGGTCGTTTACGCCTCCAGTCACTTTCACGATCGGAATTCGCCTTGGCCATCAGGCTCTCCACAACATCGGGCGGGGCTCTCTGGGCTGTGGTTAATGTTGTGTGCGACCACAACACCATCATCCCGGAATCTCTAGAAACCGCCCGTACAACCATGTTCGACCATATTCGTGATTTAGTGTCGTCTGCACGAGACATCTTGACGACCTGTGATGTCGAGACCGAACACATTGTCATGCCTCAAGACGACGCGCTCCAACATGCGGCTATCCACTGCGTCAAGACGGCTGGTGAGTGCGTTGCAAGGACAAAATGGGTCCTTGAGAAGATCGGGGATTTTGAGTTCGAAATCGAAGAGGCTGATCTAGGCCTTGACCTGAGCTTGTTTGAAATGGCGTCCCAGACTCGCCCTCACACACCAGAGAACACAAGTGTTGTAGAATCGAAGAAATCGCCCACTTCCCCGGTATCCACTTCGCTGTTGTTATCAATGGACAAACCGCTACCTGAAATACCACCTATAGCCGAGACAGAGACAATTGAAACAGTAGGCAGGGCTGAGGCAACCTCTCTGTTATCCCGAACACAGTCAGTCAGTGTAGATGCAAGTCCGTCAACCAGCGTATCCTCAGCGCCGTTATCACGGCCGCTAGTACAACCTCTACCAAAACTCAGCACCGCCCTTGTTTCAGAAGACTCATACAGCCCGATAGAAGTATCACATGATATTGAATTACATGGATCTTTCAGGTCCGATACTGGGACAGCAATAAGTTCGGGAACTAGCAGTTCGTATCTCAGCCGCGATTTTGAGTCCAGTGTCGTATCCCAAACATCCACACGCGCCACCACTCCTGACAGCGCTCAAGCACCCAGGACTCAGCCCTCATTGTCCGATATTAGCACCACAGGCAGTACGGCTCTCACCGAAGAAGTGGAAGAAGTGGAATCTAAGTTACTTGAGAAGACATATGTCCATGAGCTCATGTTTAACAAGGACGGCCAGGTTGTTGGGGGGACACTACAAGCACTTGTGGAGCGCCTTACAACACACGAAACAACGCCTGATGCGATGTTTGTATCTGCATTCTATCTTACTTTCCGCCTATTCTGCACACCGACCAGATTAGTTGAGGTTCTAATTGAGCGCTTTGACTATATCAGCGAATCCCCTGCTATCGCAAGCCCTGTTCAACTACGAGTCTATAATGTGCTCAAGGGTTGGCTGGAGTCTCACTGGCGAGAGCCAACAGATGGGGAGGCTCTCCCCTTGATTGCCCATTTCGCTGAGTACAAATTAGGACTCGTTATTCCTTCAGCGGGTAAACGTCTGGCAGAGTTGGTTCAGCGTGTCTCTTCTACGGAAAACTTGACATTGTCTCGCCTCGCTTCATCAGTAGCCAAACAGAATGCCTTGTCAGCTCCTTTCGTGTCTTCCGATCTTGGTTTGCCAGCTTCTATTCTTTCAAAGAGTCAACAAGGCCTTCTTACGAATTGGAAAATAGGTGGCAGCTTACCATCGATCCTTGATTTTGACCCTCTTGAGCTCGCTCGCCAGATCACTCTAAAGCAAATGTCTATATTTTCTTCCATCAAGCCCGACGAGCTTCTCGGGTCGCAGTGGATGAAAAATGGCGGCGTTGAATCGCCTAATGTTAAGGCTATGTCCGGATTATCTAACGATCTCTCTAACTTGGTTGCGGATACAATTCTTCAATACTCCGAAGTCAAGAAACGTGCTGCCATGATCAAGCAGTGGATCAAAATTGCCAACCAGTGCCTCGAGTTGAATAACTACGACGGATTGATGGCTATTGTTTGCAGTCTTAATAGCTCGATCATTAGTCGCTTGCGAAAGACTTGGGACATTATAAGTCCCAAACGTCGGGAGTTGTTTAAGACACTACAGGCCATTGTCGAGCCAGCAAACAATCACAGGGTACTTCGAGCACGCCTTCAAGGTCATGTGCCTCCTTGTCTCCCCTTTCTAGGCATGTTTCTCACAGATCTTACCTTTGTCGATATCGGCAATCCAGCTACAAAGCAACATCCAGGTATTGGTCCTCAGGGCCAAGGAATGACCGTCATCAATTTTGATAAGCATAGTCGAACAGCGAAGATCATTGGCGATCTGCAACGATTCCAGCTACCCTACAGGATGACTGAGATTCCGGATATGCAGGAATGGCTCCAAGCCCAGATTGTCCGCATGAAGGAGCTGGATCAGAGTAACGTTCAGGTTAGCTATTATAGAAAAAGTCTTCTTCTTGAGCCAAGAGAGACTGCATTGCGGACTCCAGTTGAAGGACCAACACCGTCAACTCAAACTAGCGCGAAAGCAGATCTTTTCGGTTGGATATCTCGAGATCGACATAACAACAATACCGCCGTCGCGATATAAGCACTATCGCCATGACAACGCTCCAACACTTACTTCATCGAGTGGTTAGCGAAAGGCCTTATTCACAATGCATTGCATCTTCATATTTCCTCTTCACCATATCTATGATACCCCATCCTTTCTTTATTGTATGCATGCTATTCACGAAGCATCTTGGATTTACTATACGGGCGGTCAACATAACCTATTATCTACTTATCTCGCATCAGATGTCGGCATTACAGGAGTAGAAGCGCTCCAAACAAGACCTCATACCTTTTTATCACCGACATATATTCTTCACACACTTATTAACATTTGACCACCGCGTATATCATCAACGCGTATGAGTTTTTGACCTTCGAGCTGAAGCCCCAGGTCTTGGTGATGTTTAGCATCCAACATCATACCTAGACTTGATTTCGGAGTTAATTTATCATCATCATTATCATGGGATCATAAGCATCAGCAGCTTGTGCCACGGACGGGGTTGAGTTCAACTCTCCAGAATTGAGATGGACGCATATGCATATCTCTGTATAATGTGTATTGGACTTTCTGGAACCTCTTCAGGTCACACTGTGAAACAACAAAATTGTGTTCGGGGCGGGGTGTGTCAAAAAGGAAAATCATCATAATTTTTTTTAGCTAAATGGCCCGTCATGAGGGCTGGACCTGGGTGGGAACGGGAAGGGGCGGTCTTGGTGATTTGTTCATCTCCCTCCAAGACCAAAAAGGTCTATACTCGCTTCTTTGTCGTTATGATGAACAATAGGGTGCTCAGGGATTGGGAATTCCATAACGGCAGATCATGTTTACGGCTCACGCCTCATTTGCTTAATATAGCATCTAGGAATCGGGAATGAATTGGCTAGGTTTGGATCCTGGTGTACATGCAAAGAAATAGGCAATTGAAGAATACCTTTGATGCCAAAATACAATGTCTTTGCTGCTGCTTCCCGCATGTGGGGTTATTCTGGAGGATTATCAATGGCGATGGTCTCTTAAAGTGATTATCATGGGTGCATGACATTCGCAAGATTATCGAAAATGTTTATCGAGTATACTTGGCGTTGATTATATTCACTTACATCTCGTATCAAATGATCTACCTTCCTGTCTAACATTGACACCCCTTCCATATTGACATAGATAAGCTAGGTCACTTGAGTACTTGAGTACATACCTTAACTGGTTCACTGAGGTACGAATTGATAGCCTAAGCGTACAGCTGCTTGAAGACCGGGACCCCATACTCATGTGTCTCCATCAAAGCATGTATGTAGCTAGAGGGACGTGTTTTCTCCGTGAAGAAGTAGATACATCATACAGTATCAGAATAGATAAAAGACATAAATCGCTCTTCGAATGCATTGCTCCTGATCTACTGCCCGCCTCTAAATTATTTGGTACCTAGATTAGCTGGGGTGATATACAGTCTGAGGTAAAATTGGTTGTTCGACTGATATGGCGATTAGTGGGTAGACAGACATTCTTGCGTCAGTACTACCTAAGTATGTAGGTAGGTATTTGATGAGCTGGGATGGGTATGACAGGTTTCAATACGAGCGACTTCTCGGGTTTCGTAAGGTAGAAGAAGATAGGTGTACGAAATAGAACAGAGGCAGTACGCACGTAGTACTTGGACAAACAGCGAAAGTGTAAGTACGAATATGGCGAATGTGCACGAGTGGAGGAGGGGTACGAAAGAGGGGTCGGACGAAAGCGAGACAGTCGAGCGAGGGAGGGCGAAAATGGTGTGGTGGCGGCGTTGGAAACGGCGAATGCGTCTCGGTGCTTACCTCACCTAACCAACCACTTGTTTGGCCGCGGGTGAGTGGCACAGCAGTCGGTAAGAAAAGTAACCTTAAAGAACTGTGGTCGGTCGTCATGTATAGATTACGAGCAGATAGGTATGTGCGTAGGTAAGTATCAGCAGATGGCTTGCAGCGGGCATCTGACGCTACGATGTCTTACCTCGTGTTGAGCCGTTACGCTACTGGCTTAGCATCTACAGTGGTAAGGTAGGTGAGTAGGTAGGTTGCAGCGACGATTGTAGTCGTTGCAGCAAGTTTGTCAAACGTCGCAAACCACCAACAACAAATGATGGCGTACAGCTAACATTCAAGCAAGGGAGACTTCCATCACAATAGGTACCTACCTACATAGTGCTAGGTAGTTAGTATAGGCGGGTGGGCCAGATAAGAACAAGACAACGCCGCTTGATATTCGTAACCGGTAAGCTGGAAGCGACAGGCAGCGGATTCCCATTTGATAACAACTGCAACCTTACGTTAAGGCTGGAAACATGGTGCTTTCAGCTCAAGGCGCCTCATGGCGGGTGCGAATGTAACCTGGTCTTGAGGTGCTCGAAGCAATCTCGAAGGGCTCTTGAAGAACCCGTTAAGGGGTATCTTAGTAGTAGTGTACTAAAACCGGCAATGCTTGCTCGTTACATGGAGTTCTAACCCAGGTAGGCCAGACTGGTGATAAGAGGATTGACGCATAGCAGTGATGGGATTCGAAACCTAGGTAAGATATCTGTACTATCAACAATGTCGCCAACACGTCCTACCGTATGTATATTCTATCTACTGTACTGCTACCGATCGAAGATGGACGCCCTGATGCTATATCTATGTAGACGTAGATGTTCAGTCGTGTTTATTATCTTTGTCAACCCCAGTCTTGACATGCAGAAACTGCCTATCTCGAAATGCGCCAGATCCACACCAAGGTTACTTAAGGTTGGTGGAGCGTTGCTGGTCCAGCCAGTTGGTACCTATTGCATGGCGCTTGAACTCTCTTCTCTACCATTACCAACGTAATTCATCTGGGGGCTCGTTCACTATTCTGGAAGACTTGAGCCGAGCTGAGCCGAATAATAACACCGAACGGTATTATATAGCGTTGATACTCGGCGTTGATTGTTTAATAGCTGAGCTAGGTATTATCTGACGAGGCTGCAAAGGCGAATCCTGATACTCGGATGCTACCTGTAACCTCGCTAACCCTACACGGGTCGGCTCTAGCAGAATGTCGAAGGGTAGAAGGTATGTAGCAAGGGATTATACGCATATGTAGCATGTAGATAGGCACGGAGGTTGCGAGAAGATGTCTAGGTGGGCAGTTTGTTTGCACTAGGTAGACTGCTTCGTATGTAGGGAGGAATGGTATCATGCGGTTGTCTCAAGGGCTGGGCAACGTTACATACAACAACCTACCAGTACCAGAGTACAACCCAACTACCGTACGCCACCAAACCCTGTACCTATCCTAGTGGAAGCACCGCAAGCACCGGGAGGGATTGGCCTGAATGCCTCTCTGGCCTGGCTGGCCGAGTTTGCACCCCTTCCCCGGTCGGGGCCCACTTCCGGCTCCCACCACGGGGGCCACCCCTGTCTCCTTCCTAATCGTTGGTTCTTTCTTGGGTCCTTCCCGCCAATAACAGCGCTCAAAAGCAGAATAAGCGGAGATTGATCTTGTGACTTGAAGAACAGACACCAATCACAAGTTGAGTGTCTCGAGCATATTCGGCCCGCTACTTATCTCCCGTCAGCCATGGACTGACCCCGGCTATTCGCTAACTTTCTGTATCTACTGCTACTGTAAGTAGGTATGCTAGAGTCTGCTAGAGATACCGCTAGAATACCTACAGATACCTACTTCACTACCTTGAACATGCCTCAGACATTTCGATATGCCATCGTCAATAACTACGTACTCTAAGGCTATAGGTATCTAATGAGGAACGATCTCTGGAATAGGTTGAGATGACAGTCATCACCTGAGATTCCAGAGCGCAAATTACGCAATTTATACCTAGGTGCTGCAGTGTAAGTAGTACACTATATCACCCCGGTAACTTCTGAACTCCGAACCTCTGGATCCTTAGCAGTTGGAATGGATCATGAGTGAACACGAATTCCACAGTTTGCCATCACTTCGTAAGTAGTAGCGTACAACAACGCCACCCTCTCTTTTCTCAACGGTCGATACTAACTAGGTATGCAGTCCTGTAACATTATCATGCAATCAATTTGGCACTGCACTATTCTATAGTACGCAGGCCCTCCGCTAAGCGGCTTCTGGGGCGTCCACAGGGCAGAACAGGGCTAGGTACTCAAGTAGGTAAATAAGCACCGAGCGTACTATGTACTCATGCTACCTTGGGTAACAGATTGCGTCCATCTATTTTAGGATCCTCGAAGAGATATTGAATTGCATCGTGACTGTCACGTAGCGTGGGCCACTTCGATATTTCTAGCTGCCCAACGCGTGCACGTGAAACCGCTGCCATGGGGTGCGCCCGTATTGGATCTGGGTAATCAGGTCTAATCATCGATCGACAGACGGACTCTGGACGGACCCAGGACTGCCCAGGCACATCCTTGACCCAATTCTCCATGCTGATAGCTGCTACCTACCATCCGTATACTTGTCTGGATGCGCGATGGTACCAATTGCTACCCTTTACGCCTCGGTAGTTTCCTGCAGCCTATTGACAAGATTTTGTTTGTGGTATTCGGCCAGACCCGACCCGACCATACAGGTAATAATAATACATTATTCCTTCTAGCCATCTCAGCCTAGGTATCTAGATACCTACTGTGTAGTAGATAGGTACCTGCACATAGGTACATACATATGTATGTAGGTAGCTGTAAGTGGGAGGCAGGTACCTAAAGGTTATCTACATGTACATAAGTAAGGTAAGTACATGCTCTAGCGTAACGGGCAGGCACTCCGCACTTCCTTCCTCATTCCGCTAAGAGCTACCGTCTAAGCTGGGGTAGAGTTGATTAGCTGGGTTCTGTTGGGTCCAGGGCGCCGTCTCCTACTGGCTACCCATCACCACCCATCCCAGGCTCCATGTCTTCCCTTTATCGTCGTACTAGGTAGGGTGGTATAATATCACACCCTGCCCGCGCGCATCAATCTATCTGATTCCCTTTTTCCCTCTTTTTCTTCTCGACCACCAAGGTTTATACCTCCGCATACGGTTCAAGGCTTAATTTAGCCGTCACGCGGCTCGTCCCTCGCAAGGTTAGCTACCACCTCACGCATCAACTTGAACAGACGTGCATGCGCATGCCACACCTGCACGTCTGTCGCACGTCTGTTATCTTCCCTGTGATGCGCCAATGGCTCACCAGCTGTGCTTGAGACTATCTGATTTGTTTTGCAACAGCCGAGGCTAACTAATCTCAATGTAGACACAGGTCTTTTTGAACCTTTTCCCTGCCGAAGAGTCGAGTGTGGTGTGTGTCTGTGTGACCGTCTGGACTAGCTAGAGTCCTCCAAAATGGCCGAGAAAGATTCGAACGTCGTCCGTACGGGCACCGGAACGTCTGAAGCAGACTCGCCCCACTATGTCGAAGGCGTCACCATCCCCCGCCCCGATGGATTTATTTACAAGGGCTTCAAGCTGTTTCCCGGCACCAAACAGATCTGGTATGCCTCTCCGAAGGCCCAACTCCTGATGGTATCATTCGTGTGCTTCCTGTGCCCGGGTCTATACAACGCTCTCAACGGTCTTGGTGGTGGTGGTCAGCTCAACCCTCACGTTCAGGCCAACGCTTCAACCGCGACGTACGCTGTTTTTGCTATTGTCGGTTTCTTCTCCGGTTCATTCGCAAACAAGCTCGGTATTAGAATCACCCTCGCGATAGGTGGTTTCGGTTATTCCTTGTACTCGGCCAGTTTTTTGGCCTACAATCACACCAAAAATGAGGGCTTCGTTACATTCGCCGGTGCTCTGTTGGGGTTGTGCGCTGGTTTGCTTTGGACCGCGCAGGGTGCTATCATGATGGCCTACCCTCTAGAGAAATCCAAGGGTAGATATATCAGTGTCTTCTGGATCATCTTCAACGCTGGCGGTGTCTTGGGTGCTCTGATTGTGCTCGTTCAGAACCTAAATAACCCGAGCGGAACGGTTAACGACGGCACCTATATTGCCTTCATCGTTCTCATGTTTGCCGGTGCTATTCTCGCCTTGACCCTCGTTAACGCAGACAAGGTTATTCGTGAGGATGGCTCCAAGGTCATCGTCATGAAGGAACCTACCTGGCAATCTGAGTTTTACGGCCTCTGGGAGTGCATCCAATTACAGCCATGGGTCGTGCTCCTCTTTCCCATGTTCTTTGCCTCCAACATTTTCTACACCTACCAGCAAAATGGTGTCAATGGAGCTCATTTCAACCTACAAGCGCGGTCCCTAAACTCGCTATTGTACTGGCTCGCGCAGATTCTAGGCGCTATAGTGTACGGTACTGCCCTCGACTACTCCGGGATCCGCCGTTCTGTGCGCTCAAAGATCGCTTTGGTCACCCTGATCATCCTCACCTTCGTCATTTGGGGAGGTGGTTATGCTTTCGAAAAAGATCAACCACCCCGATCCGTCACTATCCAGCAAGACTATGAGGCGCAAAAGATTGCTTACACCGAACTCCGTTATATCGGCCCGGCTTTCCTGTACATCTTTTACGGCTTCTACGATGCTTGCTGGCAGGCCTCCATTTACTGGTACGTGACTGATGCTATTGTTCTTCTGGCGGTGTTTTACTAATTCATTGTATAGGTGGATTGGCGCTCTCTCCAACTCGGGCCGTAAAACTGCCAACATGGCTGGTTTCTACAAGGGTATCCAATCAGGTGGCGCTGCTGTTTTCTGGGCTCTGGACGGACAAGGCGTCTCCTACCGTACACTTTATGCCGCAACTGTAAGTTGACATCACTCCTTCGCCGACATGTTTCCTGAGCTAATCGCCTCCATATCAGTTTGCTCTGTGTGCCGCCTCCATTTTCATTGCCGCTCCAGTCATCTGGCTTCGCATCAAGGATACCACCGACATTGAAGAGGACCTGAAGTTTAGTGATGGGACAATCGAGGAAGTTGCGCCCACTGCTGTTCTCCAGGAGAAGCGCGCAGCCATTGAAAACCATGTCTGATTTAAAAGCGAGTTATGCCCTAGGAAATTTCATGTTATGAATAAATATGCCTTTTGAAGTTTGTGAAATTGTCTTTGTAGTCCAACTAGTGTTGAACCAAGAGACATTGCTTTTGTCGTAAGCGGATGTCACAAGATTTCAGGATTGCTTTTGGGATGAGATACCAGGCGCGATTTTGTCGAAATATACAACTTAATATTGAGCCTAATACTCGCTTGGCGTATCCGTACTCGCCCAAGACTACCTCGCGTTTTGATATCCGATATACTGCGGGAAACAATGTATCAACGGGTGTCTTCTATAATAATTCACGCGAGCTACTTAGTTTAGTAGTCATGCTACTAACCGCAACATGGGAAATCTATCAACCTGATCTATTGGACTTGCCTATTGGGCGATATACTGTCGTGGTTCTCTTGGTTACGAGGGGGTTTAGAAACAAGGGGGAGAATACTTACATTTCCACAGGCGCGGTAGATCTTACCGTAGTCCTCAGCGTAGGAGGGTGAAGTCTATGGTCCGTTGTGCTGGACAATCTTGTTCAATTCGGTGTGAGGCGTGGTATGCGTCACCGCTGGTAGCCCATGACTCTTTGTCCAGCGGTTTCCCCGTTCTATCGGATGGTTAGTGAGATTCGTGACTCGATGTCAGATCTTAGAGAGAGATGGACACGTTTCTGATAGTAACAGCAGCATCCTCGAGGATATCCTCGAAGCTTTAGCCAGCCGCAACTCTCATTGGGGGTCTTGATTGTCGTGGGAACTAGGATACCACCCTATAGACCAGGGAGACGACATAACTGACGATCTATGCTGGAGGCGCAAAGATAGAAGACTTGATTTATGTGGTTTCTGGGTATTACGAATCTTGACGAAGCCGTGCCGATCTCTTTTCCTTTTCCTATTGAAGAACTCGAGGCGCCTGGCTCGTAGAATAGACTTCAACATATCTCTTCTTCTATCACCGCGAGACGGGGGTGTGGCATTCATCAAGTGTCTGTCTACCTATAATAAAGCATACTAAGTACCTGCTTAGGTAGTGTAGGCCTTAATCTACTGTCTTTATAAATGGAGTTCAAGTCACCACCTTCCGCATCGGGTCGCTCGCTGAGCTCTGGTTGGATATCAGCTTCCATGAGAGACACTTCCTCCCCTTCATCCTACGATTTTCTCATTTCCAGAGCGCCGTTATCGGGTGCTACTTTTCTCTAAGACGTGAAATTACATAATACGATGTTAATTTTAAGGCATAATGACTTACTGAATTGGACCCTTCGTAGATCGAACAGGTAGTGGAATGTATCCTTTCCAGGGGTTCGCTCCATCTTGGTAAGTCTTGGAAGTTCTTGGATGTCCTTACTTACTATTTGCGGCTCAAAAAATGGCTTCTTTACAGGTCCAAGTTGAACGCCTCCAGAAGTGCCATTTGCGCTCCAAGAAGAAAATCAAGAAAAAAAGTAAAGAAAGTTTCATTTTTTATCAGCTGGCATTCGTAGGGAGCTCCATTCACACTAAGATATTCATACTCTAACCTTCTTGTCAGATTTCTCGCAGCGCTGCGTAGGCCATCTCCTAAAGTGGTTTGCATACATTGGCATTCTGACTGTGGCAGCCATTTGATATTGGTAACCACAACATGAATTAATACCGAGGAGAATTCATTAATGCTGATTTAATGCTAGCTGTGTATTAGGTAGATAGCTGAAGAGACACTGCGGAAGCAGATAGTGGAGCATGCAGTTACCGTCGAAGGAGCAGAGTGCTTAAACAGCTTGGATCTCTATACTAAATCTACATTTGACTTTGGTGGCTTGGTACCCAAACCAAGGTTGTCGGCGCGCGCCAAAACTTTCTTCAAGCTACGTAGGTACAGACTAGCCATCTTCTGCATCTCCCATACCGCATAATACCATTATTATACTTGGTGAAGAAAACCTTGAAGCTAAAGTAATCGTGCGAATCGGGCCCGAAGGTATACTTGTTGAATCGGAAGAGCACGGGGGCTTCTAACTCTGTCTAATTTTATGTAAGTCAGCAACTTAATTTCGTGTAAGAAGTCAAGGAGTATGCTTTGTGAGATGAGTGAACTTTAGGATAAATGGGTGATATCGCCGGATCTGTATATTATCAGTTCTTATGCAGCACTAGGGAGGCTAGCGTCTTCAATGAAGATTTGAAAGAACCAAAGTACGAGAGAAGGTGAATTTAGTCATGACCCCTTCGTCTAATTTTCTTTAGCCCTGAATTTAAGTTGAGAAGGCTATTTTGACGTATAATTCGATTCCTGTAGGGTGCAGATTTTAAGCTTTGCTGGTATATGTATCTAATCTCGTCAGCTATTCATACAAGATAAAGGTTATATAGAAACTTTCCTTTTGAAGCATGCCATAACTCATTAGCGATAGTCGGTTATAAAGATGGCCCCCCCATTTCGTTGTCGTAATTATCATCAACTCAACATATACCGTCACGTCCAAAATAGCACCCTTGACGTTGTTACCCGTTCTTTCTCTGCTAAGACCCTAATTCACGATGGCCTCTCGGATACCAGATGCCGCTGAACAGAAACAACCCGAATTACTACCCTCAGAGATAATGTTGGTCGTTATCGGCTATATTGGTTATAACTGGCCGGACGTCTGGGGTAGTATGAGACTAACGAGCCACACATGGAAATTCGAGGTAGAGAATTTCGTACAAAGCAACTATCTCCCAAATATGACTATCTGGGCACGGGACAAGGAGTTCAAATTTACACACATCTCGGATCAACGTGCTGTCTTCAAGCTTCAGGGTCATGCAGACGAGCAGGTTTGGGCACAGATCCTCGAATCATTGAGACACAACGCCACTGATCGCATAATCGCACTGCCAGATCTCCGGACAGCCAACAACGCGAAAATTATTGGTCTACAAAGCAGCTATAAGGACAAAATCATCTCAATCGAGTGGCTACCAACAATCAGCGGTCTGTTCAGGGTAGAGAGTGGACTTCGAGCGATTGTCCGTGAAGAATCCGAGTACGTATTTGTCGTCGCAGTAAGACAAAGCCCCCATCCTCGCATCCTCTCGCTAACCCTCACTTTGTAGAAAGATATTTGACCAGTATTTTTCCAATACTAAATCAAAGATTCCAAGAAACATAAACCCTGTGTCAAAGGAGACCCTACACCGTAGCCTCCACAAAGACAGATGTTTCCTTAAGTGGCTCTTTTGTGTAGGCCGAGACCTATATAGGACGCCGATCGCTAAATTGCCTCGATATAAGAGCTATGTTTCTGACATGAAAGACAGCAAGCCTTTTGGATGGGATGATATTATTGACTCCCCTTTAGTCAAAATGAGGCTGGGTTGGACGTTTATGAAATGTTAATTACTGTCTTTTTAATCATTGCAAGGCTTGTTATGACTATTTGTTGCTCTTCATGCTCAGAGTTCAGCTGGTTCTTTCCATTGGCATTTCACACTGCTCAAAGCTATAAAGATCGAGTTACTGTCTCCATGAAGTATCTGCTAGGGGTCTAGAGATAGAAGAGCAAAGAGATACCTTGTATACAGCTAGAAGAAGTCGGAATGCCTTCCGACTTCTAACCCCTTTATATTTGTGCCACAATGAGAGTCTTACTGTATACCTTGTATAGCCTTCCTGGTAGTATCCAAGAGATCTAACTAATTCCAGATAGCCTCATATCACTTTGGACCTTTGCCGTGACTTTAAAAGCATTAGCATAATAGTGTCAACAAGTCTAATGTTCCATTATCTATTATCATATTGTATAGGTCTGGGATCCCAGAAGCAACAGCCATATGTACGTTGATTTTCTTTTCTTTTTCTTTGCAAGTTCGAGGTCAACTACCAATTCATCTTAGTCGTCTGGACATTATGAAATTAGGGCTCGATCTTACTCAGGTCTTGATCCCCTAAACCCTGCTTATTTGAGAACTAATATATATACCTGCATGTGCCGATACAAGGTTGAGCCGAGCGCCTATATCAAAAAACAGGGAATAGACGGCAGACGTGGCCGATGCGCAAGAAACTGAAATTCAATTACAAAGTATGTTTGTCCCGTCCTTTGGCTATTTCAAAAAGGTTTATCTACATAAACTTGACAATGGAGGCCGCTTAATGAATACAAAACTTCCAGTCCTTCACGTTAGCACGCTACGGCCGGTAACAGCACTATCGATGATGAAGAAGTGAAGCTATCGAGATCACTGTGTATTGACATATATGTGACAGCAAGTGCTCTATGTCCAAGCGAAAAATTATACATTATGTATCTAAATAAGATAGAACTCGGAGAATCAGCTAATACCGTGCATAACCTTGTCTAGGATGCTGCGCACGGCTCGGCTCGGGAGAGGCAGGCATCTCGTGATACTGCGGATCAGGCACTGTGTTGGGTCCCATGGACCATCCCATATTCTCCGTTGTGCCACCCATTTCCTGCCTACCCTCCCGAGGGCTCTCATATCCCATCATGAGTTCCGAGGGCGCAGAGGGAGAAGCACCCCGACTGCTTGGGCTAAAGTTACTTGATGGCTGATAGGCCTGGATGTTTGGGGACGAGTTAGGGTTACGCATGGCTTCCATGGAACGAGCCAATGCCGCCGCTCTCTCTGTGTACGACACTTCACGGCCGTCAAGATGAGAGTATCGAGCCGGAGGAGGTGGCGGTGTCCAAGTAGATACTGTACTCGGTGCCATCGGTGCTTGGATGTTGTCGCTGGATGTCCTGGACGTTGAACGGCCTCGCTTTCCAAGTGCGAAGAATACAAGGGCACCTAATAGAGCTAAGCCTGCCGCACCTGCGCCAGCTCCAATTCCTGCCTTTGCCCCAGTGCTCAAATCACTCTTTTTGCTTGAGGTGCTAGGTTCAGGGCTGGGAGTTGATCCGACTGTGCCACTTGTTGATGAGGTGGTGCTGACAGGTGTCTCTACCACCTGGCTACTTGCGCCTCCGGCATCAATAAATGCTGTTTCCGTAACTGGTCCGTCATCTCCCGAGTTCGTTACACCCACTACAAACGTAGTCTTAACGATAATTTGGTTCGACGTCCTCGTAATGACTGGTTCTGTTGATTTGTCCCGTGATGAAGATTCAGAAGTTGGTGTAGCATCTTCAGTCGATGTCACAACAATGGTTGACTCCACTGTTGTTGTGCTCTTCGCATCTTTGAAGACGGTGGAAATGATTGTCGAATACTCTGTAGTCATGGAATTAATTTCAGTTGCTACCGTACTTGTCTCGTATATGTCGCTCGTATAAGTGTCCCAGACGAAGACGTAGTCATATATATAGGACGTCACATCCCTCTTCGGCAATAATCCGATGTTTTCGAGGCTATCGCGTAATACTCTGAGACCTCGTGCTGCTGTAGGGCTAGGAGCAGGAGCAGGAGGCGTTGGGCGCTGTCTCCTTTCTTCGGGCTGTTCGGTCCTTTTGGCATCCTCTGGTAGGAACCGCTTCTCGATTTTTGTCGAAGTGACATAATTGGTGACGGTTGCAATTTCGATATTGTCGCGTGTGACTGTACTCGTAACGAACTCGGTCGTAACGCCAACGTTTGTGGACACGGCCGTATCATAGATAGTCGATGTGTCGTAAATAACCGATGTGAAGGTAGTAGTGACCGTTACACTCTCGATGAGAAAGGCACTTAAGTTCTCATCAGTATAAAATCCGTCTATTCCAATTGCACGGATTACGTACGGTTCGCCTACACAGCCATCCGCAGTGCACTCAGTTCCTTGGACACAACAGCCTGTAGGCGAGGTATCACAACAAAAGCTCGTGTCTTGATAGCAACAGCCCGTACTGCAGCACGCGAACCCATAAGAGCAATGAAAATCCTCATCACAACAGTTTCCGAAGTTTTCGGCGCACTAAATCACATTAGTCAGTTATGGCGACCATTTGAAGCCTAGAAGATGCTGAGATGCGACCTTGACCTCGAAGACCGAACTCCTCTCCTCAAAGATCACCAAGATCAAACCAGATTGGAGAGTTACGTACTGTACCTCCTTCACAACAGCTTCCGCATTGGTCGCACTGATAGTCTTGACAATCTACTATGCCATTATTGCATTCATCTCTAGTTCTAAAGATGTGACCTAGGATTTGTGGCACGGGAGAGGTACCGTTCGTCCCTTCGAGGTTCTTTCGGGGGCTCTTGTTGTAGCCTCCGGCTCTCATATCGAGGAATCGAGCATTGACGTCCTTGTCGAGTGAGATAGCTGTGCATCCTCCTAAGAGGATCAAAAATACGAGCCTCATTGCGTGAGAAGATTTGCGCCAACCTTATGTGAGAAAAGCGTATTGGGGGTAACGACTTGGTGGTAATAAATCATATATAGGTAGAATTTTTTAGTTAGTGCTCAGGACCCGTAGAGGAGCTCCTAGATATGTACTGGTCCGATGAAAGCAAAAGCCATTACGCATGGCGGCACATGCGGCTTTGCCGGTAGGGCTACCTATATCGAGACCATGGTGTATCCCGGGCATGCTTTGCATTTTCAATCCTATTTCGATGGCGTGAGGCCACTTCGGTTATTGGGGATGGGAATTGGCGCCTGGGAGACACCACAGCCTCAGCTGAACACCGCGATGCTAAAGCTATCAGTTTGTAGAATGAATCATCGGGTCCGAAAGGATAGAGGGCACCAGATATCCGCACGGCAGGCTGGGGAAGCCCGCCTGCGCTAGCCGAGTGTTGTATGCCAGCTGTGAGAATCGCCAGCCACGGTTGTCTAGATTTATCAGCTGAACGACGACCTGGTTGAGCTATCCAAACACGCACCATGTGGCGTCATTGCGGTTAGTCTAGGACTGGGCTTCTGATATAAAATTGCTTTTATATTGATAGGCTTCAATGAATGATGTATAGAAATTCACGAGTCGATTTCCTTGCCTTCCTGTATTCAGTAAGTAATTGCTCTACAAGTGGGCTCTGCCCTTAGTTATACAACTATCAGCGGTTCTGGATTTTGTCACATGATCAGCTGAGTATTTCTACACAATTTACATGTCAGAGTGGCGTTCGAGGCGCTCTTCTTACCGTTCGCTTCTGAGACCTGTAGGCCTAGCCCTTTTCTATTAATAGGGGGGGAAAATGAAAAGGTAATTTGAAAGAGTTTCTCTACGCCCAACAACAGGGAGTAGGAATTGAAGTGATACTATAATGGCAGCTTCCTATATGACAGATGTAGATTAAAACAGCAAGCAACCTACATAACGAGAGACGACTATTATACAGTTACAATCAATCGTATAAAACCACAAGTATGTACCCTCTGCGATACCTTCTTTCTGCCTTTGGATAGCTTATTACAGGTGGGCATTTCTACTTACAAGACTAGGCAGACTAACCGAGTTTCTTTTGTACAGACATGTGTACTAGGCGCGGATAAAAGGCTTCAGCTTAACAGTTGAGGTTGGACAAATGATAATCCTTTGCTGATTGAATTTGATAGAATCCTAACATTCTGCCGTAATCGAACGCTTAGTGTATTGTGGTATGTGAGGGATCTGTTCAGACTTCTGCGACTGCTGTTCATGCGTTACTACGGCTGCGATGCATGTATCCAAGCGCTGCAATAACCAAAACATGAGAAGTCACTGGGTTTCAATTCCGTGAACTCCAATGAGAATGATGACCGAAAGTTCCATTGAGAGGCTATAGAGGACAGACTTGACTCGCCGGTACCATGTTGATCTTGGCTTGCCGAGCAGATCTATGCGGACGGAAGAGATCCGGTATTAGCACAACTCCCGCTCTGTAACATTGGCTATTAGTTTTTCCTCTGCATATATAAATGGATATGCGTCTGAGGTAAATAGTCTTGAGGAGGTGGCCTGGCCGGTGTCGTTCTCCTCCCAGGACCCATTTTCCCGCTGATTCTACCGGTGGTGGCGGCCTTCGAGACGGCGGCACTTGCGCTCATCTTGTCTGGTGTACTTAATCAACAGACTCCCATTTCTGCGTCCCCATCATTTCCTCTCTGTCACGGACGCCGTGAATATAGCCGATATGCTCTCATACAACTTTGCAGGTTTGGTGGCGGTTGTAGCTTTCGCGCGGGATGCCTTCGCAGCATGCAATCGAACAGCACTGCTCGAGTTTGCGGACGCATATGTCTTTGCGCATGAAAATGGTCAGTGCTCAGATTCTCTTATTCTTGCCAATGATGAAAGAATGGAGAGACTACATGTCTCTTAAGTAAATAAAAGACGTTACTTGTGCTAAGCGAACAATAGGTCAAGTAAGTTATCTCGAAAATATCGCCGATAACTTCACATACGTCGAGAACAACAAGACCCGCGAGATAACTGGCGGCATCTGTAAGACGCCCTAGAATAAAAAGTCAGACGTTATCTTTGCTCTGGTAACAACGAACTGAAAGTTGTCTCCTGCAGTTTTCAATGCATTTGTGATCGACCACCGCCACACGATCGCGGACACAGTGGAATGCGCAACATACACAGAGCTGATCATCACGCGCAATGCCTCGGGCGCATCGACACCCCACGTCATCGGGACGCAGATCCGACATAACCCGACAGATATGAGCTGCTATCTCATCGACCTGATCGTATCGAGCCCAGGGTCGTGGCTCTTCAACGCCACGCAGACGCTGTATTGGGCACGGCGGGAGAACTGGTCCGTTATCGAGGAGTCGAAGCGTGACAAGCGCGAGACCCTCAAAGCGGCCGCCGACGCATACCTAGACATGTGGAGTAACAAGAGCGCTATCAACGCGGTCCCGTGGGGGACGCCATGCGCCCGTCTTGAGGGCTCCGCGTACACGGGCAACGGCGGACCGAACGATAGTTGCAAGCCTGGAATTCCCACGAACAATTCGCAGGCGCCCAACTCACATCGCCGATACGTGATTGACGAGTCGTACGGATCCATAGATGTCTTGTGCATCTTTGAGCATCTCGCGAACGCACCCGATAGCCATGAGTTTCGTCTGGAGAATGGCAAGTTGCGATACATTCATACTATCACTCTCGCTGATAGTAACGTTGTGCATCCCTGAGTTAAGTGGGATTCAATCGGTCTACCCGGTGACTGGGGTAGTATACATTGGATGAGGATCATCGTACTGATATTTACGAGATATTCCATTGACGAGCCAAATGAAGTGCACAATTGAGTATGAAGTACCTTCCAGCCGGCAGCTGAGTAGATGATGAAAATGATGCCCATATGCCCGTAGAACTATCAATACCCGTTTATAGTAATCCTGGCCTAAGCGCGAAGATCAATGGACAGCGAGAATAATCGAGGAAACAAGTTGACAAATAATTCCACATGATGTATCTACATGCGACACAAGTCGATCAACTCCTTGTTTGGCGTATTTACAGGTAAAATGATTATCCCAATGATCCAGACACCTTTTCCATGCCCAGCCGTGCGCCATTACTAATCGCATCTCGTTTCGTCGGCGGTGATTCATAAACGCACTTTACCAGCTCTTGACCTTTCTCATGCTGCCCTCCTCTTGTAGGGCCTTGTGCATATCGAAGCTGTTGAACAGCAGGTGAGGCTCGTGACCCATGCCCTTCTTTAGGCACTCATACTCGGCCTTCTCGAAGTATCCCTTTAGGATAGGCTTGTAGTCATCGTGGGCGCACTTATCGATGATGACTCTGGCGCGCTCGCGAGGGCTCAATCCTCGCACGTCGGCTAGACCAGCCTCGGTAACGACCACATCGAGATCGTGCTCAGTCTGGTCAACGTGGGTGCACATGGGCACTATGCAGCTGACACCGATAGGGTCTGTCTTCGAGGGTCTCGTAGAGGGTGTGTGCATGATACTGTACTTAGCTGAGCGCAGGAAGTCAGCCGATCCACCGAGACCGTTGAGCATGCGGCTACCCATAACGCATGTGCTGTTGGCATGGGCGTAGATATCGACCTCAACGGGCGTGTTCATTCCAATAACACCCAGGCGGCGGATGATCTCAGGTGAGTTGGAGACTTGCTGAGCACGCAGGAGCAACTTGTCGTGGTAGTTTTCCCAGTTATCGTAGAAGCGCTTGAAGCCATCAGGAGAGAATCGAATGGACGTTGCTGTGGCAAAGTCCAAACGGCCAGAGTCGAACAGATCAAGGAAGGTGTCTTGGATAACTTCTGTCCAGACCTTGAGGTTGTAGAAGTTGGACTCGCTCAGTCCACCGATGACAGCGTTGGCGATATTGCCAATACCAGATTGCAAAGGCAAAAGAGACTTAGGCATCCGCCCATGCTTGACCTCATGCTCGAAGAACTCAATGAGATGGTTAGCGATGGCTTGTGAACCTTCATCCGCCGGGGCGTTGGGTGACGTCTGATCCTGGTAATCCGACTCGATGATGCCAACGACCTTCTCGGGATCGATGGGAATCGATGTTCGCCCAATGCGATCCTCCACCTGCATGACTAGATATGGCTTTCGATGGGGAGGTAGATCTGTCATAGTGATATCGTGAAGACCTTCAAAACTCGGAATGGCTGTATTTACTTCTATTATGATCTGTATACTGTCGTCAGTTCTTATTCCTCTGGCGATCCGAGATGACGAATGAGACGAACCTTGTCAGCCATCTGGATAAGTTCCGGTGAAGCTCCAACAGAAGCTCCCGGTACGATGCTGCCATCTTCTTTGATTGCGCTAGCCTCAACAACAACAACATCTAGTCCGTTGTGTGGCTTGTCTTTTGTGTAAAAGCCCTGCTTGTGTGTTAGGCCCTGAAGGTTCACAACGGACAAATGGCTCTGATCACAGTGGCAAACTTACGTAGACTAAATCGACGGGAAACATAGACAAATGCTTGTCAAAGAAATTGATTCTTCCTTCGTTGATGCCCTTTGCGATGGACTTGCCGACTTGATGAGGCGACCGGCGTGCGATCATGTCTAGCTTGGCCCATCGATCCTCCGTCTCGGCACCGGACGAGGCTCCTACGAAAAGATCATATCGTAGCTTCCCTTGGAGATTGTTCTTCTCTACGTGGTCAGCCAAGAAGGTTGGCGTTTTCCTGATTTCTGTGTTAGTCTGGGGTGGTCACGGTAAAGCGCAGTGGTTCGTTCTGACTTACTTGGGGTACCCAACACCTGTGAAACCAGACCATCCGATCGAAGCGCCATTGGGGAAGTGGTGAAGCAGGTCTTCGGGGCGGCAGAGCTTCTTGAGGAATGAAGCTCTCTGAATGCGACCCTTAAGAGCCTGGGATGCCACGAGCGACGTCATGCTGCTGTCACCACTACGGTCCGCGATCAAAGAGTGGAGCTCAAAGGCAGTCAGTCAACGAGAGTTGGGGACAGCACAGCACAGCACAAGATGAAACAGAACAACGGCAAAGAATAAGAAGCACAAACAAGAAGATTTAGAAAGGGATGAAGGAAAGACAAGATGTTTTAAATCGACTCTAGGATGAGAAAATACTGGGCCGTCAAATCGCATGTCCGACCGTGGTGGATGATTAAGGGCCGAACCTATCGAATCATACCTTGATGCTTTATTGCCCAGATGGGGTAGCACTGTCGTAGTAGTTCCACTACCCACGAGTTTATCCACTCCCCGCGATGGACGAGTCGCTTCTGCGCGTCTGGAGACTGTGACCCTGCCCCTGGGGTAGATGCTGGGGAGCATAGAACTCTGATGTCTTGGTGTCTTGGTGTCTTGGTATTTTGGTAGCTATCAGGCAAAAATTATCCAATCGCTTCGTCTCGTCCCAAGACGTCTAGTCCATGCGCATGAGGTAGGTATTGAGAATTGACGGCAGCGGATGGCTCCCAGGCGTCAGCTAGACTACCGTGTCGCTAATGCGCCGGCCAGACCTAGGTTCCTGAAGAGATCAGCTTGCCGCGGTGGCATCAGCCTTCCTTTGGCCCGAATCGTTAGCCGGCTAGGCCCGCTGCTGCCCCTCGCGCCTAGAACTCAATTGACTTGCACCCAATTTTACTATTGTCATGATGTAAGTGCATGCGACGGCTAGCCTTAGCCCACGGATAATCACTCAGACTAGTACACTAGAGAAGTCCCTGAGAGAGGCACACCAATTAGGATCATCAGGAGAGATGGCATGACAATATCTACTGGCATTTGTTTTAAGGTCATTTTCAAGCATCTTGCCGACTGAATAGGTCGCGCCAGAACTCTTTAAGTCCATAACGGGGTGCCTTCGATTCATAGATCTTTGGCCGGGCCCCATCGTTCCCGAAACGACCTAAAATGCTACGCGACTGATTCCCAACGGCCTCCACCGGAGATTTTGGGGGTCGTGTAGCTCGAGCTCTGATTGTGTCGGCGAGCAGCGGAGCAATATCGGCATAGCAGTTATTTAACTCTCTTTCGAGGTTGAAGTAGGGCTTCTTTGCGAGTTCGGGGGCCATGAGGTTATAAGATCGCGCGAGGGTGTTCAGATTATTTATAGAAAGCTCCATATAGGACTGTTCAGTCTTTAACCATTCAGGATCTCGAAAAGGTTGCCACAAGTGTGCTGCAGATTCAACGGTATTGCTCTCCGTCGCCTGTGACGCATCTGCACTTGGTGAACTTGTGCCGATCTGCTGGCGTATCTTGACCATGACAACATCTTCAGTCATATTGGTAGGAATTGACATTTGATCAACATCGCCTTTTCGTGGATTGTGAAGTTTTTCTGCTCTTGCAAACTGCGCAGCACGTTCCATCTGAGCCTCAAGTGAGCCACCTTCACTGGCTATCGTCCTGGCCGCGTGACGTTTCCAATCATTTCGTAGCCTACTACGGAATGTGTGAGCCGCCTTAGCCAGCTCCTGTTGCTTCTCGATCCAAGGTGGAACAATGTCCTGCCGTTTGATCATGTTATTCAAGATATATTCCGTAGTGTCGATGAAAGGATTGTCGCTCCTCGTATCACGTTGTGCGGCATCCTTTCCCCGCGGTATGTTCTCAAACTGTCCCCTCGCTATTGCGTCTTCAATGCGCTGGTTTGCCAGCGCCGCGAGCCCGGTGACTGTGTTTGGTAGAGCTCGAGCTCCTGGCTGGAAACGCTCACGAAACTCCTCTCTTCTAGCGGCTTTCTCTGCATCACTGAGGCTTCCTTCAGATTCCTTGATGCCTAAACCGGCGTACATAGAAGCTCTATCTCTTGCATTCGCAGCTCTATGGCTAGGGTTCAGCTTAGCTTGCTGTCGCATGCGCATATCGACCGGTCGAAGCTCGGATATTTTGGGGCGGCCACGCAGTTCGCGCGCAAGGGGTTTGTGGGCATCGGTAAGCATTCGTAGAACGGCGTCCTCGGTAGTTTCCTCGCCTGTCCAGGGTCGGCTCGTCGCAGTAACCCGCGTGCCTGCACCTGCCGACGCTGGCATGTTTGCTTCAGATAAAGCGGCGGCATATTGCGATCGGAACTCTGCGTCTTTGACCTTGGCGAATAGCCTTTCTTTTAGCTCTTCCGAAAAGCCGGCATCTTCAACGGCACGTCGACCTGCTGTTCCGCCTGTTAGGAGAGCCTCTTCGGTCGCTTCTTGAAGGCGGCGAGACATGGCCCCCTGTTCGGTGGAACTCTCGTGGGCGGCATTGTCATTGTTGCTGCTTGTCAAATGTTGCGGCTCGTTTGTAGCTGTGGAAGAGTCGTTGCTGGGTTCGGACCTTGTCGCATAGCTCTTCCTTGAGGGTATTGTGGGCTTGGCGTGGATTTGACGGAACGGTTTTAGTGAGCACCGAGCGCACACATACGGAATCGCTGTTCTACTAGACATAGCTATCTCTAAACAGAGGTAATTGACTGGAAAGGGAAGGAAAAGAAAGTGACAATAAGAATACAGAGTGATCTTGTCGTTGAATGATGAGCAGCATGACATGGTGGCGATTGCATAGCTGCGGAGTTAGTCGACGAGTGCTGGAGATAAGCCCCACTCGGAGCCAAAACATTGAATAACTTATGCTACCTAGGTAGTTGAATCGATTATCAAATATAATATTCCATTGTACCTAGTTAGGATAAATAACAAGTCTAATCTCAAATTCAAGGCGACGTGTATATGTAGATATGACAGATATGACTTGGGAATCCTATAAGATCGGATGAGGATCTTGACGGCCTGTAGTACCTGCCAAGGACCAATGAAATAGGAATCCTCTCTCAATTGATAGCTTTCTATGTAACCTACGCGAGGGTAGTGGCGCGACCAGTTGACTCGTATTTGAACCCGTAAAGCAGTTGAATTATCTTCACAAAACGACTTGGTCGCAGTTAGACTCTAAGGCTTCTACATCGTCATTCCCATGCCTTGATACCACCAGGGCACAATGTAGCCCAAATCTGGATGTTCCTAGCGAAAGATTATTAGTACATGATTTATTTCCTGTGCAACGAGGTACGCCGACATATACGCGTGCCCTTCGAACTTACACCGTCTTCTGAAAGGTCGCTTTTTCCTGCCAAAAGCAAGTTTAGGTTACATGACAGCCAGAGTTCGTTGCATTCCATCGAGTGGCCGCATGCACCAGCCCTAGCGCAGGCTTCTTTATTCAGGTTCCGAAGACTGCCCCCCATTGGAACAGCGTTGACGACACCGCTAGTCGTCGAGGCGACTATGAGTACCTGTGCTGACTTCATTGAGGTTGAAGGATTGCGGAGAAGCTGCTGCGATTTTTCGAGGAGTCTGGCGCCCAGATCCTAGCTAGGGGAAAGCAGAAGAAGCTTACTATATCTACGAATTCTTGTCATCGAAATGTTCGACGTGGTTCTAAAAACCATATATCACTCATGAAAAATGATTGGTGCGTGTAAATGGGTTTGGGCAATTAGCCGGCTCATTCATGGAGGCAGATGCGTTCGTAGCCTCCCTTTCTCGCCTCGACAACCAGACACACGTGTGACTGTTACCTTAAGAAGTGATAAATAGTAAATATATCAGGTAGGTCTATCCTGACATAGTGCCGAACAAGTGTTCGACTGTTTCGGAACCGTTCATCAAGGTGTTTTAAGTCTTCAATTATGACTGGCCATCACGTAATTCAGCCACTAAGCTTGGGTGACCTTTGGTGGTGGAAGAAGCAAATCCTCGGCACGCCATTCAGCTCGATAGGGTCTTGGCGGGAAGTGAAAGATGTCAATCACGGATCTCAACTTCCCCGGTATTGGTATGGACGGAGCGGGCCGCATCAATAGTGCCTACCATCTAAGCTAAAGTTTCTGCTGCATGTCTGGGAGAAAGCTGAAAACTTTGTGATAGTGTCTGAGGTATAGTTTTGGGCGTATCTACCCCATTGCGAAGAGTAAATAACAGCTATAATTTACGCTGTTGATTCAGAACATGTAGAACTGTGGTGAGTCAGGTGGCTGGAGAGATTGGTTGATGCAGGATATACATCATCAAAATGCTACCATTGTGAAGATATTTTCCATGTTCGTGAGAGCCAAGCCTCTTGTAGAATTATACGCGAGACAATACGTATGAGCGGAACCATCCGAAATGTGAAATGCAGCTGGGCGGTATTTAGAGGGAGGGCCAAGTCCTTCTTCCAGAGAATAAGGTACTTGGAATCGCCTTCTTGTTTTTTTTTTTTTTTTTACCGTTTCACATCAAAAGTCAACATGGCGCGAAACGCAGCAAAGAACGCTGTCTACAACTCGGCTACTACTTATAAAGACATATCACATCAAGTAATTTCATCGTACTTCATTGGACCACAAGCCGAAAACCTTCCCTACTTCAAGGAGAATATCCATATCATTCTCGAAGAGCTAGAAAAGGCTAGAAAAAGCTACTTCCCTGAAGATGGCGTACGTATTGAGAAAAGACTGCTGCTCTTATTCCAACTACTCACTAGATTACCCGTCTACCTAGACATTTATCGATGAACAAATACAGAATACTCCTGCATTTCTAGCCTCGATGGACAAGATGACGAGAACTGTCCGCAAAGCAGCGAACATTCTAGGTCGGAGCAGCATACCTTTCTGGTCACCACGTTACGAAGCACATATGTCTGTACTCCCTTCACATCGACCTATTTCAGCGCGCTAACTGCGTCAGGTGTACTGATATGAGTGTATGATTTGCCCAAGTTACGGATGCTGATAAGTTGCTCTCTAGCTGGAACGAATTGACGCGAAATGTGAACAACTGCTGATTTGTGAAGATGGCCTCATTGTTAGGATATTTCATGACCATGCTATACAATCCAAACAATGTCGCCATCGAAGCTAGCCCTCTAACTACGGTGGCGGAGATTGAAGTCGGCGAGCAACTATGCGAGCTGTTTGGCTACAATATCGACCCAAATAACACTGAAGCGCCTACAGCATGGGGTCACGTAACCTGTGGCGGTTCGGTAGCTAATCTCGAGTCGATTTGGTAAGACAGCTGGTCAGCGTAGGACACGAGATAGGTTTCTTCTAACATCATTTTCAGGGCTGGTATGTCCCCGAGTCTCGAAACATTCTCTAGGAGAAGGCTTGGCTTACCAGTATGAAGCTCGAAACTTGAAGTTTTATCCACTATCGCTGCGTCAAGCCTTCGAGAGGGGGCAAGCCTTTGACTTCCTATCAGATAGCTTTCACGTCGAGAACTGCCAAGGTACCCGTAAACTTTTCACAGAGCTTTCGACTTGGGAGCTTCTCAACCTCAAACCATCTGACATCCTCGAACTCCCTGATCGGCTATATCAAGAACAGTAGGTCATTCATTTCAGAACTTTGTTCGAATTGACTACCTTTAAATAGCCTTGGGTCTCTATGAGAACCCCCGCGTAATGCTCAAAGCTGACTCTTAAAATTCAAACAGTGGGATATCAAACGCATTTACATCTGAGATCTTGACAAAGTTCACAATCCAATCTACAGGGAAAGACGTACTAGAACGAACCTACCAAGTCAAGCCGTGCCAATACATGCTGGCGAACACTAGGCACTACTCATGGCCCAAAGGAGCCGGTGCGTATTATAGACTGTGAGAATGGAATACGCAGCTGACATTTAACCCATTAAGCAATTGCCGGGCTCGGTTCTGATAGTGTCATTGGGATTCCTGTTGACCTGGGGGCTCGTGTTGATATGAGAGAACTCGAGAAGGCGCTTAGGAAAAGCCTTGAAGAGGAGCAACCTGTTCTCGCCGTGGTGGCAATTATAGGTTCGACGGAAGGTGTGTCAATAGCGCACTGGTCTCCAGATACGTACTAACACTCTGATTTCGCAGAGGGAGCGGTTGATCCGCTGAGCGAAATTCTCGCATTGAGAAAACAACTGCAAGCTGAAGGATTGTCTTTTTTGGTTCACGCTGATGCTGCGTGGGGTGGCTATTTTTGCTCCATGCTACCCAGAGAATATCGCCCTGGCGATGTTACCAATATTTCTACCGATATGGGCGACGGTGACGGATTTGTTCCGGATGCAAGTTTGAGAACTAAAACACAGGTCAGATTTTGTGAACTTTATATCCCATTTCCTCATCATATTTATTTTAATTTCAAACAAGAGACAACTAGTTATGAATGATGATCACTGATAATACTATTGGATAGGAGGATCTATACGCTATGCGCTACGTCGACTCCATTACTGTCGATCCCCATAAGTCCGGTTATATCCCCTATCCAGCGGGTGGCCTTTGTTATCGCGATGGACGGATGCGTTTCTTGTTAACTTGGACAGCGCCTGTGCTGTCACGTGGCTCTGTGACAAGCATTGGGATATATGGTGTTGAGGGCAGGTGAGTGACAAACTAGACTAGGTCTTTAACCTTGGCTAACATCTCATATCTTAACAGCAAGCCGGGCGCTGCGGCAATGTCGATTTGGCTAGCCAACAAGATGATCGGTCTAAATCCAGAAGGGTATGGGTCGCTTCTAGGAGAGGTGACTTGGACATGTACACGAGTATGCCAGAAAGTTCGGTTCTTACAGCAAGAGTTTCACTAATGGGAAAATATAGCTCTCTGCGGAATGGGCAGCTTTGACTGATTCGAGCAGCCCCTTTATCTGTGTCCCGTTCAACATGCTGCCATCTGAGCTCGGGTCAAATCCGACAGAGGAGAAGATCGAGGCAGAGAAACAACGCATTCGTCGGGACATCGTTAACAAGACGAATGCCGAAATCGCCAACGAGGATCGGACGCGGCCAGATGAAGTCAAAGCCATGAAGCTGATGAGAGAGTTAGGGTCGGATCTGAACATCAATGCCTTCGCGCTAAATTTTCGGTACGAAGATGGGCGGCTCAATGATGATATTGAAGAAGCCAATTATCTCATGCAACGCGTAGTGGAAACACTCTCGGTTGATAGCCCGACAGATGATCCTACTAAGATCCCTTTATATCTTACTTCGACGGAATTCTCAGATGAGCTTTACGGGAAGTGTAAAATGCACTTCATGAAAAGACTTGGCATAGAGCAGAGCACACAAAACTGTAAGCCACCCCTGCATCAGTTCTGGAATCGCAGTGAGGAAGGCGATAGCCCACTAATAGGGTCGAAGTGATGGTGCTGCGAAACGTCGTCATGTCGCCGTTCCCCACGGATGGAAATTTCACAAACGACATAGCTCAAAAATTCTTTGATATCGTCGCAGCAGAGGCTGAGGTTTGTTTTACGGACATCGTTGTCATCATTTTCTGCCCTAACGGTATATTGGTTGATAGGTTGTTCGCAAAAGGAATACACTTGCACCAGACTTCCATAACTTTCTTATTCAGGTAAGCATAGCGTCAGGGACTTTTCTACTTCAGCATGTCTTGCAATCTTCTAGACATGAAGGTGGGATCTGTTAACCACATGCTCCTCAACAGGGAACAGAAGTCATATATCTCATTCACCTGCCGATGTTCCATGTCGCCAACCATCGACAGCAGCTGATCGTCTCTGCCAAGTTTGACAAGGCATCAAAGCAAAAATATGTTGCTATGAAGCGTTCGTACCCAGCTGAGCCAATGATCCTCGTGACGCAGAACAAGACATTTCTGAAAGACGTGGTCGACAATTGCGGCAGGTTCAAAGCACAGGTCATGACTAAAGAATCGTAAGGCTTTTAATTCTTATTGTTAGTAGTCACATTAGCTCGAGTGTGAATGCTAACGCCCTAGTTATAGTGGTATCATTCTCCGAAACGTTGACGTAGTTGTTCAAAAGACGATCGTGTCTCGTCCTTTGAACTCCAAATACCGCCTGAAAGATTACCCGCTAACCTTCATGCCATTCTATCTCTACGGAAATGGTAAGTTACTAGCACCGCCTTCCTCTCTCTACCTTTGCCATTACCCGCGTGGTTGACATAAAGTACAGAAAATGAAGCCTATATCGATCATGTCATCACCCGTGCGCCGAACACCCAGCTATCGGCAGGGAGGTGCAAACTTGAATGGTATAAAGAGCAAAGCCTCGATATTTGGGAAAGACCTCTGGTTTTGTTACTAGAGAATGTTCGCGAAGCACCCATGCAGCCTCTTCCGCCCAACGGGGAGATTGGCTGCAAGTACGGCGCAGTTGTCGCGCACAGTGTTTCCCATCGAGTGGACACTCTTGTGAAACTACCATCGAGAAGCAACGGCCATGTCAAAACATTACTCGGACACAATCAGAATGGGACAGGGGGACTCGCCAGCCTAGTCGACAACTTTGTCGACGAGGTCATTAGGGTACATAGGGAAGATGAGTCAGCTAGCCCACACAAAGCCGCCAAGCTAGTGAACAGCGAGACACGCAGTGGCACCATAAAGGGGGCTAATTTCTTCTTCCGTCCCGGCGCGACATTCAAAGTCGGGGTTTGGGAAGATGGAGATCGATCCAATGAGAGCTCCCGATATGCCAGCTTCGAGCTGGGCAAGTTCATCGGGCGCGGCACGTTGACTCTCGGGGATAGTGTGTATGTCGATAGCGAGGCTATGAATTTCGATCCCTTCAAGAAGGTCGAGAAGGTAAGCGAATGGAGATACGAGTTCAATCAGATTGGAAAAGAGCTAGATTAGCGTATGGACCCGTAGGCTTCTACCATAGGTAATGAGCAATGAAGATGATCATGCTTTTATTGGCTGTGATACTAGTCCGGCGGCAAGTCCCGTGATATGAGACATTTGAGTGATAGTGACGACAATAGCTACCGGTAGATCACGGACGATTAAACCACTCGAATATCACCATGATTTGGCGTGGTAAGTAAAGTGGCGTTCCTGTCTGAGGTCAGACTGAGGAGACAGGAAGCAGAGAGATGAGATGATGTGATATTGTAGATCCGAGATACTCGGATTGCGCAGAAGCTCCGAACAAATTCTCCGAGACCAGAAGTGCATGACATCGCCATCCAATGCGGCTATAACATAAAGTAGAAAGCAAAGCGCGACTTGGAACCGAGCGCCGAAATACTCGCCGAGCTGGGATGGTTGATTCATGCCTATCGCCCGTTTTGGTAATATTTAAGTCCGAAAACATTAACACCGGTGTCCGACCACCTAACTCCCGGCATCAACGGGACAGGGACGGGCTGGAGTTAATCAACACGGCGTCGGTCTTCTCTGATGTCGCCTTTATTGAATATTCGAGGTTGTAAGATGTAGGTTGTCAGTGAATATAAAGGTCCGACCCGGGTCTGTTCGACAATTACCTCGTACAGTCATCAAATATTGTTCTTCATTGCTTAATACGAGAGTACCTATTGCTTCAGAAACCACAAGACACAGGATAGAGAAGTCAGGCGATTCTTATAAGCAAGGGAGAACCAATAAAATCAATCCAAACCTACTAGGAGATCATCCAGTTACCATGGCGGATACCAACCATGTCAAGAAGGTTGCCATCGTCGGTGTAAGTTGAGCGTTCGCCTTTTCCGATGATATCCCTTGATAGACACGTTCGAAGCCAAATTGACTCCTGAGTTAGGTCAACGGCACGGTGGGCAAGTATATTACTAAAGCACTTCTAAGTGGGGGCAAGCACGAAGTGACAGCCGTCACTCGGGGTGACGCAGAGATCCCTAAAGGCGTAAAGGTCGCCAAAGTGTCATACGACGACCCTGCAAGCTTGACAAAAGCCCTAGAGGGCCAGGATGTACTCATCATCACCATGGGAACCAGGGCTCCGAAAGACACCCAGCAGAAACTCGTCGAAGCTGCTGCAGCAGCTAATGTGGCGTTCGTGTTTCCAAACGCCTGGGGCATAGAGAGTTCTTATGGAGCCCTCGGCACTGACACACTCTTGGGGCCACCAGCTATAGCAGCGATGAGAAGGGCCGAAGAGCTGGGCAAGAGCGCATGGATCATGATGAATACCGGATACTGGTACAGCCACAGTCTGGCAACATCCTCCGCTCACGGATTCGACTTGAACAACAAGACCGTGACGTTCTACGATGAAGGGACTACGAAGATCAACAACATCGTAAGTAGCTTATGATCCCCATCGATTGAACCTATAACAGGATGCTGACGCAAGCTGTCACATAGACCTGGGAAAAGACCGGAGACGCAGTCAGAAATCTCCTATCCCTGCCCATTGAACCTGAGGGTGGTAACGGGCCGACTCTATCCGACTACAGGAACAAGCAAGTGTATATTTCCGGCTGGCTTCTGAGCCAGAAGGACATCTTCCAGCATGTTCTCCGGGTATCTGGAACCATGGAGTCGGACTGGACAATCAAGTACGAGCCCGCCGCTCAGCGGTATGAGGAGGCGAAAAAGCGGCTTTTCTCCGGCGATCGCTCCGCCTACAACCAGATGCTCTATGCCAGAACGTACTATAACAACGGCGACGGCAACTTTGAGACCAGACATGTACTGGAAAATGAGAAGTTAGGTCTTGCCCCGGAAACACCAGAGTCGCTTGACGAACAAACCAAACTCGCATTTGAGCTTGCTGCGTCCGGATATAAGTATTGAACAATAGATGATCAATAAACCTCGATTGCTGTTAGCGAGAAGAGCTCTTGAACCTAATTATAATATAGTAGTATCTTGGGAATGACATTTTCTGTTTTTCATTGAACCTATGCTACACGATACTTGGGCCGTTTTTGTTGAAGAAACGCTTCAATGGCTGCTCCACGGCGAATTTATGGGCTGTATACATTGCTCCAGCAATAGTGCTAGGGTCAGCTCCTGCCATAGACGGCCAGTCGACGAAGAACGACCATCCCATGACTAGAATCATGATGGACAAGATAGTCACTGACAGGTACACAAACACGATTTCTGCTCTTTGAACTTGAACGCCGTTGGAAGTGATGTTGCCAAGAAGAAGGGGCAGGAATTCGGAGAGTATAGCAGTAGCCGCTACAGCGCCGAGATAGATGTCGCGTCGGGACGGGATGAATGCGAGCCATAATCCCGTGAAAGGGTTTGTGGCGGGGGTTATGCTTATTGCATTCCCCTTGCTCAATCGTCTGCGCCTCAATAGCTTATATGGGCTAAGGAAGGCAACAGCTACACTAGTCAGTAAAGTCTTATACTTAGGACAAGGAGAGATAAATAGTCTTACCGTTAAAGAAGGAGCCCCAAGCGAAGACGACGAGAACCCCAGCCCCGGAAAATAAGAACCGTATGCTAGCCGCCTTCCCCGCGGGTTCCGCAGGATTGTCCGATCCCCGTACGATAATATCATAAGTCAGCACTGCTATCAGGAGCCCACTCAATGAAGATAGCATTACTATCCTCCCTGTCCAAGAAAGCATGAAGAAAGGTATAGACTCTCCGCTGGGCCAGTGGGGACGTCGCTGTCGACGAATCTCGCTTGTATCGGCGAATGTCACGGATCGTCCAGGCTTCTTCGCTGGTTTTTCCGCCAGCTCGCCGACTTGCTGAAGGAGGATCGTCACACCGCGCTTCACAGTGCCATCTTCCTCCTCCCATTCACGTAGGCCGAATATCTTCGCTCGCAATGCGTTAGCGAGTGCTGTGGCATCCACGCTATATCCGGCTCTAAAACCACGACGCAACCGTTCGAAAATTCTTCTTATGTCCGTGTGCGCAGCTAGCTGAGTCATCTCAAAGATACTCCACGGGTCACGTTCCACGCCGGTTTCCCACCGTCGGAGCAAAAGTGCAACTACAATGATGCCGATGATGATGACGATGAGCAAAGCAGAGAGAACATGGGCGTGCACGGGGAACACGCCTAGAATAACGGGGCATTCCAGTTGTTTCGTTCCGTCGGGACGACATTGCGCACCTTGGAGAATGAATGGGAATGCTGCAGTGCTGAAAGGGATAGTAAGAGCGCTGAGGACGACGAGAATACTTGTTAGTCCCAAGAGATGCTGTCCGTTCCGTAACGACCAGATCCCAAACAGGAGGCTCAAGGGGCCGGTTGTTTTCAGGCACAAGGACTCTACTGCGTTGGCACCACGATGGGATGCCAGTGCTTGGAATCCTTGGTATAGTACGACATTCCGGTTTAGAACACGGATTGGAACGAAGACTGAGATCGCTAGGAGTGTAGGAAGCATAATACCAGCAAAGTATATCCCACCAGGCTTGCGCCGAAGCTTCAAATCTAGCCCATTATCTGGACTTGACAATGCAGTCGGGGTCGGTGTAATCACTACGATCTTAGTATCGGTCACAATGGGTTTTAAGAGCGTTGTTGTTTCAGTAGGTACACCATTGGTGTCGTACAGAGTGCTAGTCACTGGCGTCTCAGGTATTGCCGTCAATACTGTGGCAGTAGGGATATGGTTATTATCATATAGAGTCGTGGTCGATTCGACATCATAGTAGTCCAAGGTAGCGGTGGGGAATCCCTGAGGGTCTCTCAAAGTCGTCTTTTGTGAGGACCTCAAGACGTGGGCAAATTTTGTTGCCGTAGCATGACTTTCAGCATCAAATTCAGTTGATGTTAAGACCGTGTCATATACTTTAAAGAAAATAGTAGCTACTGTGCCGTTTGCATAAGTGGTAGTCGTTGCGAAGTCGGATAAGGGACTCTCTAATTTGATGTGGCCGTGAATGGTTGTGGTCACTGTAATTTCAATAAAGCTTCCTTCGGTGATACTTGATGAAATGGTAAAAACAGTCGTAACTGGCCAGGATGGGGTGTCCATGTCTTGCGTCACTATGGAGGTTTGGGTCAATGACCAAAACTTGAGTTTGCTCGGTGAGGGTTCGAAGTGCAAGCAAGCGGTGAAACATAATTCCAAGTGAGTTCTTAAATGAAGAAAGTTCAAGTGAATGAATGCAAGAAGTACTCACTTGTAACGGTCGTAAATGGTTCAGAGTCTTCTGTGTCATGTTCCTCTACACTGCCAGGAAGTAGCGTCGAGGTTGATGGATGTCTTGAAGGATTGTTGGAAGTATTGATTTTGATGCCACTAGTAGCTTTCGTCTTGCTAGCAGTATTGGGGAAAGTTTGTGTCGAGGTAACTAGAGGCGGACCGTTCTGGTTTATTGGTGAAGAACTTCCATTATTATCTCCTGCACCATCGTCTGCTTCGCCTTGTGGTTGGTCTGTTGCTAGTAAGCTCGGTAAGTTTCTGCTGCCGAATTCTGGGCGGGGGAATATATGACTCGTATGCTACTTACTCATTTCTGACGAGGTTGTAACAGGACCAGAAATCGTAGGCTGCGGTAGCGGCTCATCAGTAGGGGTGAGAGGAGGCCCAGCTGTAGAGGTCTGTAGTGGAGGAGTAATAGAAGTTTGAGGTGTTGTATTAGTATGACCAGGGGTAGGCGCGGGCAAGTCTTGATCGTCATCAGTCGACGTAAGCTCCGGTCTCGACTGTGTAGAGCTAGACGGATCATTGGGGCTAGGGTCGTTTGGCTTTGGTGTTGTCGTACTCTGCTCTTGAGTAGACTGATGTTCGTTGGTTTGGGTGGGACTGTACATAGTTGTGGTTGTTACCTCCGTATTCTGACTTTGTGTCATTGAAATCTGAGTGTTTGTTACATCTGTAGCTGTATCTGTCGCTATCTCTGTTGCAGAAGATGATGTGGTCAATGGGGGAGGGTTTATAGAGGACGAAGACGTGGTGGATGAGTACATAGTAGATGGGGAGGACTGGGTGGGTGAAGGGAACTGTGCAGTCGAGGAGGGCTGTCTCGTTGAGGAGGATTCTGTAGATGATGGTAATTGTGCGCTTGAAGAAGGTTGCACAGTGGAGGAGGACTGTATAGGGGGGGAGGGTTTTGTGACGGAAGGAGACTGCGTAGGTGAGGGAACCTGAATAGTCGAGGAGGGCTGTGTAGATGACGAAGCTGTTGTTGAAGATCGCTCAGTGGAGGAGCGTGTAGTAGAAGACTCTGTAGTAGATGTGAACTGTGTAGTTGAGGAGGGTTCTATAGTAGAAGACCAAGTCGTGGACGAGGATGACCGTGTAGACGAGGTAGGCCGACCCTCGACTTTCGTAGTCGATGTAATCCACGTGAAAGTAGTAGATTCCGTATGATTGGCATATTTGATAAGGTGCTTGTAATTCCCAGCAACACCAATATAGGGGTTAGATCTCTTTCGTGCCTCGGTGACGTTCTGCAGTGCTGAATGATTCTCGTCCATATTCGATGCGTCTGGTAGTAAGTGCAAGCCAAGTTGAGTCAAGGCAAGTAAGACGACAAGACCGCCCAACAATATGAGAAGAAATCGCCACCTCAATGGCACTGGCCTGTAATTATAAAGCGAAGGATCAGAGACAGACTTGCTGATACTTCCTTCAGAGCCTCGGTAGCTAAGGTCTTGCACGCGATCATCAACATAAAGCCCGCCTGGCGAAAGAGCAAGGGGATAGCTCTGGACGTTGACCTGAAGGCCCTTCCCAGCCTTAATGCTCAGAGAGGGAGAGAGAGTAGCGCTTTTATCCACGACCCCTGGCCCGTAAAAGCCCGCGGCTTCGGCATGTATTTCATGGCCATCTGTGAGATTGACTTCGTCAAATTGTTGTATGGGTAGACGTAGATAATCTCCATTAGTAAGCGTAGAGTCCGACGAAGCTGAAGTGCTGCGTGCATCCTGGGGAGGCGCATTCTGCGATGCTGAAGTCTGCCGGAGAATCTCCTGAACAGTTCGACTGAAGCGCTCTCGTCCAGATAACCGTTGATGCTCGACCTGATCACGGCCGTAGTCATCAGTATCAGCCTGTGCAACTAGCTCGAAGCCGCGCCCGTCGGAGCGGCCCCGATCACTCGGCATTTTTCTTCCTTGTGTTTGACAGGCGGAACAGAACCTATCAGTAGCTCAGACCAGCAGCATATCTTGTCGCGAGGCGTTGTTCACCCTAATCACAGTCCTAATTTCCGAGAAGAAAAGAAGGTGAAAGAGCGAAAGGTCACAGAGGGGTCAAAAGCCTTGAATTCATTTGAAATCATTCAATTACCATCTCGACCTCTGCCGTCTTGCCCCCAAGGTCGCAACAATATATTGAAAGAGGTAGGGCTACTGGAGCCATAGCCGTGTCTTGACTAATACTTAGGCTTCCACTTAAGCTTCCTTGCCCGACTCACGCCTACATTGCGCAGCGGACTGTTGGTTTCTGCCATTTTTAAACCCGGATCGCGACACTTCCAGCGGTAAAGAAGGCTGTGTACTGCTAATAATTCAACTCGTGATTGCTTGCTATAGTCACTAAAAGAGATGTCGAGGGTAGTAGACGGACGCATGTTGGTAATATCATCGAATCAGAAGCCACTGGTATAGAGCTGTTGGGTTACATGGGGTGTTGACTGTGCATCTCGCATGCAATGCTAGCCCGTGCCGCACGCTACGTGGAGAGCATGCTCTGCAGTGATCGCTAAAAGGCGAGCACATCGGTGAATCCGTCTTCTTTCGTCTTCCTGCAGCATGTCGGTGTTCTTTTGGAGGCTGAGGTCTTCTCTTGTGGTTTTTGACATACCGTATGTGACTGGCTTGGCTGACCGTTTTCGGGCAGACGCTCGCGATATGGAACGATTGATGAGCTGCCTAGGCACCTACCGATTTAGGCCGGGATATTAGAGTAGACGAAACCAGCGCGAATTGATAGTTACCTATGCTAGACTTGGGACGTCGCGATGATACGATTAAGAAGTACTTCGTGAGTAAGACATGTGAAGTCACATACCCAAGTAGGTAAGCAGATGTTGGTTTACCCCTCACGGCGACTGCAACTCAATTGCTCCACTCGTTCTATAGAGCACTGCCATCTCACCAGGTATTCTGCTCGCAACATAACAGCGTCTTAGGCAGACGACGCTGAGATACAGGTATTACATAGTACCTACCTACCTATTGTTGGCTCTTTAAATTAATCAAGTATAGCCTGCTAACCGAGACAGACTGTGGACTATCTCGGTAGGTGCCCACCTATATGTACATAGTGTCTACCTGGGTAGGCAAGATACCCCAATAGTGTGTAGCCTCAAGTATCGCAGAGATAAATTGTTCTCATCACATCAGACGATGAAGAAGTGGAAATTATTTATAGTATGAGGTACTGTGGCGTCTTTCATGTCGGATGCACTTCCGCTGGCTTCAGTTTCCTAGTTTGCCTGATCCAGCTTCATACTTAGATTCTGGTAGCATCCTTGTCAGAAACCCAGAGGCGACCGTGTCAGAATTTCGCGATTATCTCCGCGCACCATTGAGCTGGACTCTGGTCTGTTGCGCCTAATCTTTAGAAATGCTGTCTGTTACCGAATGATTGCTGGTTATAGGAACTGCGTGACCATGGCAGACCTATGGGATGGTGAGCTGAGCTAGAGCAAAAGCCTAGTCAATCGTGCATTCAAAGTGCTATCTCCAGCCTCGGTAGGCGGAGACTCCCGAGCCTAGTCTAGCATAGCATGTGTTAATTACGCACGATTGGATGCAGTGAAGAGTATCTGATGATGTAGGTTCTTTTGGCATCTTGAGCCAAAAAGTATATACTATTTACTATATTTGAATATTTCTTCGCGCATGCATTGGGTGACTCTATGACAGTATAGACATTCGATCAAAATATGTAAGACACCTTAATGCTAAAAGATTTTGCTTCCCAAAGTCCTGATGTCCTTGGTAAGAGGTGGAAGCATTTGTGCGTATGCTCCCTAGGTATCTATCTCAATCATACTAATAGTAGTATTCGAACCCCGACTACCAGCCGGATAAGACTTGATGGATAATTCTCGGAGAAGATCGTTGATCATCAAACCATTGGCCCATAATGACTGAAATCGTAACATAAATGACGAGACAATCTCATTACTGACGTTTCTCTATTCCACATTGTACCGTGTTCCTTTTATATATGCATTGCTGGTTATCCCGACCAGCTTTCTGTCCTGGAGGCAAGGAACTTTTGCCTAGATGAGAATGTTGTATCGCGAAATCCTACCGAATCAATACGCTTACGCTCTGGCGTCATCGGGGACATCGGGGTTAGAGGGACTGGAGCTGGAGATGAGCTGACAGTCGAATAGGTCCGAGTGTGGCTGTCACTGGTAGAGGCGGAGCGCACGCTAGACGACGATGGTGAGACAACTGATCCGTCGAAGGATTGTGAATACGGTCTAGTATACAGTGGCCCAGAAGGTTCAATCTCTACAGACTCTGCAAGCGAAGAGAGTTAGCTAATATCCTCGAGTTGCAGTGCCTATAGTCCCTAGGCTATGATATAGGACTAAACTACTTGATGCAGTGTTTGATAGATGCCTTCAAAGTCGGAGAGCTAGACATGAAATGTTTTTACATACCGATCTGTGACCATGTCAAGATAGAAGGAGGCTCAGTAAGATGCTCTTCAAGAGCCTTCTCAGTCCTGCAGAGTTTATTAGTTCATTTACTACCTAACACAGTAATTGATCTGCTTCTCCTTGAATAGCAGGTTGCGGGAAATAACTCACTCTTCAACCTTAGCTTCCAACTTCTTGAGCTTAGCCTCCCAGGTACGCGACAAGCCTTTGAATTTATCGGAATCAGGTAGCACTGTCACACATCTTGTCAGTATTGTATAAATTTGCTGGGCGCAATATGGCTAAGTGTATGGTGTCGACTGATACACAAAAAAGCTGACAAGCCGGAGTGTACAGCAGGGATGACTTACTCTTCACTTGTCGTTGCAGCTTTTCAATCACCGAGCTACCACGATTGACATCGTGCGACAGCAGGGTTACTTGGCCGTCCGCTGTGTTTAGGTTATCCTCTGCAGCTTCGAGTCGTTGGCTCAGAGCCTTAGCGCGGCTGTCAATAACCCGCACGCTATCATCAATGGCTTCAATCCTTTGTGAGGAAGCCCTAGCTTTGGCATCGACGTTCTTGAGCCCTTCCTCCACTGTGTCAAGACGTTGGCCAAGAGTCAGCTGAGCGATGCTGTTCGCTTCTTGATCGAGTTGTTTGGCGTCGATAGTTTGAACGAAACCCTCAAAGGCTTCCATGCGCTCACTTAGAGCGCGGTGAACGTCATTCAAGGCCTCCTGATCCAGCTTTATCCTAACTTCAAGCTCCTCGGCGCGCTTGTTGAAAATCTTGCGGACATGCTCCTCGATGGCCTCTGACTGCTCACTGAGCACCTTCTGGAACCGCTCCTCAAGAGCTGTGAGTTGCTGCTTTAGAGCCTGGTCATGTTGCTTCTCCAATGCTTCCGTCCTCTGCGCAAAGTCCTTTTTAATAGCATCAAGGATTTCTTCTTGGTCGCCCAAGGGTTGCGGGAGAGTAGTGGGCGTAGTGGGCGCAGTGGGCGCAGGGACCCTCTTCCTCCGACCGAACAAGAGCCAAAGAAAAAGCGACCCCAAAACAATGGCAGCAATTGTGAACTGGTCGTTTTTTGCGCTGTCGAGAATTGCGCCCAAATGGGCAGCACCTGGAAGCGCGGTAATATGAGAGCCCACAGTTTCCGGAACCACAGTCTCAGGGATTGAATGTTCGGAATTGATGAACTGAGGGACTATATCCTCCGGAATCTCGTTCTCATGAAAGGCATTCTTGGACTCTGGATGCCCTGAATGTGACGCGTCTCGCCCGGGATTCGACGCGCCCTTTTGTTGATGGCGAGGTTCAATCTCTGGAGACGACCCGAATAGCAGGCTGTTCCAATCTACAAATGCCGGCATCCCGTAACCCCCGCGAGACTAAGAATGCTGAAGTGAAGCGCAAAACGCAGAACGATGGCAAGACAAGACAAGACAAACTAAAATAAGACAAAAAGGGAACAAATAAAACAAAATTTATGACAGGCCCCACCGTTCAAGAAGGAATTGGATGCTTGCTTGATGAGATTAGTAGGTAGATGTTGCCGGATTTATCGGTGGCACGGAATAGGCAAGTCAAATCACCCACCCACTCACTCACTTATTACCTACTTACTCCCAAGCTTCTAAGCACTTGCTACGTTCGCTCACTGAGAGCTCAATAGGCAGTGGGAGAATGATGGTTTGATGGCAGGATGTCCGTGGCTGGGGGGTGTCTTGTTTGGGTCGTCTTCCACCCTTCCCACCCCCCCCTTATTTCCCGTTTTAGCAGCACCTTAGGCCTGAGCAGTTGGCGCAGGTTACCGCCAATGTTACGCCGGGGGTCCTGATTCAGAGCTGTCGGGCCCTGTTTTTACCGTAACGGGCATCGCGGGGCATCGCGGGCTATCGCAGCGTAGCGCTTTCGTCCAAGTGTGTCCAAGTCTCGACCCCACCCGCTCTCTCTTCCGACGAGTCTGTGACGAGCACCGGCTCTGACCGCCTCTCGTTTGTCAACTTATTTTGATAGCGTCTGTACACGTGTAGAGATTGGATTACTAGTGTCGGTGTGCGTGTTCAAAGAATGCAGACGACCATGCGACCATGCGGGTCATCGCAGTTCCTACACAGTACCTAACCTAGATATCTATGTAGGTATGTAAGTATGCAAGCATCGGCGACTCGACCGATCGCGGTCTTGAAGTGAGTATCAATGTCAATACGGTAGCTATGTAGGTACCCGTTGACGAACACTCCCGTCACACCGCTTGCTTAGTGTCGATTTCACTACATAGCAAAGCAGATGGCGTGCGACACTTGTACAACAATGGGATAGGCGTGTCTTGTAACAAAATCTAGGTACCTACAGCTAGGTAAGTAACAAACACATCCTCCCGAGAGCACCATTGGTGTCTACTCCCTTCCTTCACGTCATTTTAACTACATACTATTGGTTACAGATTTTGTCATCTATTTACTACGGTACGCCAAAGTTGGGGAAACTCAATACTTAATAGGTGCGTATCACCTAGGTGGACTATTAGATGACAAGTAAAAACCTGCAGTACTATAATCATAGGTAGTACTTTAGCGACTATTGAACATTGCCATTGGTAAATAATTCGTTGGTTGCATTTCCATAGTGACGCCCTTGGCATTAGGTATGGGGCATTGGCCCTCTAAGTGGCATCAAATCGACTGAGCCCTTCATAATACTCACCATCGCAAAGATGACTGCAATGCCCTGGTCGCGTTGTGTAATGGAGGGTAAGTTTGTTGATTTGGACCAGCCACTCGCCTGGGTCTGTATCATTCACCACCAGCCCGCAACCGGTAGAGAATCAAGACACAGGCGAGATGAAGCCGAACATGGACCCGCATGTATGGCTGTCTGAAAGGTGTCGCTAGCTTTGCAACTATACCACCGATGTTGTGTTCTACGAACAGGCTAGGTGTATTATGCAGTCATGACTTATTAAATGGTCCAGTCATTGTATGCGAAGGGAAAATTTGCTTCGTCGTCGAGCTAGCTTGCATTCCATTCAATCATCCGATCTATACCTACGATCGATTGTTCATTCGTCCTCGTCGTCAGGAGGTGGAGGTTTCCGTGGCCAGTCGCGTGCAATGTCGATTTGGTCCTTAGGCCACCACCATTCGCAAAAGATGAATATCAAGTAGTCAATGACTACACAGAGGCAAAACAGCTTGCCGGCCCACACGCCGCACCCGTAATATCGTTTCAAGCGATCAATGAGAGCGAAGTTGCGCACCCTGGTAGCACCCCAATGGGAGGCGTTGCCCATGTCCGACCCATAGAATTCGTCTTCGCTGATGTCACCTGATATACCCCTATAAACCCGTTCGGCTCGTTTGGCTACATTAGTCCAGGAATACATAGTCTTCACTTGTTCATGGAATCTTTCGGTGCGAATTTTATTCGCACGAAGGGCTGCAATCGCCCTTCCTGTAGCAGCCACAAGGTCATTTTCTTCGGGCTTTGCGAAGACTGTCATGTGGGAAGGCAGCACTTCGGGAATGCCGCCGACGGCTGTGCAAACCACGTATAGACCGCAACTTGCAGCTTCAACTATCACAGTACCAAATGCCTCCGTCAAGCTAGGATGAAGATAGATATGACCTCTGACCATTATATCTCGCACATTTTCATGCCGTACAGATCCCAGCATCTCGACTTTGTCCTGCAGGACATTCTGCTCAATCATCTGCTGTAGATCAATAGCTTTGGGCCCTGAACCAGCAATTATAAAGCGAGTATTCGGATGGTTTTCGAGGACACGGGGAATGGCAGCGGTAAGGAGATCCGTCCCTTTGTTATAGAAAAGGCGGCTGACTACCACAATGGTGATAGTGTCATTTGGTCCAAGAGGATGGGCTGGTAAGGGATGCTGAGCGAATGGTAAGCTTCCCTGTTCGGGCCGCGGTAGAGGTTTGAAGTCGTCAGATACGAGAGCATTAGGGATAACGGAAACCATCAAAGGGTCGAGAGCGGCTCTCAGAACGGTGTTCTCTTTGCTTTAGAGGGGTTTAGCACTTTGAGCCCAACGTCATGCCGAGAACTCGGGAAAATCAATAAAAAGCACAAGAGGATTTGACTCACCCGGTGTGGCTAACGCAAATGGTATGGTCAACATCACTCAACGTAAACTTAAGCAATTTATTGGTAAGAATGCTACCAGCGTCGGCGAAGCCAACCAGAGAATGATCTGTAAAAACAGTGCGAAGACCCATAGTTCGACCATGAAGGATCGCTTCTTGACACAAAGCGCTCATGGTGGCGTGACCGTGGACGATCTCTATGCGCTCTCGAATCATGATATTGCGGAATAGAGGGAAGAATGAGAACACGGTAGGAAAGCTTGTGGATCGGTAGATGATGGCAAAAGGAACATGGAAGACTTTAACGCCATTAGTCAAATATCGAATACCCTTTCGACTCTCATAGGCGTGGGTAATGACGATAACTTTATGACCTCGGTCAATCAGCTTGGTCGCGAGTTGGTATATGTGACTTTCAACTCCTCCGGGCTGAGGATAGAAGAAATCGCACACCATGGCGATATTGTACGTGCGACGAGGCATTGTTACAGCTTAGGTCGATGGCGACGAGTAGCGACAAGGTCTCCTGGATAATGCGGCTGAGAAAGAATTACTATTATCGACGAGTAAATAGAACTGCTAAAGCTGGGCGAATAGCTATGTCGTGCGGTCGATAAACATGGGCTTGAAGGATGAGCTCAAGTTGAAGTTATGAATAGTCAAGTCACTGGCTAGGAGCGCGACCTTGTCGCTTGCAGCCATGCTGCCGACCTGTTTGAGTTTGCGAATAGAGGAAGCGTGATAGTTGTCTATTCCTACTAGGCGGAGGGTACAGGTAAAGCATACTGTGCCTACATATGTAGGTTTGTGTTTTAGATCTGGAAAGGCGTGAATGGATGATGTAGCGGAACGATGTTGCGATAGCTGTGTACAGTTCTAGGTACCTACATCCTAGTAGGTTCCCGATCTAAATTGGCACAGACACATACGTACCGTAGTACTATGTACATACATGTATGTACTTACGCACCCTGCTGTGGGACACGCCCAACCCAATATCTACCTAGGTATCCCTAACAAACCATAATTCTCAAGTACAGGTGTTAGGTAAGGCTAAGAGAAACCTTCTGTGAGAGTTTTCTGGGAAAGTAACTGAGGGCTAAAAAGAAGTATCGTGTTTTTACTTGGCCAGAAGTACCTACATACCTCCAGTTAGTAGTAGGTTTCAATATGTACCAGGTAAGTATGTACAAAACCCTGATAGATCGAAGTGGTACACAATAGTGGGGTACTTGATAAGATAAAGCTACCTAGCTTAGATTGTATAATAATAAGGAAGGCGGTCAATTTTCTGCGATGGCAGAATTCAATGCTCTTGAAACCTCAATGTATTTTGGGAACGAGAGAAGCTCCTAGGACTAGGCTTGTCAAGCGCCTAGCATAACTATACCTCCAATATTGAGATAACGCTGAGATGTACTCCCGCTATATACCACCACCCAGGGGAACCTCAAATTCCCTAAATACGGAGCCACTCGCTGTTACTCCTCAGCCCTCTCAAACCCCCTCCAAACCACAACCGACTGCCTACGCCCGATATGTTCCACCACCGAAATCCAGTCAACCGACGTCGGTTAATACCACATCTTCTCAACATGTCCGGTTTGATGAGGATGACACCAACCGGGCAGATTCACCTGCTAAGAGGGTCAAACTAGTACAGGACAATACTGCTGCCCAAACTTCAGACCAGGAAAGATCCAAGTCGAAAAAGAAAAAGCGCAAGTCCATACAACTGAGTGGCCAATCTGATGACACTGACCATGCTGAAAATGGTGCTATTGAAGCATCGGAAGTGCAAATCGGAGAGGAGAGAGATGAAGCCAATGCTTTAAATGATGGAGAAACGCTACACACGCGGGAGGATGTGACACAGAAAACTAGAGAATCACCTCCTCCTATAGATACAAAGGCCGATGAATCTGGAAAGCGAAAAGCCAAGAAGAAAAAGAAGAAAATCGAGGATGCGAGCCAAACTCTAGACCAAACCGAAGATTATATTCCCCACCGCTTTCAAGCTATCTTGAACAAGAAAACAAAGTCTATACAAATAGCTACAGAACACCAGCAAGACGATACTACTATAGATGGAGCAGGACTAGTGGCCAGCGACGAGTCATCCCAGCAGAAGGCACCCGAGGTCGAACTGCATGGTCTAGAACCCATTCCTCAACCAGAGCCAGTGGCACTGGACACAAGCACCCCTTCATATGAAACGTTACCACCTTGGTTGGCATCACCAATCCGAGTTTCTATGGATGCATCTGCGCCATTCACCAGCTTTGGTTCAACTCCGGATTTAGGCATTACCCCTGAAATTGCTGAACGGTTAGCCTCGAAAGGCTATAAGCAGGCATTCGCGATACAAACGGGAGTCATACCGCTTCTGCTCCCTCATCATTGCAAAACGAGGCAAGGAGATGTACTAGTATCTGCTGCTACTGGCTCAGGAAAGACCCTTGCCTACACATTACCTGTTATTCGTGATATCAGTCAAGGCAGTCGGTATGTTACCAGGCTACGGGCGTTGATCGTAGTTCCTACACGCGAATTGGTGAGACAGGTGCACCAGGTTTGCGAAGATTGTGCTAGCATTTTCGCTCTCGATGGGGCAAAACGGCGCCCCAGGATTGCGATGGCTATGGGAAGCCAGTCGTTTGAGCACGAACAAGCTTCCCTTATAGAGAGAGAAGAGGTGTATGACCCTGAAGCATACCAGCGAAGGCTGAAGCGCTTAGGTCGTTCAAGTGCGTCTGGTCAGGATAGCGATCACGATGAAGACTCTGGCTATAATACTGAAGACGAGGAGCGAGATGCAATACGAAGAAGAGAAGACAAAATAAAGACTTTGCCTAATTACGTCGTCGCATACAAATCGAAGGTTGATATTCTGATTTGTACTCCGGGCAGACTAGTCGAACACATAAAATTCACACCGGGATTCTGCTTGGATTTCGTCCGCTGGCTTGTTGTCGATGAAGCCGATAAGCTACTCGGTCAAAACTTCCAGCAGTGGCTAGACATCGTCGTTCCCAAGCTACAAACTCAGAATCAAATGGGCTCTCGGCACCACAAGCAGTCGAATCTTTGCCGTGTGCGTAAGGTTATCCTTAGTGCTACAATGACCCGCGACCTCGACCAATTGGAAGGTCTCAAGCTTCACCGACCAAAGCTGGTTGTGCTGGAGGGCTCCAAGACCCGGGATGATGTCGCAGATGATGTTCATCAGGCGGAGCACGTACTGCCTCGAATGCTTGGGGAAGCCGCTCTTAAAGTTAGTGATCCTAATCTTAAGCCACTATTTCTTATAGATCTGCTTCGAAGTCGTCATGTCCTTCACACAGTCAACGGTACCGAAGGAGGCATATCAGATGATGATGATACCTCTTCATCTGGATCAGACTCGGACTCAGATGACGATCTCAATGGCTCGAAGAAATCTGTGACCCCTCTCAACAATTACTCGAAAGCGCAAAACATGCCTACTGTATTGATATTTACCAAGTCGAATGAGACAACCCTGCGTCTATCGCGTTTATTGGTGCTACTAGCGCCCACGTTTGATGCCTTAATTGGTACTCTGACCTCAACTACGCCCTACGCGACCCGCCGTGACACACTGCGGTCCTTCAATGCTGGGAAACTTCGAATTCTAGTCGCATCTGATCTCGTGGCTCGTGGCATTGACCTGCCTTCACTTGATCACGTCATCAACTATGATATGCCATCAAGTATAGCTTCATATGTTCACCGCGTTGGGCGTACAGCGCGTGCTGGGAATGCAGGCAAAGCTTGGACGCTCTTCACAAATCCAGAGGCAAGATGGTTCTGGAACGAAATTGCAAGCGGGAAGGTAATAGAACGAAGTAAACCTGTCGAGCGAGTCAGAGTTACAGAGGAGAAGGAAGAGGCGTTCGATGATAAAGTGACTGCGTATGAGGCAGCCTTGGAAAAGCTCGGCCAGGAAGCAGGACAGCCGCGTTATAATGATAGAAAGGAGTAGCAACTTGGGCTTGTATAACATAGCGTATGAAAGAGGACATGCATGATCGAACCCCAAAGTAATATGTATAGTCATTAGACTTCTGGATCATTCCTCGAGAGTCCAATCGTTCCCCTTTCTAGCTCTGTTTTCTGCCTCTTCCTCATTCTCTCGTCCTTCCTCTATGATTAACATTCTATGCGCCGAAAGATGTCCAAAGCTCATCTCTGGTGGATGTATAAGTCGATCTCGCTAAGTTTTGCGGGGAACCCTCGTAGGTACCTACAGTAGGTAACTAGGCATTGTTTTGGGTAAGTGCCCGCTCTCTTATAAACTGGGCTTACTTACGAAGTACATGTAACAAAACAGAACGCAGAGCAACCCCAAAAGACATTTACTCCCTGATCTCAGTCCAGGCTGACCCTTCTTTTCGCCACAGCGCCCGAAATCGTTCGAAAGGCTTTTCGGACTGGTCATTAACACAGGGTACTCGGGTGCTGGTAGAAACAGGCGGGTTGTAGGACACAGGAACAGGGGGTCTCTTACTAGTAGACCAGATTAGCCTTCGAATAACTAGTCACGCATCGTTCTGTCTCACTGTTATACAAGACTTAGATGAAACCGAAGATAACAGCTGAAGCTCATCCTTTTACTCTCACTGCCAAACTACCTGAGAGGGGCGGGCGGCTGCCCTCGTCGAAGCTACTGCACGCACCGCCCACAAGGCAATAAAAGACCAAGCACAAATATTATATGTGTACACCATTCAGAAGAATCTACCGAAATGCCACTACTTCCAGACGGAACAGTGGTGAGGAGTATCTCTCGTGTACACCACCAAGAGCCGATAGGAGAAGCTTTGCACGAAACTCCACCAAGCTATGAGGTAGCACCCATCGAAGATGTCACGAGGGTTGTTGAAGGACTCAGCACTACTATTACATTCACGTTCAAGGCCGTGGAAGGAGAGACGTTGCAGCCTTCCAGTCCCTCTGAATCTGGCTGCTTGATTTTGTGTGCAGAAGACAATCGGGTTAATCAAAGGGTATGGTGCCTCGTATGAGATGCATGCTGCTGCTTCAAGTGTCAACTTATTTCTACTACAATCGCTGACATGCCGCGGAGGTAGCTGCTCGGTAAAATGCTTGGCAAGTTTGGACAAGATTTTGTGATGACGGAGAACGGTCAGCAAGCTGTTGAGGTCTACAAGTCAAGCCCGGACCGGTTTCCCGTTATCTTCATGGGTAAGTGGACATATTGTCTGAATATCCCGCCGATACTTTTCAATGTCCAATGACATAGCAGCTAAGACATATGAATAAAGACCTTGCCATGCCCGTCATGGGTGGCAATGAGGCTACTAGTCTGATTCGTACCTTCGAGGCCAGCCGGCAGGGTCGCCGTAGTCTCATAGTCGGATTAGTGGCGTTTTCCACTCTTTTGCCTGCAAATTCATCCTACTACTCGTTGCCGGGCTTCGATATTCTATTACACAAACCAGTGCGGATAAGTGAGCTATACGAGATGTTCCTCGGTGGCTCCCAGACAAATCTTATCATGCTGTACGGTAGCCTTACGGAGGAAGAGAAGAGTGTATACCCGCGACTTGTGGAAAAGGATGCGGTGCTTGGGGACGATCCCCGGTCCAACGCTATCAGAGACGAACTCGAGAGGATCAAGGCTGATGATGCTAAGTATTTCAAAGAGGATATTGTCATTATACCTTTCACTAAGGTCGTTGTGAAAGTGATATAAGCTACGGTAGTGAAGATGAGAAGAGCAGAGAATACCTAGGGTAGTGTTTTCTATTCATGGCGTGCTTACATAAACTATATTAACCACGAAGTAGCGGCGGATACGCTCATCAATCATTTATCATCTTCACTCCGTTCCCAGCTGAATGGAGTTATCGATTTGAGGTCACGGGCAGGACAACTTCTCCCCCATCTCCATTTCGTCTTGACGAGTAGGTACCTACTATAGCTATAGGCTATAGCGCCGGAGACGGAGTTTTGGCCTGCCCGCGTGACGATACCTAACTAAGCCATATCAGGTAACAATCGGTACTCGGTACTTACGATAAGAGGCACCAAGCTGACCCTTACATACTTCCAGTCGATGTCATTTGTGGCTTGGCGAGAATTTCTTCGCGCCCATTCATCCCAACCAACTCGCCCAAGCATGCGCGCGATGTGAGACAGGCAGCGCTATTGTTTACAATACGTGTCCCGGTTAAGTATTCGCAGCCAGCCGGCTTCAAATACGCCTTTCTATCCCTTTTTCCCGTTGTGCGCTTCTTGGTCTGCTCCATTTACCGGGCCTTCCGTCGGTTCTTCGAGCCCTGTCCGGCACGGGCACATGCCACCCACTTGTAATATTACCTCATCACAACCGAGGCGGCTTACAGTGACCCCGAGAACAGCACAATGCGGCGGAGCCTCTCTCTGCTGCATCACCGCCGTCTTTCAATCTGGATTCGATAGCACTCCTCGCTTCCCTCCTCGCCAAACCCTTCTCAACCGCCACAGGTGAATCGAGGAGGGATAGCCATCCCATCCTCAACTCTGCCTACTGGCCCTTACGATTTTACGACTTACGACGCATCTTCACCGGCACTATTCTTGCGCCCGCTCTTCCTCCGTATCCGTTCCTCATGTCTTCTCGCCCTAGACGGGGAGTTCCCGCCACGCCTCGAGTCATTTCACCGAGCCCTACCCCATCCGATTCCACCGCACGCTCCCAAGATGGTGATGGTTACTCGGGTCCCGTGACGCGATCTGCCGCTCGGCGCCGCCAAACTGGTAGCGTAACACCGCAGCTTCCCATTCAAGAGACCTCTGGTGAGGAGTCGGACCCTGACCTTTGGAGAGCCAGGACTCGGTCGCGTAGCCCCATAAAAGCACGCAAGATACAAAATCTCACGAAGGTGAAGGCTGAGAATGAACCTGCCTTGGAATCGGCAGTCGGTGATGGAAACCTTGCAAACGGCGCGACAAAATCACCCAACGGTCTTTTGGCTCCGCCACCCCTCGCGACCGGCTCTTCTATTGGATGGAACTGGCGTGACTTCAGCCGTAGCCCTAGTCCTCTTGGCCTTATTCCGATTCATCGCCATTTCCAAACCTTGATCCACAAGCATGAAGTGCCGAGGAAAGCCCTTCATGTTTCAATAGGGTTTTTCGTGTACTGGCTTTATGTTACGGGCACGCAGACCTCCTCGGTGCCTCCTTACTTGATGACCGCCCTCATCCCTATCGCAAGTGTTGACTATCTGCGTCATAAGTATCCCGCATTAAACCAATTCTATGTGAAGTATCTTGGTGCTCTGATGCGTGAGACCGAATATCAAGGTTGGAATGGCGTCGTATTCTATCTTTTGGGGGCGTGGATAGTCTTGCGTTTTTTCCCGAAAGACGTGTCAGTCGTCGCAGTCATGCTTTTGAGCTGGTGTGATACAGCAGCTAGCACATTTGGGCGGCTTTATGGGCGATACACGCCCAGAATCCGTCGTGGCAAATCTTTGGCAGGATCGTTTGCTGCCTTTGCCGTGGGAGTTGCGACTGCTGGCTGGTTTTGGGGAGTTTTGGCGCCCCGGACTGGCCCCTTTCCTGGGGATGATCAACATCCATTTATGTTTCAGGGTGTGCTACGGATGCCTACTCTCATAGCCAATATGCTTGACTTTGATGAATCTGCCGTCTTGAGGGGGCATGCTGCGGTAGGAGTTATGAGTTTATGGTCGGGATTGGTAGCGGCTGGGAGCGAAGTGGTTGATTTATTTGGGTGGGATGACAACTTAACGATACCGGTGCTCAGCGGCCTGGGCATATGGGGTTTTTTGAAACTTTTCGGTTAGAATGAAAGGCATAACAAGTTAGAGCGCAATCATTTTCACAAAGCAGTAGCTCGCCAGGCGAGTAGACGATCAACCAGCTCCGAGGACGACGCCAACATTTTTGGTATATAGCTTGGTGGCTGGCTCGGGGAGTTCTATCTAGACATCGCAACTGTACGGGCACATTCAGCATACACGTTATTGGCAGTTTGCATGTGTTATTGTCCCTAGGCTTGACATAGGTTGTCACTCGCCGAGGAGCATAACCAATCCTCCACTCAGATCTAACCGGGCTCGGAAAGTCCACAATTCTGCAGCAGGTGATATGTTAAGATTCATTACGCGTCATTGAATCGTATCGGCATGCCATAAGCGTGCTCAAACAGTCTCAGTACGTATCAGTATAACAAGACCTGCACCTCGGGGCCAACGGCGCGGCCGCTTGTTATGTAGTCATGAAATCCACGGCATACGCGACCCATTATGCCAGCCGTCTTAGCCAGCGACTGCAACAACCGGGACGGACTACCACTTGCTATAAATGGCAAAGTCCAGAATCCATCTCCCTGCATTACACATACATACGCACCCTGTCTAAGCATTTCTTATAACAAAAACCTAGGTACATCGGCTGCCGGTTGCATCCGCCACGTCCACCACAAACCATCCCGGGTCTATCAAGGCCAGCGCTGTTGTATTTGGCCTGTGATGGGAAAATACTCCATCAGACTGCATGCAAAACGGTATGGCCTTCCGAGGTTAGGTATGTGACTTCTAAACGGTCAACATCCCCCTTGTCCACTCAGAATATTGTCTAGTCATCGACCTCCCCAAGTTTATTTGCCGTGGCACTCGCTCGTGACTCTATTACAGATCCATCAACAACTTATCATTCTGCCTAATACACAGCATGTGTTCTGATAACTTGTGTATTGCCACCATTCCGACTCAAGACTTCCTAGATCAGGTGTCTGACAGCCGAGGCAACAAGCATCTCTCTCTTGTCCTACGATGAACCTTTATCATGAACACCCACTCTTCCAAACCTTTTGCATAACGCAAATTATAGCCACGATTTTAGAACAGTTACAAGATCACCTACTATAGGCACCGTTGGTGTATAGGCGTGAACCTACTGCAGATTATATCATTTATCGAATGGACAAATTGCCGGGTTGCTTAATGTTATCTTCCTCTCCTTTGCCGGATCACAAGCCATTCTCCACCGCACTGTTCAAAGTGTCCTTGGGCGACATTTTGCAGGAGATCTAGACATGGTCAAGATCTGGCTTATGCATTGATCTACTTTTTCGGTGAAGCTAGGCTGTCCGTTTTGCTGGAATACTGCCATCCGCACAACCAGGGGACTCTTTATCCTTATTGGCAATTCCCCCGGACCTCGTTAGATGATACTGTAATTGTCAGCAACGCAAGAGAGCGCATCAGCATGATAACCATACCCACCATCACCACTACCATCAACCCCAATATACAGGATGTGTATGAAAAGCAGGCTACAACAAACTAGCGGTCGAGACGTCTAGTGGCGCCTTACTAAACTAATGGGTACCCTGTCGACGGTTGTTGCTGGTTGGCCCTTGTGTGGATGCGATTTACAAACCGTTTGATATGGTTTTACTATTTCGCAATGCCGGCACTACAAAACGTGAATTCAGTTCAGATACCCTGCCACGTCAATATCTAAACACCGACCAGTTCTGGTGACCTCGCGAGTGTCCGGCCCAGATGTCCGGCCTGCAGTTCTCCTTGCTTGTGGCCGAATGTGGACTAGACGGAGGGCAATCGATGCTTGACGGCCAATCAGTGTTGGACCGTCCAAAACAGATTCCGAAGGAAGAAAAAAAAATCACAAGCGTTAGCATACTGTACCGCACATTACTCCGTAGACAGGTCAAAGATGCCGCAGCCAGAGTACCTTTCGTGTACATTGCTCGTGCACCCATGCGGTTAACACGAGCAAGAGTTTATTTGTAAAGTCGTAAGGCGTCGGATACCGAGGAACACTCCGTTGCGAGAGTACAAACTCGAAGTTCTTGTACCATAAAATCATAGCCATTGGCGAGGCCAGATATTCACATGTCCGCTGCATGTATTGTAACAGGCGAAACACATGATCCCGAATCTATGGGCTGCTGAGATGAGCGCCGTACAACCCGTGCGATACCTAATAACTTGGGGAACTTCTTAGACGGTGGGGCAGCCTGCTTACCTACGCCCAGGACATCATGTCGTAAGGAGGGGTCAAAGAAGAAGTACCGAGTTGGGCGGGTGGCAAGGCAGAGCTCATGAACGATGTGGTGGCTTATTAACTTAGTTGAAATCTTTTATTTTCATTAATTATATCTCTTTTAATATTTCCTCCCCTCTATTCACGGGCCTGCGGATCTGCACCGGCAAACTTGTCTACCCTCTTTGGGTGTGGAATTTCTTCCATTTTGGACCAATCAGAAAATTGTTCTGGTGGGCATTCTTGGAATTTTCCACACGTTGGGTCAGACTCAGCCGAAGCACGATCTCACATCCCTGCTGGATCAAGGGATGGATGTATGTAGGTATTTTGAAAACCTCCTCTCCATGAAGGACAAGGGACAGCGGCCGGTCTTATCTGCGTTGAGAATACTTGTCTGGGCTATCGATGGGTAATCAATCCGCGCAGAAAGGCAATTCCGAATAACTAATGAATACACCTAGTTGGCGGGCTGTCTCATGGGCCTGACAACACATCATGACACAAAACGCCCAACATGCTGCACCTCTGCCTGACCTGACCAGTAACCGGCGGCATTGGCAATCGAGATACCCATTCTGACGTCTAATGGCTTAATTGCCTCCCTCTCCCACGCCGTCTTCGACGCAACCTGCAATGGGGCCTCGGCCTATTCAGTAATAGCACGGAGAGCTATTTGATTCTCACACCCCCCCTCCTTCAAGTCACCGTGAGAAAACTTGCCGCTGCTTTTGCGTCCGCATCTGGAGTCCTTAGCGTCAGCGCGCTTGTTGCGCATCACCGGGCCCGCTCCATTCTAGACGAGACGTGAGTGGGTGCTGCCGAGCCGGTGGAATCTTGATGTAGGCGTTATCGACCTGCTTGTCCTTTCACTCACCCACACACTGCCTCACACATAAAACCCTCTCGTGGATACCGATTTCAGAGCAAATCCCGACATCGCCCATAGTTACACTCTCAGGTTAAGCAAGTACCACGTGGTAATCCGTTGAAAGTTACAGCTGTCCTCCTGGCAGACAACCCTGTATGTGATACTGCTGGTTCAACCTCGTAATCCGCCCTCCCCCCCCCTTCCGGAGGTACTTTGGACATCTCGAGTTGGGGGCAGGCTTCCCATATTCGGCTCGCGCTCTTGATAGTTCTCTGTAAACCGTTTATCCACTTTCCCGAGCATATCTCATTCGCCGACCTCCACATCAGATACCCACCGGAAACTCCGTCGTTGAAATTCCCCGTGTACCTCGATATACAGACCGTCGCCCATATCCAGTTCCCGTATCTATCACCCCCTCCCCCCGATCGCCGTTCCACGACCCTTGAGTGCTTATGCAGCTTTCCCCCCAAGTCTAATCACATCACTGATAGCTGTACACCCCCTCCATCCCTCTTCCCATATAGGCAAGTTCTGCCTTTGTACCATGTCCACAGAGAATGCCCAAGGCAGAACGAACATGACGTTGGCTTGTTCACATGGGTCAGTGAACTACATGTCGACGAAACAAGCTCGGAATAACCGAACAGGAATCTAAGCAACTCCTCACACCTAGTAAGATGGTGTGTGTACTTACTAAACTAGGGTGACTTGACATACATATATTGATACTCTAGTCGTAACGCTCCCCAATATTCACAGCAACATAGCTTTGAAATTTTACCTCCCGAGGGGCACACTGAGGGCAGAAGCAGCGTATCACGGAAAGTATTCCCACGTGCCACCCCATAGCCCGAGAGAATCGGGTAGGCAATATCGAAACCAAACCTAGTGATGTCGAAGACATGCCGTTGGTAGCCACACGCCTACCCCATATACCTATCCAACTACTTGCCCCTATACTCACTCATGTGAAGCACGCACACGCACATACACACATACCTACACTTAGATATACCTCCAAACGAAAATCCCGTTGCCAAGTAAAGTAGTTTATGGAACCTCATGCAAGAAGTACCTAGGACAGACCAGGGTATTCCGAACCAAACTGCAGCTTTTCGTGGGTTTGAAGCTCGCTCGTACCCCGTACTTCATGTCTTGTCACGTCAAATCTATCAAAGTATCTACCATCCTACCCACCCATACCTTGTCACTATGACTCTCGCCCCGGTCACTCTCTTTCCTGTCACACTCCTCGGCTATTATATCCTTGGACCCGAGTACGCGGTACAAGAAATCCATGTCTATCTGTCCGCCTATACGCGAGAGGAAAGGAAAGGAAAAAAAAAAAAAAGAGAGAGAGTAGATCTGTTCTTCCCCGGTTCTCTCGTTTGCCGATTCGTCCCCGTTTCTGCCCCATGACCATGTACATATGTATGTATCATGTACCCTAAGATCCTCTTCTTGACTACCTACTAGTTTCTATACTATTTCGCCCTTACACGTAGAGCATGTACGCGTGTGTACCTATCAAATCTATAGCTTTGTTTTTTTTTTTTTTTTTACTCATGTCTCCTTCCCCCCTTACGTATTTCTCGCCCACCCTTCTCTAGTAGACAGACCTACAACGTATCTAAATGTCATCACACGTTGCTTTTCCTCTTGACCTAGGTAGGTACTGTATTCGTACCAAGGACCAGGGTATAGTCAGCGAGCGAGGAAGCAAGCTAAAGGGGCGAAAGGAGGGGGGGAAGGGAGTTCTAGAGCACATACCAATATCCGATCCGTCCTATCTCTGTTACATCCCCATCTTCATCCCATGCCGTTCCTTGTTCGGACGAATAGGACGGCGGGAGATGGTGTATGTCGTCTTTGAGGTAGGTATGTAGTAAGGTATAGGCATTGCCCTCTTGCCCTCGACAGTAGTTCAAGTCGACGGTGCCTGTTGCAAAAAAAGTATAAAAGGATGAGTTCTCGACAGGTTGAGATGATTTCTTTCTTCTTTCTTCTTCATCACTTTCCTCCTCCTCACACAAGCAACTCAAAACCTCCTTGATCTCTCTTCAGAGCCACATCGTCAGAAGCATCTCGACTTCAGTCTTAGCCAAGTTCCTCCAACACACAAGACATACACACAAGACACACACACACACATACCCTATACACAAAGACTCTTAAGTCTTACACCTCATACACCTTGATATTATCTTGCTACCTAGTGCATACTTTGCAGTACTAGCATCAACTTAACCCACACTCGTCCAAACCCAAATCTCCACCTTCTCGCCTATCTACACACTAAAGTACAAACACAATTCCTAAAATGGCTGCCTACTCCTCTCACTACTACGCCAGCGGGGTGCCCATCCCATCCAAGGATGCAAACGCCTCGTACACATACCCCTACGGATACAGCAACGCCTCGTACGGTGTCTCACCCCCAGAGACGACAGACCCATCTGTTGTGTCATCCGGGGGAGCGACCTACTCGTACGGCGGCAGCAGTGCTGCCACTGCCTCATCGGGGCCTTCAGCCATGGCAGGCGGTGACAACTGCTACTACTATGGCAGCGACAGCACTGCATCTGCCAGCGGCGTTGACTTCAACGAGTACATGCAAGACCGCTTCGCAAATGCCTTCGATCCTCTGCCATTAGACCGAAGCCTAGTTACACAGGCACAGACGTGAGTTTTCCCTCATGCCAGGTTCATTGAGATCAAGAAATCACTAACTAATGCGGAATTATTAGTTCTGGTACTCTCAATGCCAAGCATCGTGAGCTCCTGGAGCTACAAGCGAAGGCGCAGGCACGTCTAGCCAAGTCGCGCGCCCGCTTTGCAGATGGCGTGCGAGATGCACAGGAGGTGCGAACGAATCTCGAGTGGACGTCGAAGAAAGTATCGTAAGTTACTAGATCAGAGTGTCTGGTAGAAATGATGTACAGTTTTTGCTAATCTCAAAACCAGATCTATGAAGAAGAAGGCCGAGAAGAAGCACTCGAAAGAGTACCAGAAGGCGCGGAATCGATACCCGTCCCCTGAGTACTAGTTCTACACATCAGTGCTATGGTATGCAATCTCTACAAACTACAAACGTAGAGATTTTGAGCCGCACAGCAGAGCCGCAAGAAACGGGGAAGCTGAACGTGCGACCTACCAAAAAGTTTATCTTTCTACTTTGTCGTTTGACTACAACGGTGGGGTTTGATTTCCTAGCGGCGTTTCTGGGGTCTATCAGGAAAACAAATGGGCACTAATGCAAAGGGCGGGCGGGTGAACCATGCAAGATCTCAATATGCGAGATCAGCCGCGTGCGCCATTGTACTGCTTTTACCACGTGTGTGGGAGATGTTTTGAATGCACCCCCCCTCCTTTCGAGAGCGGTATCTCCCAGGTTCCTGCCGTTTTCGGATCTGCACACGCCCTCCACTGCGCTTAGTTGGGTGGGAATGTATTGTGGATGGTCGATTTGTGCGGTAGCGCGGCAAATAGACGCCCATCCATCGCTGCTTTACATAGTGGCAGTGGTGTGGTACCTCACCAGGTGTGTGGGCAGTGACAGCAGCAGGGGACAGGAGCGCCGTGTCTGTTCCTGCATTCGGCTCGGGTTTCTCCCCACGTGGAGGGAAGTCAGACATGCGCTGACGTACAGCGACCAGGCTAGAGGCGTTAATGTGGACAGGGAAACGGTTTTGACGAGATTATGACTTATGATTGGGTAGCTTGGGGTGTTTTCCGGTGGGCTACACGGGCTAAATGTACATGATATGGATAACTAGTTGGTGTAGGCACGTATGCGAGACAGCATGACATGCGTGCGACCGGTGTGGTGTCTAGGGCTGCGCTTGGGTTACCGGTAGCCGGACAAACCATAGCTGGCACGCAAGTAAGATCCCGATGGTGGGAGGGTGTCTTAAAGACACACTCGGGGCAAACGATGGACAAGGTATTCTTGTAACTAAGTCATGCCTACCGCCCAGACGGATAGGACCACTCCTTCCCTCTTCTGGGATTATGGGCTTCCCTATTTCGTATGGGCCACGACAGTGTGGACGATGGTGGCCATAGGCTGTTGGAGATTTTTCTTAGGATTCCTGTGATTGGATAGAGACGATATTGCTTCCGGCGGTAGTAATACACTGATTCCCCTTTGGCGGCATGACCGGACGTAGCTTCGATGTACCCTCACTGTAGACAACCTGAGTGTACCTATACCTTCAAATATGCTCCCCAGCTCTTAACAAGGGTAGGGGTGCATGTAGGGATCGTACTATCCATGCATAGGCGCGGAGGTCACCCAACCGTATGTGGAGTGATGCGCTATCGTATGTGTTGAAGGTGATCACGTGATCGTGCGATGTGATGTCCAAAGGAGGAATATAGTATTGTGTCTATCAGCTGGGTCGAATGGCAATCAAGCACGTGGAGTACTCAGACGCAGCCTTAGTGGGGCGAATAGAGATTGGTAAGTCGGTTCGTCAAGTTGTGCTCATGACCGGTTCAATACTTGACTCACTGTATGCCAAGTCCGGGGGTCTTAATATTTGCGGGCAAAATAGTGACCGAAACTGAGCTGGAAGCGGAATAAAGGGCTTATGTTCGTGCCGCCTTCGCATCTTCCCAAGATATCCAGGTTCCACGAGGCTCCAAACCATGAACCTTCTCGAGTTCATCCCAAGGGTTCATGATGAAGGTGGGATCATAATAGTCCTCCCACCACTTCGGGCCTGACCGACCATCTCGGTTCATATTGTGCTGGCGTCCGCCGTGACTGGCTTGACTTGAATACCCGCCGCTGGCCACGTAAGTTGGTGGCAGCTGTGGAGCAGTATATATCTCCTTCGAACTCCCGACTATGGCATCAATCTTGGACTGGAGAGGGTCGGCGGGGTCAGCAATGACAGGTGCTGACGGGCGCGAGGTGTCGATGTACTGAGGTTCAGGGTCCTCGTCATCCGCCGTGGCTGGTTGGGTCGTTTGACCGGTTGATGGAAGTTGTTCTACAACATCGTCATCATCAAGATCAATTTCGTCCATATTCTTCTTCCTAACGCCCAGAGGAACCGTGTTGGAGCCAGTAGTTGCTGTGTGGCCGTTGCCTTCATTATGCTGATGGAAGTGAAGGGCGGAATTGGAAGTGGAGGTGACGGACGAGCTCGGAGCGACAAAAGCGTCCGTGTTGGGATTGAACTTGCGGCGCTTGTTAGGCTGTTGGGCACCGAAGCTGGAAAATCCCATTGCCGCAGCCATGGCGGTGGCGTTGTCTGGGTCTTCGGCGTCGCTCATTTCCGAGAGTAGATAGATAGGAAGAAAAGGGAAGGCAAACGGGGAGGTAAACAGGGAAGCCGAAAAAAACACAAAAAACTGCAACGGGCGGCTTGGATGTAGACGGCGAACGGACGCGCACTATGGGATTCCAAGAGGTCGGCGGCACGTCAATTGCCAGGGACCGGATGCGACGCTGGCGGTGGCAGTCCGGCGAGATTGAAGTAACCCCAGAGCCCTTGTGACAGCACAGCACAGCACAGCAACGCAACCCTCCTGCGGTGGTAGGTATGCTAGGTTAACAAAAACCCGAGGTTGTACAGGCGGTGAGTCATGGCAGTGATCCGAATTGCGACGGTGATGTGTGTAGAGCCTGAGCGATAGCCTAACTAAAGCATTGTACCTACGTAGGTAGACTGGGATTTCAAATTGAAATAATTGTATCTGTATCTGTACAATAGACAGGTAGACAGATAGATAGACAAAAATCTGGTGCATTGACAGCAAACCTCAAATCGGCCTCTCGCACCAATTGGGCGGCAGTTGCCCCGGAAAGATCTGTGCCTACCTAAGTAACCCATCTAAGTACACTGCTTAAGCAAGAGGTACCTACCGTCAATGCACAGAATCCCCATCTTTTAGTATGAGATAGCGTTAGATTTAGGCAAGTACAAGAGAGCCAAGGACAGGGTCTGGACAGGGGGTGCTATCCGGGGAAAAAGAAGGGGGCCATCGAATTGTGGCTACCTAGGCGATAGATAAGTACCTAGGTACTCAGTAGCATGATGCAGGTGAATTCAAACATTTCTCTACATTTCTATTTTCTGTCTAGTACCTGTAAATCTCACAAGGCATGATTGGGATATATGTAATTAGCTACTTATATACATAGGTAGTGTAGATTTAATAGGGTACAGTACCTACAACAATAATACCAGCACTTACTTATAGTACAAGTGTGACATCATAGGCCCTTAGGAGGTGATGCTAATAGTGAAATAATACAATACGAATGAATTGGATCAAGAAGATATTAATATCTGTCTTAACTATTATGTATAACCTAAAACTTTCAACTAATATGTTCATTATCCTTTATTCAATTGTCATATATTAAGGACTATGAATCATCTATTCATCTGTCGTGACAAGCCATCGCTACTTATAAAATGAACCACATCCATCGCAATTTCTATAGGATAGCTATAAACAACGTATACCTAGGCTCTTCTCCTAACTACCCTTTCCCCTAGGCATCATACACTAGGCCTCAACCTCCCGGTTCAGATATACCTAATTGGGGTTGCTGTTATTTTCGATTATAACTAGGTACCCTCCGCTTATACTACAACCGGTATTTAGGTGTCCGCAGGGTTTTTGAACACTTGCTCAACTGCGAGCATTTGTTTCTGCAACTCATCCAACCCTAGGCAAAGTGCATACCGCCCATATGGCTTTGCCCGCCTCCCCCATATTCGGTAGTCGTTGACGACGAACATCATTAATACATGCTGCATTGTATACATTGCACGATACCAAGGAGGTCCAACTTGGCCCCCGTTCGACCTCTCTATGCATATGTAAGCGCCGACCTTATAGGGTACGCTCAAGAGATATAAGCAACGACGAATACATACCGTGAACGCTAAACCGATAGCGCGTAGGACCACTATCGAATTGCTCCTCATCCAAACCCAGCTGTTTTATGAAACCAACAAGTGTATCTTCAAACAATTCGATTGACTTCACAATTTCTTGCTGTTTAGCTGGGTTGGGGGGGATGAAATGTATATCCTCGCCTATTGCGAGTAGGTAGTAACTGATCCCACTGGTGGAAAAGCTAATGATTGGGATATGGCGCACAACTCTTGACTGGAATAACATGTTAGCCCTTTTATGCTTGCAAAAACCAAGGGAGACAGACAAAACGACAGATCGCCACCCTATACTGCGACGAGGGAAATAAACAGCAGGAGATACAAATCGAACGGCGATATGATCTGAATATTGAATCACCGCCTGAACATGCATACCTGGATCTCGACTCCGGATTGAACAGTGCTTCCCATGACCTTCATAGTAATGGTTGGCACATGCAAACCCTGTCACTTCTTGGTGATCTGCACGTAAAGGTACGATGCCACCGATAAACTTCCCATTGCCGGCTAAACAACCACTGCACATTGTTTCGGACTCTTTGCCCGTAATTTAGATAAGAGCAGCGTTGATCTGACTGGCCTTCTGCTTCCCGAGTTGAATATCGGCAGCCATTACCAAGGGTCTCATGGGTACACAGCCGCCTAATTCCAGGCCGATACTAGATATCTGTCCAACATCAACAATCCCATCGCTATCAGCTTTTAGCTAATCCAAGGCCGTATCCATCAACCTATGTTCCTGACGCTTCCACCTCAAGCGCTGCGATCTTCCACGTCACCCATTGACCCCCCTTCGAAACTACGCGCTCTCTTGCCCGACCAACACTCTTCACCCACCAGTCGCGCAATTTCCATACTCGTCGACGGAGGTCACAATCCACACGGGAGAGTCTCTATAGCGATAAAGTATATATCGTAAATCCACACGGAAAAGGAATAATAGAACTCACGGAAACGGCAATAAGGAAGGGTCCGTTTGCACATTGCACTCTCGAAGCCACAAAGGATCGGAAACACGCCTTCACGTGACTCACGACCAAAGAGCAAATAGGGCACATACCAGCCAATAGCCGGGTAGAACCAGGTATCTGTGTACCTACCCCTATCCGAACCCCCGGCCAGAATCACCCTCCTTTATTGCTTCATTTATAGGTAGGGCCACAGATCGCGTCAGACAATACCTAAGACTGACTGGATGGACGGGTATGTTACATGAGCGAGCTCTCATACTTATTTAGGATGCTGCATAGGTACTTACCTAAACGAGCCTAGGTACCTACTACGTAAGCAAGTACTATAATTTAGGTAGCTTGAAACAACTACTCCGGATGCTTGGCCTTCCGACAAGCTTGTGAGAGCTTGGATCGCTTGGATCCGGGCAAAATACCACACCTACCAGGTGGCAGCATTCTATTGCTTTTAAAGACTCTCCTCAAGTCCAACTCATGCTTTAATTCCTGTCGCGTGTACATACTGCAAACAATGGCGGACGACACGGCAACAGCACCAGCGCCAACCACTGCTGCCGAGGGCGTAGCGAACCCCATCAGTCTACGTGCGCCGTCCAGATATCTCGCGGACCCTTCGAAAGCCTCGACAACCTCTAACGAGCCATTCGTCACCCCTCCCAACGAATGGCTCTACGGTACCTGGACAGTAACGCACTCGACCTTGTCAATGTGGTGCTCGGCGCGGAATGTACGAATCACATACACACCTCGCCAACCCCAACCCGCCTCGACCACCTCCGCTCCCACCGACAACAACAGCCCAACCGTGAACGACAACATTGTAGAATATGAGAAGAAGAACGGCAAAGGGAGCGTAAAAAGCGTGCTCGGCACTGAGAAGCCGGACCCCGTCATTCCGGGTGCTTGGAACTGGCGCGGCAAAGGCTGGCTTGTCATCGCGAGCAGCCACTGGGAGATTCTCGGCTGGGGCGAGCGGCCGTTATCAAGTGGCGAAGGCGTCGAGCGCTGGGCTGTGACCTGGTTTGCGCCAACACTGTTTACCGAGGAAGGTGTCGACCTCTACAGCGATCGAAAGGAAGGGCTGCAGAAAGAGACAGCAGACAGCATCATCAAGGCCCTCAAGCAGCTCCAGGCTCCCAAATTAGTAGAGCTTGTTGAGAAGAAGATGGCGGAGGTTGCTATCAGTCTACCGTGGAAGGAGAACTAGGAATGGTTTCATTGCAAGATACCCCGTGCTTTGTCATTGCTACAGAACTGCAGAGGCAGTCGATGTTGGAGGCGGCTATGATACCCGTTAAACCATAATTTTACCCATAGATACAACATCCCTTAATAATTCATCTTCCATTGCCTTTTGGGAATTCTCCAGGGGTATATAATGCTCTGTTCGCCTAACACCGTGCTGCAAAGTCATACAAATCTAATAATGATCCGTTTTGGCCAAGTGTCGTCGCCCGTGTCCTTTTGACTGCCTCTCCTCATCATCGCGGGTCCTTCTAGAATGACTTCTATGACGATCATCCTCATGTTGGTGGGGGCGTTCGCGGTAGTCGTCATGATCTGATCTGCGGCGATGTCGGTGCCTATCCCGTTCATCGCGATCCCGTGATCTTGATCGATGTTCACGGTGCCCACGCCCCCGTTTCCTATCATCATCATCTACAGCTTGCGCGTCAAGGCTGAAGCCCTCAAGATCATCGACGTCCCGATTTCTCCGTCTCTTCTCGTGCCGCTTCTCCTCTCTGCGTAGCTGCTTAAGCTCCTTAGCCTTATCCTCGTTCACGGCTCGCCTTTCCCGCTCTACATCACGGACTTTGGCCGCACCCTTCTTCATCATCGCCAGAGGATCGTTGGCAACTACCCTCGCGGCGTCTCGCGCCTTACGCTTCAGGTCCTCGTTGCCCCAGACATCTTTGCCCGGTTTCCCGGCCTCTGCCAACTCACGCACTTCGGGAGCGTCTTTAGACGTGTACCAAGGTCCAGAGCTAGTAACGCCGACGCCATCCCGCCCAGCCGCGTTCGAAAATCGCATCGTGTATTGGTCCTCGAAATCTTGACGCTTCTTTGCCGCCTCGCGCTCTGCCTCCTCGTTCTTCTGGTTTGCCGGGCGCTCTCCTCGGGTATCCTCTTCAGGGAAAAGTGATATGTGGCCTCTAGAATCTACAATCGGGGCGTTGCTCTTCTTGGTGGAGGTGCTCAGTCGGGCGATAGTGTTCGTGGCAGCGGCATCCGTGCGTTCCCTCGCCACGCGCATCTCGAAATCCGTGTCGTCTTCTCCAAAGCGCTTGCGCTTCCTGCGCTCTCCCCTAACCCGCCCTGCAGAATCATCGTCCTGGCTGTGCTTCCGGTGCGTCTTAGACCCGGAGGATGGCTCTGTTGTCGATGCGGGTGGTGGTGGTGAGGGCGGGGCTTCGCCACGTAAGATCGCAAGTCGTCGCTCTGCTTCGAATTCTTGCTGTCGCTTTTGTTCGGCTTCAGCGCGGGCCTCCGCTTCGGCCTCGTCGCGCTTCACGCGCGCGATGTTGGCGGGATTGTAAACATTCCACGATTTCTTGCCGAGTAGGTGGCTGTTGTGTTGATGGTCGTTAGTCTATCGAGTCATTTCACAGAGCAGTTAAACATGCTTACAGAGGCATGGCTCATTCTAGATCATGTCATATATCGTGTTCAAGGTAGGGAAAAGCAAATAGGCTGAGGCTTCATATAGCCTTGAGGTCGGTTGTTGAAGATTGTTGTTGGGTTGTTCAGGTTAGCTGACACCGCCATCCCTACCTTTAGCTTTCCTGGCTCGCCCGTGGTGGTTATGGAGGGGCAGCTCCAGGGCAGCTCCTTGTTGGGTGAACTTTGTTCTTACGTAAACCTTGCTAATATCCTCGTGCATGTGCCTTGGCATCTCCGGAGAGCTTTCAGAAATACTTGTTAAGGCTGGTACTAACGGTAATCATCTGCTGATACGGTTTCATTTGATATTATACAATATACATGGGGCTGTCGTCAGACACAACGACATACCCTGGCAGGGTGCCACTAGAAATTGTGGCAATGCTCTGGACCATATCTTCATGAAGTCTTCAAATAGATCTTGATGTTTTTCTCAGCACCGCACACAGTCGAGGCATCGGCCGCTATGCTAGTAGCATCAGACTGCCAAATTGCAGATATAGTCTCTGGGTTATCAAGTCCTAAACCGTCAGCCATCATTCGACCGCGAGACTTTGTTGAAGACAACTCGGCCTCGAAAGAGGATACTGAAATCACTCGACATTAATAAATGTTTCTCACAAGAGGGAAATAAGCATGTGAAACAGCTTACTTCTGCACCCAAACCTATGCCTAGGAGTCCACACCAGAACCCAAGTCACAGGTAAACATTCATAGAGTTTCGGACACCACTAGACGTAGTTATTATTGTTACAAGTTAAAAGAGTGTTGAAGCACACGTCAACACGTCTAGGTCTTAAGCGATGCGCAGCAGAGAATAGCAGGGGTCTCTTCGTAGGGCGGCCCTTGCTTCTTTATTGGGAGGAGACGGGAATCACTGAAAAGTTCATATATCCTACCGTGACAACAATAACGATTGCCAGCTTCAGGTCGTAACCCTTTTTACGGCCATGTCTATCGGCTAGAAAGCCGAAGAATATGGCAACAACGATGGTACCGATGAGGGTTGTCAGGGTGATAATCAAAGAACTCCCCGATGTGCTGGATGGACAATCCGAACCTAGATAAACATAGTTTAAGGCTGGTCTAATTACATTGACAGCGAAGATGCTATAAGATGTTGTGAAGAAACCCGATGCTGCAATCCACCATACCCGCCATTGAATGCCGTCTAAGCCACGGCCATCTATGACCGATTAAATTGCAGCATCTAGATTTTAAGGGTTCTATAATAATCTGCGTCAGTATAGGCAGCTTGTCAGCCACACATAGCATGTTACTGACATATTCGATCTCATCGTTAACCCGCTGTGCTCTTGTATTGAGATCTGAAGAATAGCTATTCATTGTTTATAATGGCGAGTGAAAATGTCGACTGTCAATAAATTCCAATATTGATATACCCTACGAAAGCTGTTGTGTCCCCCCTCTAGGGTCTCATGTATATACGCCCATAATGATTGAGCCGCTTAGCCTTCTTCCACATAGAAAGTGTATTGTCATTTGCCTTGGTAGTAGTAGCTTGCTTCGATGCTTCCTTGCCGTTATAAAAAGGCAAGCCAGACTTCGTATTGCTTCCTTAAATGACACATGGGGACTCCAGGGCTTGTCTGCTTCAACTCCACACATTATTCTTACGTACCCAGTGCAACATTGGTAGTATATTGGCATTTATAGTAGTGTATGGAATGGTTTTCTTGCGGTTCCCACATTACTAGCACTAAAAAGACTATCTGGTATGGAGGCCGGAATAGAATTAGAGATTTTCTAACTCCCTGTGTCCGTTATTAACTAGAACGTGGCATAGCTTTGGAATTCGTTGCGCCTGAAGGAGCTCATAAGAAGCTGAAATGTCTCAATACTCGTCTTCAGGTACTGAATACTTTTCTTGAGGAGGCCCTCGAATAATCTAGCTCTCCAGACACACTCTCAACTACTTAACGCCCGGGGTCTGGATCCATTGCAAATACACTCAGAGAATATAAATCGTTCCTCGAACAGTATTAGTCTCTCTTATCAGAGAAACCCCGGGCTTAGTGCAACTGCGCAATGAGTACTACTCCTTGTTGGACCAGATACATCCCGAATCGATGAGCTCCACAAGAAGATCGATCAGCATTTTGTTGTCGTTGAGCAGTGACATATAGGTGGCTTAAGCGATAGAATACACAACCTACAAGTGCTGTAAGTTTAGAAACCAGAAAGATAAATCATCGAAAACGTGGCTAGAACAAAGATATAGGATCACTTTCGTTCGAGACTCCCTCTCAGTTCCTTCCACGAACTTCCCCCGCCGCGATATTACCAAATGTCGACTATGCGATTGGCCGGAGCCACCAATATGACAGATACAGTGTCACTACCGAAAGCGGTAACGCTACCGGTGTAATTGACAGGCAGAGACAAGGCTTGTGCCAACTCGAACATCCATACCAACGTTGTATGGGGCCATCATCTGGGTCGTTTGCAATACTGTTTTTCCTGTCACTTGCAACGATACTTTTCTGTCACTGATATTTGAGGCAGAGCATTCGTGTCAGATGGGTTGGTCCCGGAGTGAGTAGAAGGTCAGTCACAGTCAAGTAGGCAGGTAGAAGGGATAGTATAGGCGTCAATAATCATTGAATCCTGAACCCTCCAACCCTCGAAGGGGGGGCCAACACCCCTTTATATAGCCAGTAGGTCTAATACAGCCACCCCTAGGGTCTATGTGACTATATCACCTGACAATTCGGGAGTGGAGATATATTCCAATTCAGTCCCAACGATTATGAAGTTTGCGAGACTGAAATGGGCCAGATAATCGATTGGTGTAGGTCTACAATACGAATTCGGCACTTCCGTAAGTACGGGACTTTACTGATGTAAAGGAAATATTGATTTATGCAATTAGTTCCATCGAGGACTAGGCGAATTCATTACACAAAGCCTAATGACTCTAAGATGGAAGTTACCATTCTTTGTGGTTCAAAACATCGCTTCCAGACTACACGGGTTGCCGGCTCCGAGAACAGACACGAGGCATTTGGGTATCAGCTTACACACAAGGTAGACCATGAAAGATTTCAAGCTCAGGTTGCCACAGCATCATTTACGTTAAGTCAATCATCGAATGACCAGTCGTCGCTCGCCTTTAGGAGCACATATGAGAACCTGTTGCTCCGCCGCTCACTCTATAGAAGGGCTGGGTTTATCTTAGGCGAGGGCGATCTCTTAATTAAAATGTCTGAATGACTCCTATCTATGCTACGATAGACCATCGCCTCTCGCTCGTCCCTCCTCCCACCCAACCCGTTCGAAGCAAATCAATTCGATCCGTAGTTAAACTATTTGCATCGAATGCCACGACGTCATCTTCCGCCCTCAAAGTGCCTGCCGCTAGTATGGGTTCGGTAGGGTCGCATCTATGCAGGTTCCCATTCAGCTGAGATGACCGTCCTCGAATGGGCGGCGACGGAGTATACTTGCGACAAACGGCCCCCAGTGGCGGTAGCTAGGCTCCCCCAAAACACCGATATGATTCGCTTCTATGTCTTTTAAAATCTTATAAGGCGCCCTTCATTCGCCTTGTTGTTTAAGATGACCACCTATTGCCCCTTGTGCAGCCCCAAAAATAGCAAGCAAAGGACTTAGCAAGACGGGAAAATATAGGTTCCAACTAGATGCTGAGCGGCTTAGCACAATTTGGTGGCACAGATTACATACTCACGCATGAAACTGCCTCGTCTTATTCAAAACCGCCCCATGCTGGTGTAGTGATACAAGAGTGATGAGCACTACGAAGACTAGGTCTAATATGCACATTTCCTCTCATTATAAAAACAGCACCCCCGGGGGCTTTCGCACATGAAAGTCTGAACAAGAGGATGATTCACAAAAGTTAAGATCATGGGGCCTGTCATAACAAGCCGGATAGAGCCACTGGCTGATGAGAACATCGCATATGGTCAGGATCAGTCGGTGCTCTTTGAACAGTCGCTAGTCGACACCATCTCACCTTCACAGACATTTCGTCCACCATCGCAAAATGCTGCCACCCGGCGCTGGCGACCAATTTACCTACGTCGATCTGTTTTGTTTGGGTTCATCTTAGTGTTCATTCTTATTATTGTCACCATTGAAGTTCTTCTTTCCATTTCCAATCGGAACCAGGGGCTTGCTACGAGTACGTCTGCTCAGCATTATCTTTGGACGTATGGGCCGACCGCTTTTCTGACAGGTGTGGCCACCCTCTGGGCACGCACCGAGTATCAGAGCAAGCTGATAGCTCCTTGGCTCCGTCTATCCCAAAACCCTGCTCCTGCTTCTCGAACACTTCTTTTGGATTACGTATCTCAGTTTTCTTTTTTCGCTATATTTACATCTTTGAAAAACCGAGATTTCACTGTCGCCATCTCAACTACCGTATCAATTATCCTCAAGCTCTTAATTATCATATCAACTAGCTTGATATCTCTTTCGTGGACTACGCTTCACCAAGACTCCTATCCCATGTCTCTCCGCGATAAATTCGTCGATAATACCGCTAAGCTTTCCACCACCGGTGATCTTGCCGTATACATAGTCCAAGGCGCGCGAGATCAGAACCTCACACTGCCTGAGGGTATATCCAGCGAATACGCATTTCAATCTGTGCAAACGAACTTGCCTGATGAAGTAGAGACAACCGTCGTCGTAGATGGACTGGTTAACTCGCTTCGGTGCCATCCTGCGAACGTAACCTTACTCAAGTCTGAAATCTCAGGAGGAGAAGCAGGCTTTAGGCAAGAGCCCTTGAACTTGCGTATTTCGTCACCTCGATGCAATGTGGCACTTGCACGGCTCCCTGACGTCGAGATATATGGTAATTCGTCGCTTTTCGCGAGATTCCAACAGATCCAATGCGATGAAATTTCCGACGACCCCGGAAAGCGAGTTATAGTGATGTTTGGCAACATAACCAAACCTCCCGCCATCTCCTCCAGGAGTCTATCAAACACTAATAGCGCAATACAGTCTCGCATTGTCGGTTACACCACATCAATACTCAGTAGATCGACAAGTCTGCTCTGCACACCACAATACGCTATTGACAAAGTCCGAGTGACTCGAAACAGTACCCGGACTAGATCCGTAAGCCGTGTGATAGGAAAACCTCGAACGACGCTTGACTCTGTCACCGCCTGGAATATAATGGAAGCGCAGTTTGAAGCTGGCAGAGCGGACCTGAACTACGTTGGCCCTTATTCAGATGCCATCAATGTCTCGACAACGCCTGTCAACGTAGATCCTTACATGTTTACAGCGCTGAAATCTCAGTTGGAGCCGGGATCGCGAGTCACGGACCTTTTCGAGATCGAGGTTTTACAGAAAGTTGCTACCAACTATTATCAAGCAATAGGCGCGGTTATCGCCAAACAATCTTTAATGGTCCCGACTTCAGTGGGGATTACAGGCTCCGCCACTTTAAACAAAAGTCGTCTCATTGTGCGTTCTTGGATCGCGCAGTGGATGGTCGCCTTGGCTGGTTTCTGTATTATTTTAATATCCATCTCGCTCTTCCTGGTTCCAGCAAAAGGATTCTTGCCATGTAGTCCGACTACTTTTCCAAATTTGATATCGACCCTAGTGCAAAGCCGGCAGCTCGCGGCCCAGCTACGGTTTGCTGGAGCGTCAGATACTAAACACCTTGTGGACTTCCTGAGAAAGTCAACATTTCAATCAGAATTTATATATGATCCCACACTTGACGAGAAAAGGTTCTGCATCGTCGATACAGATTGTGATGGAAATGACAGGCCTAATCCTCAAGTCAGTGCAAAGCTCTTGCATCCGACCATTCTTCATCCCACTTCTCGCTCTCTGCTCTGTGTTAGCGTGGTAGGCTTGATAATTTCTTTGGAACTATTGCTGCACAAGTCTGCTACTCAGAATGGCCTTGGAGACGTTAGTTATGACACCTATATACATTATATATGGACCGCGATCCCAGCACTCCTTTTTGGTACGCTTTCTATAACTTTTGCTGCCATGGACTTCCAAATAAGAACTCTAGCACCATATATGGCCTTAAGGAAGTATATTTCAATAGGTGTATTCGAACGGCTTGAGCTTCTTGATATGACAACACCAATAGCGATTCTTGAAGAGTACAGGCTCGGGACTCTTTGGGCTCTATTTACAACCGCCGGATTTCTTCTTGCTTCATTGTTCACCACTTTTTCAGCAGGCTTGTTCCAAGAGCTAAATCTACCCGCAACAGTACCCCTCACTCTTCAGCCAAGCCGTTCTTTTGATTCACCGTCCGATGAACCATTCCATATCACCAACACTGAGATTCCTTCCTTAATTTTCGAGGGCAATTTCACTTTCCCTCGCTTTACATACATGGACCTTGCCTTCGTAGAGCTTAAGCCTACTACGGTCATACCGCCCAATTTCGATAAATCTACTGTTTCAATCTCGGCTGTGGTTCCAGCAGTGCGTAGTAAAATGGATTGCGTTTTATATGAGGCCCCCCAATTGCGTGTAAATAACACCGCACTACAGGTCGACGGCCTGATCGAGGTCTCAACCGACAGTCAAATCGATTTTCCAGTTCTCAATTATAATATGGATAGGGTTAATACCAATTCCACCTATGCTGGCATATCATACTCGTTCCACCCCGGTTCTGATGTACTTTACTTTTGGGCTAAGTTGGATTTTGGCGCAACACCTGTGGTACAGCATGCAGCTGCGCTGGCGTGTAATCTGACATTCGAAGCCTTGGATGTCAATACAACCTTTAGGAATACCGCCTTCGACTTAGATCTGCACGAACACCCACGCCCCCTTGAGGATACGGTACGGAACACATCTATCAACGACTGGAACTTGGCATTTCACGACGACTTCGATAATCTTGCTACTATAGATCTTAGCCCACAGTTCATGGACTCTTTTTTCTCAATGGTTGTAACTTCCCCATGGGCAGTCCCTATGTCAGCTCTTGGCGACCCAGCCGCGAATGATGATGTTATAGACGCCATTAAACTCCACAGTCGCATCATACTGGCACAAGAAGTGACAGCTATACGAGGTCCTGCTAGCGAGTCGAATGCTACCATTACGGAACCTATTGGTCCTGGAGACAATGACGCCCAGCGTACCATCAACGCTACAGTTACCAATACTGCTGGTAGACGTCGCATTGTCCAGGACGAAGCATCTACACATATCTTGGTTGCCCTACTAGCAACCACACTGGTTTTATTTATCGTAGGCTGGGTCACTAGCCCTAGGACTGATGTGTTACCTCGCAACCCAACGACCATCGCATCCGTCCTAGCACTATTGGCAGGTGGGAATATATTTGATAGATTGCCAGCAGATAAATCGGTTCTATCTCCCGAGGAAATCCTTTCTGTCCTTGGCAATTCTGAAACACGATTCTGGATGGGATGGGGAAATCTGGCGGACGAAGAGGGCATACAGTATGGCGGAGAAAACGAAGGTGGCGTCAGCCAGTTTGGGATCTTTGCTGTTGATAAGGACGATATGGATCAGGATTAGTGGGCTCTAGGGGTATTCAGAAAGGATGGACGATGCCTCTTGTTAAAGTCATCCGTTGATACCTACGATTTCCCCAGATCCTGACGCTCTTCATACCAAGGCGGTGGGAGTCAATGAAGTTGGCGGGGATAACGATTAATAGATTGTTTGCGCTTTTTCTTTCGTTCGATAGCAGAACAAATGAAATAAATGAGAGGATTCCTTGTTGATGAAAAACAAGCCCTTGAGACCCAGGCAGTTTCGGCTGGTAGACCAGTTGTATATAGAGTCAAGTTAAGCCACCAAAGCCAAGATGGAATTGGTTGGCCAAGGACTCATGCAGCCGTAGTTGATCATTGTAATCTAAATAGCATCAAGTTCCAAGCCTAGATCTCTGCCCTTGTTATATACGGCATGCACTAACTCGTATTGCGGGTATCAAAGAGAGAATTTTCGAGGCCCGAGAAGGTCAGCTTCTGAATTTTAGAGCGCGAGATTGCAAGTATGTTATAATCTGCCTGCCTACTTAGTAGCCATAGAAGTATGATACTACGGATACGTAAATGGTTGGCCACAATTGGAAGCATCACTGTGTTCGCCCATTACATTCTTCTAAATAAGCCGTCGCAATCTGAAAGCTAGTATGGCAGGAAGCTGCGTGTAATTCGAAGAAGCCTCAAGGCGTTCGGGCATGGCGTCCTCGGAAGTGAATGCTGGCTCCTCCATAGCATCCATCACAAGACCAGTCTTGAAAAACGTGGAAAAGAGCTCGTGCAGCGGGCGGTGATAATAGATCTATTATAGTTAACAATCCCTGACGTCTACATGGAGATTGAACTAGGTGGACAGTAAAGAGGTGTGGGATGTAAGGCCATGGGGATTTTTTACCTGCTGTGCTGGCTGTCCATATAATGCAACGCCATGATATGGTGGTACATCGAGATACTTCTCAATAATTTTCGTACGTATAATCTCAGGGTAGCCGTCGGGCCCGCCGTCCGCAATCTGGATGTTGCGTCGCGCGCCGCATGTAAAGAAGACGGGGTGTAATAAGGTAGCGACAAAGCTGAAAGAAGAACGAAGATGTCAGAAGCAACCGCATACATGAAGGAACGATATCTCCCTTACATGCCATCCTTCTTGAGAAATTTCGGAAGCGCGGCAGCGAGCGGCTCGATAGTAGAAATATCCATAATCGCCATGTTCATGACAACGACATCGAAACCACCGGCCTAGAAAGCTCGGAGTATGATTTCAGCTTCTTTCCAACAAGGGTTATGTTATATGCAATGCCTGGTTTCATGATTTGCTTCTTATTTAGAAGTTTGGATAGCCAGCTGTGGTTAACTTACGGTGGCATGCTCATCGGCAAGCGCACCTAACGCCTCCGGATTCGTGGCATCCAGTTGTCGATAAGCAATCTTCCCCTCGTGATGAGGCTTCTCACGGCGTCTCGCGAAGTCTAACATCTCGGTGCTTACATCCGTAGCTAGAACCGACGCACCTTGATCCACAAGCCAGCGAGCCACAAGACCATTCCCCGTGGCCAGTTCGAGCACCCGCGCCTCGGCCAGAGGCCGGAATGCAATCATACGCGTGAGTGCAGGTTCCTGTAGGCGGTTCCAGTACTTGTTACCTTCCTGGATGCCGTTATCCCAATAAGCGGCATTTGCCTTCCAGGAAGCGACAGCCTCTTCATGGGTGGATATAGGGGCGGACATGATAACTCCTCGTCTTGGTCTTTGCGGCGCAGCACACCAATATCATCAATATTGGAATGCCCTTCATGACAAGGCGTCTCGCAAAGCTCTACATACTTATACCTGAAGACGTTTCACACACAGATAGGCATTACAGTTCTGATGCACAAGCTGCTGGCGTGTGGGGTCGTCCCCCAGAAGCCATCGCCGGTGAGTCAGCCCGACTGATGTACATCCTCTTAGGTGGTATAGAACCGCGGCTTGGCCACGACAGCCAGCAGTGAGCGCATTGAGTCCTCCGCACACCCTCAGTTCATGCATTAGAATGTATAAGTGTAGATGTAATTATATCTACCTGCGCAGACAAGCGTCGAAGTCTTGATAGGTTTGTTCTGTTTGTCTATTAAGCTATCTGCACAGAAGCTACACAAGGCCTGATTGGCCAAGTGTCTGATATAAGTGGGCTCCTAAGCAGAGCTAAGATAGCATATGAGTAGATAAGCGCATACTGCCGCTATCCACCGCCTAAATTTTCCCTGGACGATGATGAGGTACCACCTATTCATCGCGCCTCGGTGCTCGCAGCTGAGAAGAGCGTATCGGATTAATCTCGCTTGAATGCATATGTAATCGAAGAAGCTGGATCGGATATTGAAAAGCGAAGATAATAAATGATTTAATGTATTCTTTTGTTTAATTTTGAGAGATGCCGTCCGAAACGAAGACACCCAAGAGTGACCCCCGAGCCTGGAGCTCACTAGGCTTTCCAGATTGGTCTCAAGATGCCGTTTCAGCAATGGGATTTGCCCGGGCTACGCCTGTCCAAGCCAGTATGCCAACCACCGCTCATCACTATGGAACTGTGTACTCATACTTGTTTTAATAGGTGTATGGCCATTGATGGGTACGGGACATAAGGATGTGGTTTGTGACCCCTCTCCCCCTGGATTTGTCTTTGAATTGTGCTGGGCACACGCATATTCATGGAACATTGGACATTGACAATAGTAGGTCGTCGAGGCAGTAACAGGCAGCGGCAAGACACTTGCCTTCTTGATTCCTTTGGTACATCGCATACTCCGTCTTGAAGAGCCAACGAAAAAGCACCACATAGCTGGCATAGTGATTGCGCCAACTCGCGAACTCGCCATTCAGATTCACAAGACTCTCACTGATTTGGTCGCGTTCCATCCTGTTTCTGCTGAAGTAGCCCCGTATCTTTCATCCGATGAAGAGAAACGGCCCAGTAAGTTTCTGTCACGACTTCAGATCTCAAGCCACGGTCTCTAATTGGCGATTGCTTAAAGGCACAAGTTCTCCAGCTATAGTTCCACAACTGCTCTCAGGCGGCAGAGGCAGCAGCATATCACCTGCTCAGGTAACCCGGACCGCGCCACCAATTCTCGCATCCCTTTTAGCTAATTGAAAACTCAGGATTTAAGTTTCTTTCTAAAACATTCGCCCAACGTCATCATTTCAACACCTGGACGACTTAATGATTTCCTCTCTTCACCTCATGTTCACTGTCCCCAGTCAAGTTTCGAAATGCTTGTGTTAGACGAGGCAGGGTATGTATCAACGCATGTCTAATTCTACCCTCTTGAGTAAATTACATCGGCGATGTCCTGAGTCTCTTACTGACTTCTATAGTGAGTAAATCTTAGTAATTCGTCTTCTACCTACCAAGGCTCGCTTTTCAAGTTCATCGATATAACGCCTGCAAATTCACATCTTGCTGATTCATAGCAGATCGTTTGCTAGATTTAGGGTTCAAGGCGGACCTTCAGGGGATCCTTTCACGGTTACCGAAACAAAGACGGACTGGTCTCTTCTCTGCAAGCGTCGGTGAAGCAGTTTCTGAAATCATTCGCGTCGGTCTAAGGAATCCCGTGAAAATTTCCGTCAGGGTGAAGACAAAATCAGGAGATGTTATCGAGGAGCGCAAGACCCCTGCAAGCCTTCAAATGACCTACCTTCTTACTGAATCCCATAAAAAGCTTCCATCGGTCGTTCGATTACTTCAACATCTGGAGCCCAGGCCCCTAAGGAGTATTATATTCTTATCGACTTGCGCCGCAGTTGATTATTTCTCCCATATACTTCCAGCGCTATTACCCGAAGGCTTTCAACTAAACATATTGCACGGGAAGCAAGAGGCAAAAGTACGGGAAAAGGGAGTTTCAAGATTCTTAAACGCCACGTCGCCGTCTATACTTCTGACTACCGATGTTGCAGCAAGAGGTTAGAAATCCTTATCTCGTTGATAACCCAAGTACTGCGCTGTTGGTTTACCGCAGCCTACGCTCCTAACTTCGAGTCGCTGAGAAAATCCTATACATCTATTTTATGCTGGGCATCAATGGCTAACTGTTGGCGCGTCTAGGACTGGATTTCCCTGCTGTAGATTTCGTATTACAGATCGATCCCCCAACAGGTTCGTGCCCTAAGTCATTTAATTTGAATTCGGTTGCTTTAACGGGAACCATGACCCTGTTGGATCAACGATCTCTCGCTTCTATTTCTTAGTATTCTGCTATAGTTGCCACCGCCTGTCGCTAACTCTCACTTTGTGAATAGACCCTAAAACATTCTTGCATAGGTGTGGACGAGCAGGCCGTGCAGGGAGAAGAGGGCTTTCAGTTGGTTAGTCTATCTCCACCTCAATTATCCCTTTCTGTCTCTTGACAAATGTCGACGAAGGATAACGAATATTGACCATATCCTCAGTTCTCATACAGCCGAACGAGAGCGATTATGTCACGTTCTTAGATGTTAGGAAAACGCCGATAACGCCATTTGCGCAATTTGATGTCGAAGTTTCAGACTCTGATGCGAACCAAATGACTACAAGAATACGAAATATGGCGAAGAAGGACAGAGCGTTATATGATAAAGCACAAAAGGCTTTTGTTAGTTGGGTTAGAAGGTTAGTGAATTCTGCGTAGGCGATAGACAAGAGCAAACGCTAGCTTTTTCCGTGCCTTCCCACTCCCTATGAACTTCAATCTACAAGGCTAACATCTGAATTAGTTATAGCAAGCACACAGCTAGCAGGTAACTTTTCTTCATCTCGCCTAGAGTTGAAGACCGAATTGCTGATTTCGACAATAGTATCTTTCGCATAGGTGACCTTGACTGGGCGGCGCTAGGTAACGGATGGGGGTAGGTTCAGACCCAAGATAACATTTCTCCTAAGCGGTGTAATGACTAACCTGATCTAAAACTAAAAGATTACTTCGACTTCCCAAAATGCCCGAAGCTCGTCATTTTAAAGGAGATCGCTCCCTGGGCTGTGACATAGACTGGGATACCTTTGCATACCAGAACAAAACTAGAGAAAACCAGCGTTTAGAGGCACTAAACGCCGAAGCTCCCAGTGCAGCAGACGCAGAGGCACATCAGGCGAAGCGTAAACGCAACGCTGAGGCCTGGAGCGGTAAGCAAGAACAGGAGGAGACAAGGGTCGCACGCCGTGACAAGAGACAGCGGAAGCGAGAGGCGGAGCGCCGAGAGAAGATGACGGACGAGGAGAAGGCGCGTGATATGGATCTCGTGCAGCTACTTGCCGCCGTCCGCAAGAAAAATCAAGAAAGGCTTGCCGAGAACGCGCAGAGCGAGACCAATGGTGGTGATGATTTCGAGGGCTTCGATTAGATACTGGACTAAGACGTTTTTTTTTTTTTTCAATAACAGTGTATATATTGCATTAATACCTACGATGTGCGTGATGCGAGGTCTCGGAGAGAGAAATGGGTATGGAAAGAATAGTGAACTAACTACTCAACCCAGTTGTCTTTGAAATACCTATCAACCTGACCAATTTCCAGCTTACTAGTCAGAATATGCACAGTAGAGACACGCAAGGCAAAATTTTACAATTTCGTTATATTATAGCACTGGAACCTAAAGGTACGATAACATAAGGCCCGAATGACATTCCTCCACCCAGTCATCGCCTTCCTCTGCTAACGAGCGATTTTGGGTATCCATGAGATAGAGTATGGGTATCCGTGAATGCGATACAAAAACAAGGGTATTATAATCCGACCGCCATAAGTCCAGTTCCAGAAATCAAGAAATCATCAAACTGCGAGCGAAGCTCGGCGCCCTTCGGCCATGTAATTTTTTTGTTGCTTTTTTTTTTTTTTACTTCAATTATTGGGGCGGCAGTCGGCAAGGCAATCTTGGAGGCGTTGAAAGTCACGGTGAAATCAGAGCCTTAAATGTTCTCAATAACTCGAGCATGCATGGCCTGTTGGAAGCCATCATCATTGGATTTGTCAAAGTCGCCTTCACCCTCGGCAAAACTCTTGCTGGTCTCGGCTATGGCAGCGTTGAAAGCCGACGTGCTAGGCATGGTTTGATTGGCAGCGGGCAGGAAGATGACCTTTGAGTTGGCTGTCTTGGCCATAGCCTGCATGGCCTCGAGGTAGCGGATTTGCATGGCGGGAGCAGAGCTTAGAATGTCGGCAGCCTGTCTCATGAGACGGGCAGATTCCACCTCGGCCTTAGCAGCAATGATCTTGCTTTCACCGATACGCTTGCTCTGGGCAGCCATGGACAGTGATCCCTGGAGTTCGGCGCTGAAGACGATGTCTTTGACCAGCATGCTTTCTACCTGGACACCCCAGCCCGACGCGACGTCCTCAATAATCTCCCCAATGCTCTGGGCGATCTCTTCGCGACGCTCGATGACGTCCTGTAGCACACGGGCGCCGACGACATGGCGTAGAGTGGTCTGCGTACGCTCAACTAGAGCCTGTTTCACGTTTTGGATACCGAATGCGACTTTGTGGGGTCGTGTGACGTGGTAGTAGATGACGGAAGTAAGGTCGACGGTAACATTATCCTTGGTCATACAGACTTGTCTGGGAACCTCTGTGGAATGCGACTGTCAGCCTCAACTTACCAGATAGTGCGGGTTACATAGGAACAAGTCGGGACATACCAACAACCTGGATCTTGACATCGACCTGGATGAGACGTTCACTGAGAGGGTTGATCTTGACTAGACCGGGATCGACGGCCTTGTAGAACTTGCCGAACTTGGTGACCAGGCCAACGTTGCCTTGGTGGACCTGCTTGTAGGGGTTCGGGCAGCAGATGCAGCAGGGGACGGCACCGAGGGTTCCAATGCAGGCGCCAAAGGCGTTGATCATGGAACCGTACCAGTTGTCCGGGTTGGCATTGGCGTCGACGATTTGAGCGTAGCTCTGCTGCAAGTCTTCCTGGCGCGGGGGCTCGACTTTCATGGCGGGTTGTGGGCGGAAGGCGGGCGCGGTGGACGAGGAGCCGTTTGTCTGGCCCTTGTCTGGGATCTTGCCAGCAGCGTTGGTGGACATTGTGCTGGTCTCGGTGTGGGTGTCCATGTCGATCAGGCGGGTGAAGCTATTGGCAGCCAGCGTGGGGTTGTGTGACGATGGAAGCAATATTCAGATAGATTGACTGGATTGATTGATTGATTGAGTAGGTAGTAAAAGACGAGTAGCGGGAGCGCGGGTTTGGTACGAGTATATAGACGGGATCTTGGAATGCCGGGAACAGTGGCGCGGGTGAAACAATGGAGTACGTGTGGAAGAGTAAGTAAGTATAGTACTAGAAAGGCACGAGGGGGGAGGGGGGACGTCTTCTATTTGTATTTGAGTTTCGAGCATGTATCTTGAGACGGCAGCTACGGCTGCTGCAAGTAGATTCGGTACATCATCATCACAGCTTCATCGCATATGCATCTTGACATCCTACCACTTACATAAGTACGTTTAGGTAGTATTTGGGTAGGTAGGCAGTACATGGACTGACTCCCAACCTTACCTCGACAGACCCTGACAGACCCTCGCAGACCCAGAGTCTGCCAGAGCTACAATCATTCTACCCAGATAGCTTCGTATTGCTAGCTTCGATACGATCTGTTGGCGTGATGTAATGAGATGCAGCACAGCCGCGATGGGGGACCCATCTCTGCCCATCCTACCCATCCTACCCATCCCCGGTACCCCGGAGTGGGACCACTTTGGCCTTGAACAGACCTTGAACACACTCGACACACTCGAAAGGAAGCTGGTGAGCTGGTTGAAGTGCTACTTAAGGGAGAGCTAAGGGATGCCGCATGCAGCTTCACTCTGCCCGCCGAGCCAATGATGCCTCTGACACGCCTGCGCTAGCGGGGGTCTGTGCAGACCGAGAGGCTTGTTGATGAGGGGATTTATTCTACTACTTACGTATCTTGCCCGTTCAGACACGTTGTTGCTGACGGACGGGACTTTGGTCATGACACTTGAACGCGAGATACGGCCCGATAGGTAATAATGATGATGATGAGGAGGAGGAGGAGGAGGAGGAGGATAATTGCGCCCCGTTGGGCTGATTAAAAGGCACTGAAAGCTTTCAGAATTAGGTCCTACCTATCTAAGTACCTGCTTTAGCTAAGTAGCCAGGGACTTGCGATGATACGAATCAAAAATTCCAATGATATACTCCGTGCCACTACTTATGGTAGATGGTCAGATCGAGGTAAAACTAAGTAATTACCTACCATAGTCAATTAAGTAGGTACACAGCGGAATCCAAAAGCGAGAGATGGGTACCTCTCTCGCCTCTGTAACCGGCTCCATACGAATTTAGCGTGCCTATACAGGCAGGGCTTAATCCCAGATGGTGGTGCCGCTTTGCCGATATGGCGATTGTTACGCAAACAAAACATTACATCCCTCTTCAGCTTCGCAGCATCTCGACTATTCTGTCTCATGCGTCTTATTGCTTACCTAGGTAGGCTATTCAAATGTAGTTTACTTATGTGATTATGACATAGTTGATTTCTGTTTGGTGTTATGAAGTCGATAAGTCTCTAAATCTGCCATTCCCGGCACCAGAGATGTCCCACGCTCCCGTCTCCACCAAAGGATTGGGTGCCCAAACGGGCATGCCAAGTCAGATTAAAAAGACCGCTTCCAAACTAAACACTTGTAGCCGAAGCTATTCCCAGCCGCGTGATTTCTACACTGCCCCAGACGTGCCACTCATTGTCTGGGTCTGTCTGGGTCTGTCTGGGTATCAACCGACGCCCGGCTAGTGTGGCAATCCCTTTACAAACATTCAAGTTAACCTGGACTATTCCTGCCGCTCTGCGGCGTAGGTACACTAACTACCGCAGCGCCTCAAAGTGCAATTCAAAATATTCTTGGCATAACTTGGTTCTAAGAGTCTATAGACTATGGGTTATGGGCTATGGGCAGAGCGGTTTCCCCATCCAGTAATCCATGACGATGATACGGTGAGAGCAGTGTAACGGTGAGCAACTGCACCTCGAGGTCAGCTGTCCAACATGGTTTGCGCAAGGTTGTTCCAAGCCACCAGTGTGTCATCGAATTCCACTTCTCTTCTAGAACATTGCCAAACTAGGAATGACGCGCCAAGCTCAATATTGCACTATTCTGCGAAGTTTTCGTTTCCGCCATGATCCCTTCACCATTGTTCTCTTGCCCGCCGCCGAATTTTTCCGCGTTCCCTTACCACAAGTATATTCATTTCGCCCTTGCAAACTAATGAAACTAGTCTGCCGGCAGGCGGTACTAAAATGCCAATACACCGTATTTAGACGAGGCTTAAACTTTGCGCTCAGCCTCAGTCTCGAAGGAATATCGCTAGTTAGCCAGAGACTAAAAGACCCTGTATTAAGTTTGTCAGTCACATATTGAAGCATGTTATCTCTGGTTTTAACCTTGAGCTTCCTAAGAATTCTCGCCTCTTGTGCCGGCGCGAAGTGGGAGGGGATTTTCATTCAAAATCGATCTATAATAAATTCCAGGTCCGTCATTTAGCAGAGCGTAAGAGCTTACATGTGACGTGGATCTTGACGCCAGGAATATCAACATTTATTAATGCAAGGGGTACCGGAATTGATTGTCATGTTCTAGGCAGTCGTCTTGAGTTCCGTTTGCTCATGGACACGACTAGTTTAAGGAGGCTAGTGCAGCAAACAGATACCTAGTTTCCTATGAGTCAAACCTAGGGACTACGACGAGCACCCCCAGGCGGGATTCGTGGCTGTGTCTTTTCGTTGCATTATTACATAGAGGACAGAGTATAATGGCACTGCCTCGGGCTTCAATTCATACGCCGCATCAACGGTGCCTCGCATATTTAATTATCCCAAGTTGTTAATCACATATCAACTCTTGGTTTTTCGTCCTTGGTTTCTATCGTGAAAGCTCAGTGTTCAAAGATGGGACGTGAATTGATCCAAACTTCTACACGCAGCTGTAGCAGAACGGGTTGAAGACAATGAGAAACTGTACATCTAATGATGGGTGGTGATACAATGCCAACGCCTCTATTGTAACTCATAATACGCTGTAACCTATTTACATGTTTCCTTATATTGTCGTCAAATACAGTCGTATCGTGATTGATGATTGATTGGATTCAAACTGAGTGTCTAAGCCCTTCCCACGCTGAAATGGGAAATGACATTCCTTAGTGCTTGTCTTGGACATCCGACAACTCATTCTAGATTTTCACAAGGCGCAGCCTCCCAGCTAGCACAGCCATCTTAGGCATAACATACCTCGGGCGACCGAGACCTTGAGGCAAATACGTCTCCCTAGGTAGCTAGTGATGAATTAAGTTTCTGCTTCCACCCTCGGGCACTAATCACAAGAACTACTTGTACCTATATAGAGTACATCGGTTAAAGATCAGCGAAGCTCCAATGTGATGCAATACGGTTCCTTTTCGGGGCGCTGAGAACTTTGTAATTTTCTTGGGTGCTTCACTATGGACCTAGTACGATAACTTTCAGTGATTCGATATTTGAAGTTTCCGCTAAGAGATATAGTTTATAATTTAGAGTGCAATCAACATGGACACATGATCACCATGTCTAGCATCAGTGGTTTAGTGGTATAAACCACGAGTGCAACGACATCCTTTCTACTTCCGGACTCGTCGAATTCGAGATACTGAGAGATACCTCACATTACAGCAGATTGTGGCCAAGGTACCACAAGATACTTGAGGTCCAGATATGGAATACAGCATTCGTGCCGACTTTCGAGCATTTAAGAGTTCCTTCCCTATCCAAAACCTGAACATGGCTCCTACGCGCAGCGCAAATCCGAAACTGGCTCACCAAGGCCTCAAGCGTATTCATCCTCGAACTGAGGATGCCTGAGGAAGCAAATCAGGCTCCTGGAGCCGATACCGCGTCGAGACCTGCATCGCATTTCGACTCTGGTATAAATTAGCGAACCGGCAGATCAGAGACACTTATTCTTCGATGATCCATTCGCCAGGCTCCCCTACCAGAGAAGTGGTCTTGATTCTCTTTTTCGCTACACTATGGTTCGACGAAAGATCTCGGCTAGCGTATATCTCGAGAGCTGTTTAGGCGCTTAAGGGCTTGCGCTAAAAGTTGCCCTCCCTTTGAAACCAGATGGAACCTTTAATAAGGAGACTTCATTGGGTAAAAAGGGGCGGTATGGACGGAGCAGGATCAAAAATATCTGGGAAGAGTAAGTGCTACGCATTCCTATATTACAAGTTTCGCAGATCAACTCACGCTGTGGTAGGTATTTAGCGTGCTTCCCCTGGAGTCGAATCTCAGAGCCACGGACTTTGATGCAGTTCATGAGAACTATCGGTCATGGCATGAGGCCTCGAGTATCTCGGAGAAAAAGACTTCGAGGTAAAAATACCGGCCCAGCCACCAGTTCTCTGATGCAATATTTTGATCTCCTCCAATGCATACTTGTGGAGTAAGGTGCCCCCATTGATACGAAGGTTGCAGAGCAAGTCCGATTGGTGAGAACTTTATTCGGCATCGTGACGGGCAGTTGTACTTATTTTCGTTTGTACTAGTACATACAGAACGAACTGCGAGCGGAGCTCAATTTTCCGTTGCGTGTGCGGCCAAGGCGATGGCCACGAAGACAACACTTTACCTACCTGATGGAGCAGCCTTTAGAGAAGGACTGGACGATTTCCCCAGTACTTGCTAGGACTTCAAGCGCCATTTGATGGACTTTCACTGTCCGCCACATGGACTCTGGTCCCCTAGATCCACGCTTCGTCCTTTCGGGGATATCGACGAGGATGGAGTCGAGCAGTCTTTAGTAGCAGGGGTGGTCGATGTTGAAGACAGAAATGATCCAAAACCCAAGAAACTGCCGCCGCCACCACCACCCCCTCGCAAGTCCACCTCTCAACTAATGGTTGCACAGTATAGTTATGATGCCTCACAGAACGATGAACTCTCATTTCAGAAGGGTGATCGTATACTTCTTTTGAAACGGACGGAATCAGATGACGAATGGTGGTTCGGAGAATTAAACGGCAAGAGAGGAAGTTTCCCTGCCAGCTACTGCATACCTGCAATTTGACAATACATTTTGCTTAATATCAGACCATTATACCACGTCAATCTGGAGTCCCCATAGTTCGCTTCGGTCGTGGGACCTGATCGGCCTGCTGATTTAAGGGGCGGCATCACGGCCGCTCAATTCTTCGAGTGGAATCCCGCCGTCTCCTCTGATTGTGTGAACGGATTCTGGGCTGACGAGGCTTACTGTATCGGGAGGGCTTCGGTCTCAGGTGGAACGACGACAACGACGACGACGAAGGCCACAACCACAACATTGTCGCCGACCTCTCCTACGCCGCCGGCGCCGACACAAGATGGTCAGCCATCGAACTGCAATGCATGGTATGTACCCGTGCCTGGCGATGACTGCGGCGTCGTCGAGACCAAGTATCAGATTACGGATGCGCAGTTCCCGGCTGTGTCGTCGGGTTGTTTAAGTGGCTTCTGGGTGGGAGAGGCGTATTGTGTTGGGCTCGCGTCCTAATATCAGTGATTTCTTGTACGATACAAATTGTTGTTATCCATTAGTATTATCTCATAGCCACGTCCATCGCCCGAATGAGGTCCAACTGAAAGGGTGCAGTCTTTGACACCTACTGAGTCTGAGGGGGCAACATCTCGAGACCCTCAACCAGATACTACCGAGGATTTTGTAGCAATATGCCCAATAGTCTCTATATAAACATCAAGCACAGCATACTAATCAGTTACCCCGGGAACGTCGATTTTTACAAACGTGCCGAAATACCGCGAGCTCAAATCATGTGTTAGGAACATTCTTTGTTTCCTAAGTAACGTGCTATTGCCTGAGGGGGAAGTAGCGTTAGTATATAAAATACGATACCAGTGCACCATGTCAGCGAAGTAGCTACCTCCCTGGACCTGCCTGCATTATTACGGAATGGTTCTCATCACCAGCAACAACAATCAGCAACTTCAGAAACTTCGCTTTTTGCAAACGCGCTAAGAGACCGCGGATTCGAAACGCGTGTTAGTTTAGTTACACTTTTTTTACTCCATAAACTAAGGCTTTTGAAAAGGAACGGAGATGAGAGCTTACCTTAGGTAGGTAGGTATTATTCAAATTGTCGGAGACGAATGTCGCCCATGATGATATGCATTTCCAATCGAAAGGGTGTGAAATGAAAGTGTTGCAATGATGACTTCTCACCTCACTCTCGCCTCTGTCTCACCTCTAACTTTAAAACAGCTACCTGGCGACATTTAAATGGCAAGGTGTTAACCGCAACCATATCTTGATCTCCCGCAATTCGGCTGCCCATCCCGGTCTTGCGGTGGCTTCTTTCTGAGTGCCCACGGCTATATATGCTCGGTCGTCTTTGCGCACAATCGCATCAGCTCAACACCGTCTGTTGAAGCACCGTGCACGGCCTACTACAAAAGTCATGGGACGTACCCCTCAGCACCTACGACGGGGCATGCTCCCAGCAGAAGCCAGCGGAATCACTGTGACGCGGCGCGTCTCAGACAGCGACCCATCAGTCTCTCTCATCAGCACATTCCGCAACACCTGGCTCTACCGCACCTACCACAACAACTCCGACCCGCAAACTGGCATCACACGCGCCCACCCAAGTGGGATTCCGCGCCCGCGCGTTTCCCTCCAGATCTACTACACCGGCGCCAGGCCTCCGACCCAGACCATCTCGAGCGCGTGGCACGTGCTCTAGAGTCGGTGATCCTACATGACAGAAACGACACGCGTGACGAATACGAGAGGGACAGACTTGACGTATACGGGCTGCCAGGAGCCTCCGTCGAACGCTGCATTTCGCACCAGAGCAGCGAGATCGCCGCGCGCGAGGCACAAGCCTCCAAGGAATGGCATATCCAACGGTATGACATCGGCGGATCGAGCTGGCGCAGCGCTCTGGTCGTTGTCCGAGATGTGGATCTGGAGAACACGGAGAACCACGTGGTTGGGCTATCGACCGTCTACTTCGACCGTGTGAGGGAGGATGGGGAGCGTCCTGGTGAGCCGTACTGGGAACGACAGGCGGAGAATCTCAATGATCAGTGGGTGCTGATTCATGAGCTCAAGCATATGCTTAACTGGCAGCATAGTGCTTCGCAGTTTGATGGTGAGGGTGAGCGGTATTATGATCAGGGAGAGGGTTAGCGGTAGATAGATACCCGAGTAGACTCATGGCGACTTTGCTCATAGTGACTGAAATGATGAACATGGCTCATGATTGAGTAGGAGGGCAGTAGTGAAGAATGACAGGAGTCAAAATATTTGCATCTCTCGAAGGCTGGGCAGTAAAGGGGAGATCGCGCCCAGCTCCTTGACGGCCGGTGTCGTCCTTTGACTACATGTAGGTACAGCGATCGTTATCATCCAAACTTCCATCAGGAAAGTACGTCTTGATCATATGTCTTGATCGACTTTGCCCGGTGGCGCCGGGACTCATAAAAGACTTCATTGCCAGCAAGTCAATATTCAAGCCTGGAGGAATCTATCAAGTCACAATAGTCACCGTAAAGTCGAGTGAAGTGCCTGACAAACATCTCTATTGGTCAATACTAAGATGAGCATCTAGGATCAGCTACTACTACTTAATCCGGACTCGAACTACATCGCGTCGTCAGCCTAGGCTAGGCCTTATTCAACTACCGAAATGCTTGGGTGCTAGGTAGATATACGTCCAACAGATGAAGCTAGACTCGACGGATATGTGTAGGTACTTAAACTATGTCTCAGGACTCCGGTAGAGTCTCACATCAACTCCCGTAAAAGATGATAGCGACATGATGATATGGGCTGCGACAAGATAGTCGGTACAATGTTCGATGAACTGTCGTGCGAGTCTGCTAGGCGACGATGGTGTTGAGTAGCGCGAACAAAAGACCTATCACTAATCCAGCATATTGAGCCAATTCAGAACCATCATCGCCTTGAGGACGTCTGGACGTATACTTGGAAGCGTCCCTACAGAGAAGAGAAGGCCTTCAGGGATTGCCTGTGCGAGCCGGTGGGGCACCATTGTCGACAACGTTACCCGCGGGCCGTGCGCCTGCGATATATATAGGTAGTCGACAAGCGCTAATCTGTCATTTTTAGCATGCCTTTCCCGGTAATGTGACGTCTCCAGTTCAACTCCAAAAATGCCCCCGCTCCATCGGCATCAATTATCACTTGAAGGAATACTCGACTTTTCCTCGACTGAGGGACTCAGTACAATCCAACGAGCTGACGCCAAGCGCCGGTTCTACCGCATCGTCAATCATTTTCTCCCCGACTCCGAAATCGACAGCAGCGCTCGTAGCCAAACCTACAGTCCGCCTCGACTTATCAGCCTCACATACCAATATGCCCTCTCTGACGAAGCCCGCGACAATTTCCTACGGGCTTTTTTTCTCTCTGTCGATCTCCCCATCGTGAGGGACGGCACCGGCGACGACGGCGATCCCGAGGCCTTGCGCTCCTCCGTTTTTGCCTTTGCCGACTACCTCATGGATCAGTTCTTCCTTCCTTGTAAGTCCGTTCACTTGTTGACTCTGTACGTAACCCTTTAGCATCAAGGCTAATGCATTCTGTCATGTTTCTAGTAAAAGCCTCGATCAAGAAGACGCCACAGCCCTCGCCCGTTTTTCATTCCGCAATAGAGAAAGTACAAGGCGGACCGCGAACCTTTGCCGGTACACCGGATCGGCTGTCCGCTTTGCGGGGAGCCTGTCTTATTCGCGACCACCACCGCTGTGTCATATCGCATAGCTTCGACAGTTCTGAAGCACAAGCCCGAATGGACAAGGCTGGCGAGACAAACGCTCTGGATGATGATGGCAATCTGCTTTACCAGGATCCAAACCGCCCCGGGCCGTTGGAGGTGGCGCATATCATTCCCCATTCACTGATGAAGGTTGACGCAAATCACGAGCTTAGCCCCTCTAAGAAAGCGGCTCTCGCAATTCTGAACATGTTCGATACCGGAGTTGTACACCTAATTGAAGCCGGTGACATCGACAGGCCACGGAATGCCCTCACGCTTACCCGACCTTTCCATGTCCACTTTGGCGAGTTCAAAATATTCTTCGAGCCCGTTGCCGACTCGCAGCCGCATACCTATCGCATTGACTCATTCTTGTCCCGCTACATTCTACCAGAGTTTCCCCTCACCCGAACGCTCTACCTAAGCGAAAATAGGACCATAGACCCCCCATCGGCTCGACTGCTTGCCCTCCACCGCGCAATTGCTCACATTATTCACTTTTCCGCGGCTGCCGAGTACATTGATAAACTGCTCCGCGAAATGGAGGGGCAGGGCGTTTGCGCGGCGGATGGTTCAACGGAGATAGATCGCCTATTGACGCTTGGATTACGCGGATGGTCCGTTAGTACCTAGACTATTTTGATTTTCCAAGGCGGCAAGGGTTCATCGGTTAATCCTTGGGAAGGGCATCAAGTACCATATCCCTGTCTTCAGCTGTTTTCGCCTTCCGGTTATGAATTTTGGCTTGTGGCTGAAAGGTAATAGGTCTTGAGCAATCTTCCGATATTCCGTACCGAGGCCTGCGATGAGAAGAGCCTTTTCGCTGTCCTCGTGGTCTCTGAACCTCCCCGTTATCATCAAGCGCCCGGGTTATCGTGTAGCCGCCAGTTCCGGAACTTCGCCGAGCCCCGCGTGACCAACATGGGCAGCATCACCACTCTCGATCGGCGGAAGCGATAAGAAACAATAGTACTGTTCTAAAGGCCTTTCAAAAACACTTTAAATCAATTTTCGATGCCGTCGTCGCCTTTGCTACCCACAGACCCCTCCAGAGCCCATGATAAGTCATGTTTCGGTGTTGGTGGTATACAAACGGATGACACACTTATTCGTGCAACCAACACTTTCTCTCAACTTGAAGAAGACGAGCTTCAGAAGGCAAGCCTTACAGCTTGGCCCCGTACACAACTAGGCATCCAACAACCCCTTGATTTCAACGGCAGCACAATAAACTCCTACAACACAACTGCCTCATGGTCACACAGAAAACTCAAGGCAAACGACTAGCTATTATCTTTACAATTGCTGAAGATCGCAAGCAATCATACGTGTATTGACATCATGGCATTACGAGAATCATACGAAAGCCAAGAGATCAGCGAGATCCGTATCGCCTTAGAGAATACGGGCTTGGGGACTCAATACTCTTTCGTCATGCAGTTCACTTGACACGGGATGGTGGACCCACTCCGTGTTAGTGAGATCATAAGTATGTGACGGTCGGGCGGAAACATATGGGTGGCCGGTGAGCAGGGGGGAAATAAAGGAAGACATAGAAGAAGAAGAAGAGAAAAGAAACATTCACCATCATGTCAAAGCCCATGCAGAGGGTGGTGTCGGTAAGGACTGTATTCAAGGTCAGGTAATACTGCAACTACTCATAATGTCTTTTCCCCAATACCCTTTCATTCACGCCCCTAGGTCAAAAGAAGACAAGATAAACTTGCGCGCAAACAGCTAAAATTTGTCGAGCTTATAGCAAGACCAGCACATAAGCCCTCGGCGCTGTATCCGTAACTAGTAGAGAAAACCCCTGCCGGACGCTGCCTTTACAAGGTTATACGCTGCTTCGAGACCTTTGACCGAGGAGTACGCTTAATCCGTCAATGTTGCAATAGAACCTTTTGGCAACTGACTAATTTATTAATTAAAGAGATCTCACTAGGAGCTATGAATCTTTCACAAGCATGACTAGCGTATGGCATCACCTAATATAAGGTCCGAAAACGATTAAGGAAGCATAAAGCGAGAAGTTGTCTAGTGGCGTGTAAGGAATCCAACGCAATCTCGTCTTGTCCCCTATCCCTATCCTGAACCCTTCAACACCTTTAGCGCAGCCTCGAAGTTGGCAATGTTGCGACTTAGCTTCTCTCGATGCTATTGAACATGTGCCTCCTTGCCCGCGATCGTATTAAGCTGCTCTTCGGTTAGGCTGAGAACTATCTGCGTATTAAAAACCTTAAGCGGGCTATACTTACCTGCAAGAAGGTAATAGTTTACAGCGTACTAGCAGACAATATCGACAAAGCGTTTTGGCAAAACTTTGTAGTAGCTATGCAGTACGTCATATATATATTTGCAAACGTATATCAAGTTCGCTTTATTAATGACCAGGTTCAATAGCGCAGACTTCTTAATTCGGATTATATTGTTGTTAGAAGTATCAGAACTCTCTATAGGAGGGTCATAATCACAGGGGCTGCATTCTTTAGAAATTCCCATTTCTTCTATTACACGTACCAGTCTTTTACCCTATGCTTATTACAGATTGTTATTAAAATAGTGATTTTTCGCGGCTGCTCAGGTCCCACTGTGGAAACATCAACCATGATCGCGCCAATAATTTATTTTTAAAATATTCCTCTTACTCCCTTAACATCTTCACGTGCGCAAATTGCCAAATCTTATCTCTCCCACATATGCGACATATCTGAGAGAATGCTGAAGGGGAGGGTAGGTAGTAAACATGTATGTATGAAGATACACTCAGCATCTGGTTTTTATCGTAGTGGCTGTAAATGGAGATTTGGTATCGTTGAAAGTCCCAGCTATACACTTTTTTCTTTTTAACAATTCTGCTATGAGAAGTCGTTGAGATTCCCCAGAATGTCACTATTGTAGAAAAGGACATTCGAAGTTTCCCACACTCCTGATATAATGGCTTCCATGGATAGGTCCGTGGAGAACCCCATACTGGAGTCACCGTCAAGCGTCGTGTCACAAGGCTGAATTTCTCTATTGAAGGAAATAACGCTACTGTTTTGACACATTTCGGTTTCCTGAGGTTCGCCTAAAGCGTCTTGGCCCTGCATGAGAGGCTCTAGATCCAGTCCTCCCGCAGAGTTTGAATTCTGGGTCAAGGTAATATCTCTCTGCTTGTACGACATCAGCATATGCGCATCATGTGGGTGGAAAGTATTTGTCTTACGCCGTAAGGGACTCTCTCTTCATCTGGCGACGGTGGGTATGTGCAAGGCTGACTCCGAGTAGCACCAAGTGAGATCACACGGGAGTGGACTTTCTCCATCGCATCCTCCAGATTGTCCAGATTCTGCACCAGAACGGACGAGGTATTCCAAAAGTCCCTGTGCTGGATCAGGGTCAGACGTAGCAGGTCGAGGTTGGATTGCGCCACCAGCCTCTCTGATTTCATCTCTGCGAATGTCGCCTGGATGATCTGGATAGCAGCGACCATCCAAAAAGTGTTTGCTAGAAGAGGATCGCCATCGCTAATATGATTTGGCGTGGCATTGCGCACAGTGCTGATCACTTGCTCTGCAGCGTGGAGGTATTTAGGCGAGAGGGCATTGAGAAGGGTTGTGGCTTCGTCAACAGGACGAGGTGCTCCGCGCATCGAGCTCGAGGAGGAACGGTCTGCCTCTTCGGTCTGAGAGCCGCCACCCGAACGTTCGTCTCGGAAGCAGTCGTTGTGCAGAATCATGAGTTTTGCAAGCTGAGTCATGACATATATCGCTTGTATGTCGGAGCCTCTCTTTCGCGTCGTCGAATCACAGGAGGTCGTTTCGTTTGAAGATGATAAATATGGCCGATACTGCAGTTGCTTAGGCAGTGCCATGGAAAAACATGAGACGCAGTTCTCGAGGACCACTAGTCGGGGACCAATATCTGCAGAGCGGGAGTGCCGCTGGGCACCTGAAGGCTGGCCGCGACCGAAGGTAACACCCTGGGGCACGGAAGGGTTGGCCAGGGAGTGCGCATCGCACATGAACGAGTTGACGAGGATAAACCACGCCCTGCCATTTTCATTGCCGCTCTTCTGCAGGTTCTTCCACCGAAGCGTTGGGTCAGCGTCAAGAAAACAGCTTGGCGCTTTCTTCCCCTCAAACCAGAAAGTGTCCTCGACTGGCAGAAGTGTGGCATGCTGACTCTGGTCCATGCCAATTGGACATCTTCGTATGGTGGTAGCGAATACTTCGAGCTCCCATATGGTCCACCACACCCTGCGGCGTTCCTCCTTGGCAATCCACACCTCGACAGACTCCGAGCCATCTTTTCTCGTTGATCTGGATGGCAAGTCCACCAAGTGAAGTCCCATTTCGTAGGCTATCCGGATAACGAGCCCCAGGGATCTCCACGCCAATCCTCGAACGCCAATCACGAGCTCATTGTAAGTCGTTAACACGAGAGCCTGTAGGAGAAATAGCGGTGGAAGCTTATCTCCGCAATTCTGGAGTTGCTTGTGGGTGGCGTCCGACGCGATCTCGTAGAAGCGTTCAGGAAGGAGCGCCCCGGTGCCTTCGTATCGGTTGAGATCGCTGGTGTCGCCTGACTGAGCGTACCTTGCGGCCAGGCAAAACATGGAAGCCAGCAGTGTGCTCGCTTGCTCGGGCATAAGCTCTACATAGACGCGTCTCTCGAACGTAGGGCGGTGAAACAGTGAGACGGATGTGATGTGAAGGAAATATAGATCAGTCCTGTCATCGAGACGGAGTCAGCCTATGTCGCTTCTCATTCGCCTGTAAAAGGGATTTCAGGACGCTTACAGTCGAGATAACTGACTCTGCTCCAAGCCCAAAATATGACATATGCAGGCAGCGTTATTCTGCTGAACCATTTCCGGTAAGGTGGGCAGGAAGTGAGCCTCGGGTGAAGGAGAGACTTTTCGACTGCTCTCGCCATCATCTCGATAAGCCTGCCTCTCGTGGAAGTGATGAAGTATCCAGTTGGATATGCTACTAGCCTTGGTCTTCAGTGCCTGCTGCTGGCGTTCTGGCCTGCTCGTTCCAGTGCTGGCGCAGTCTGACGGCTGGTCTCGACGGCTAGCGCGGCACTCCCTATCGGGGGTGGGGAGTTGGGAATTCGAGGCTTTTCGCTTTCGATAGCTCCCTGGCGGCGTTCAAAGTCAGCCGGCGAACACAGGCGTGGCGGTGCACGCGCGGACATATGCTGGACAACGGAGGTGAGAGGCGGCTCATACCCAGCTTTGGGCCTGGTCTCTGTGCGGTAGATGGGTAATGGCAGTCTTTCATATGGCGAAAGCATATCCGGCATGAAGGAGTCGTCTTGTCGCTAGAAGCAACCGAGAGGCCTACGTGTCAGTGAATTGATCGGGAATCGCGCAGAGGGATACGCATACCATTTGACTTTTCTCCTGGACTCGGAGTTAGTGTACCGGGGGAAAAGAGAGAACCGGGGCAGTGAATCAAGGGTCGACCTGTTTGACTTACCTCCTGCACTGATAGCACGCCCACGGCGACGAATTGGGGCTCTTGAGCACGCCGTCCTGCGCACGCCGCGCCTGCTGCCGCACTTGCTCTGAGGCGCTTTTCGGCTGGCTCGCAGTGTCGTCTTCCTGATCCATGTCGAGCGTTGGATCCGGAGAACCTGATGAATGTGCCCAGCAGTAAAGAGAAAACGTGCAGTCGGACTGAACCAGACTGTTTCCGCTGCGCAGTTGTGTGGCTGCTACTGACCGGCAGTTGGGCTTCTCGGCCATGCGTTCTCCAACCTCCCCCAGTCGTTTCTCCAATCGTGCTTGGAAATGCGCACCCTCTCGGCTGACCTACTTCATTGCCCCGGCGTCGAGACTGCCTCCACCTCCCCAGCCTCTTCCAGGAGGGTGGCGGGCATCGCATGTGGGCCCGTCGGGCCAACTCCCTCCTAATTCGAGCGAAAACACACCGACGTTGTCGCTTGTCTCAGCCGACTGGCGCTTCAGGCTGCGCGATGCTGCGCGCGTCCGGTCTCGAGCCAGTCTCAATTTGTTGGCTTCAAGCGGTCATCTCCACTACAACCTGTCGGGCCAAACGACTAGTTGCGAGAACGGACGGTTAGCTCGTTCCATCCGCGTTACTTAAGAGGCCATCTCAGTTCATTGCCGTGGAAGCATCTATCTCGATATCTGATTCCCAGCCTTTCCACGTTAATTCATCAATCATGGCTAAAGTTAACCTCAACCGAATCTCCCACGTGTACTACACGTACAAGGATCTCGACACAGCGCACCTGTTTTTGCTCGACTTCGGCCTTCTTGAAGTTGAGCGAAGGGCTCGTAGAATCTTCTATAGAGGATACGGTTCTAAACATTTGTTTTTTTTTGCGCCCAAAAGGATGACAATGACGTATTTGGCAGTGCCGCGTTCGCAGTAGAGGCTCTCCAGGACTTGGAGCGCGCCTCTGGTCTTCCCGGCGCCACTCCGATCAGGGATCTCGACGGTCCCGGATGGGGCAAGGTTGTGACTCTACGAGAACCTGTCAACGATTTCCCCTTTCATTTCGTTTATATCGAAAGCCAGGGCTCATGGGAGCCGGGTAAGGAGCATCGTGGAACTCAGCCACTCAACTACGTAATCCTCTTCTTCAATAATACCCCTCCTGTTTGATGATCCTCAATGCTGAATAATGCCCAACCCTTAGCCGATCGACAAGAGTCGAGAGCATAGTCAATTCCAAGGGCTCGAAAAGGGTATTTTCACGCGCGGAATTCTCCTCTAGGGTGGGCCACTACCACAAAGTGCGAAAATAAAAAAATCAGGTTAAGTGCGGGGTAAAACTTATTTTCCAACTTTACCTAAGGGATTTAAAA